CCAGGACACGGTGGGAGGACACTAGGAGGGGGAGCAGCGGGGGGACCTCGCGGCTGGTCCCAGCTCCTCCATGAAACCCAGAGCAGAGTCCCGGCCCAGACCCCCAACAGCGTGGGCGCCCCGAGGCCCTCACTGGGACACACCAGACCCGGGCCTCCAGCCCTCCGAGTCACACTGACCTGCTGAGCAGGCTGGCACCCAGGAGCCCATGAGGACGCCTCCTTCCGGCACCCCGGTTCGGCTCAAGGAGGCCGGTCCCTCAGGTCCCCACGCTCTGGCAGCGTCAGGTCTGCCAGAACCCCCTGCCCCTGCCCTGCCCCAGGACCCCGCCGGGACCCCGCCGGGACCCCGTGGGGAGGGGGGGCTCACCTTGTGGAACTCCCGCAGGAAGGAGCGCTCATACTCGCCCCGGCACCGGTCCTCCATCCTCTCCCGGGTCACCTGGTGCAGCGTGGTGGTCACGGCCTCAGCACTGACCCGCTCCAGCAGACTGAGCCTGTGCCTGGAGGAGAGCCCTGCCATGGAGCATGCAGAGCGCGCGCACGCACATGCCCCCACCCCCCAGCGCACGCCTCCCCACAGCCCTCTTGGCAGGGCACAGCCCCACTGTGCCCCGGGGATGCTGGGGGACAGAGCACCGGCACCCCACCCTCCCCAGCTGGCCGCGCTGCCTGGGCTGGGACACTGACCCTCCCGTGCCAACAGCCCGTGTGGCTCTCAGTCAAAACCTCGGATGCCACTGCTTAGCCCAAAGCCTGGTCTGCGACAGCAAAGGGACCCGTGAAGAGGTGACAAGGACTGCTTCTGTGTGACGTCACCTGGGACGGACCCCTCAGGGCACAGGGCAGCCCTGGGGCCCCCTTCAAGACCCTGCCTAACGGCCACCCTGCTGCCTCCTCATTCAGTGGGACATCGTCCTGAGTGGCCAGAGGGTGCAGGCCGTACGACAGGACCTGCCTCCAAAAACAAGCCCTTCCCTCCTCAAAGGGCTGGAGAGGCACCTGCTCGGCCAGCCTTCTGTGCCACAAAGAAACAGCCACAAGCTAACCTCTCACAACTACAGGGAGGATGCACGCCTCCCTCCCCCGGAGCCTGCACGCCGCGGAGCTGGGAGGGCATCAGGAATCCTGGGACTCAAGAAAGCAAAGCGGGAGACCGGCTAGTGCAAATGACCGAGATAACGGCCTTGTCCGGGGCAGAAGGTGTCACGCTACCGCACAAGGACCCGGGCAGCCCTCCCTCAGCCGGGGCCATGGCTATCAGGACAGATGGCACAGACCCCCGCCAGCTCGCCAGCTCTCTGCAGAGGCCAGCGGGACCCAGGAGAGCCAGCAGGGGGCGCGAGTACTCACAGGACCTGGCTGAGCTGGTGGAACTGCTCCAGGGCCTGGCGGCACCAGCACTGCTGCTTGTCACTGCCGCACCCCGCGCACAGGGGGCTCTGCAGGAGCCGGTAGTACCGGCGGCGGGCATACCGGCTGTCCAAGTCCCCCTCCAGTTCGGGGTCCGTGCCCCCTTCTCCCTTCCTCTTGCTCTGCATGTAGACTCTCAGGAAACGCCCGTAGAGGCGCTGGACCATCTCCTGGAAGGTTCTGGGCGTGGAGAAGAACAGGACGCCGCGCAGCGTGGTGTGGACCTTGTCCCGCAGCCCCTGCGCGCCGGTGCCCATCAGCAAGCCCAGGCGGGTCCACTTCTCCAGGAGCTCCAGGCTGCGCAGGTAGGGGTCCAGGCGGCTCTCCAGCAGCCCGAACGCGTCCAGCAGCAGCAGGAGGCACTGTGGCTCGTCCGCGCAGCTCTCACGCTGGGAGACGGCGTTCCAAAACTCCGGGGAGATGTTGGCCTGCAGGTCGTTCTGCAGCACCTCGATGAACCACTCTTCCAGCACCGAGTGCAGGCCGTGGGCCCTCAGCACCTCCACCGCCGCCCGCAGCTCCTCCTCCTTCGGCGGGACGGCGCCGCTGGTCCGCGAGGACGCCTGCAAGGCAGAGGACGTGCGGAGTGAACGCGGCGTACCGGGGAGGAGGGCGGTGACGGGTGCGGACAGGTGGGGAGGGAGGCGGCGGAGGAGCCACCGTGCAGCGCGCCCACCCGCCCCAGGGCCGGGAACCCGCGCGGCCTCACCAGCCCCAGCGCTGCCGGCGGCACCAGCCCGGTGCTCACGGTGTTCCAGGCCCCGCGCAGCTCCAGGGCCTGCCCGGGGGGCCCGTCCTCCGCCACCGCCGCCGCCGCCATCCGAGCCCACTGCCTCCCAGAGCCGCCGGGCGCCGCGCGCGGTGATGACGCATGCGCGCAGCGACGACGCACAGAGAGGCGCGCGGCGATGACGCATAGGGAGGCGCGCGGCGAGGACGCACAGGGAGGCGCGCGGCGATGACGTCGCAGGCGGGCGCCGGCGGCGCGCAGGCGTGGGCGGCCGGCGGCGCGGCGGTTGGGGCGGCAGCAACATGACCCAGCAGGGCGCGGCGCTGCAGAACTACAACAACGAGCTGGTCAAGTGTGAGCGGCCGCGCCGCCCCGGGACCGGAGGGAGGGCGCGGGCTGGCGGGCTCTAGGCCCGGGCGGCGGCGGGCGGCAGCGCACGACCGAGTTTGTGGTCCTGTCGGTGCGATGGGGGCCGTTGGGACCAGGTCCGCGCACCGCCGTGGTGTGGCGCGCCGTGCGGGGCGTCTGCGGGGTGAGCCCGGACCAACGGCTCGAGCGCGTCCAGCCTCAGGGCCTGTGCCCGGGGGTCTCGTGCGGGGCCTCCTGGAGCCCCGGCTCCCTGGAAGGAGGTAGGACCCCGGCCCGGCTCGCGGCAGGTGGCCCAGGAGCTCCCGGCTGCGCAGGTAGGGACTCACCCACCCTGGTGTCCTCCGAAGCCGAGGGGCTCAGAGTGGGTGGGGGTGCTCCCCTGCCCCGCCCACAGCCTGCCCCTCGCGCCCCAGGCATCGAAGAGCTGTGCCAGAAGCGGGAGGAGCTGTGCCGGCAGATCCAGCAGGAAGAGGAGGAGAAGCAGCGGCTGCAGAATGAGGTGAGGCAGCTGACCGAGAAGCTGGCCAGAGTCAACGAGAACCTGGCGCGCAAGATCGCCTCTCGGAACGAGTTTGATCGGACCATCGCGGAGACGGAGGCCGCCTATCTCAAGGTGGGCCTGGCCTGTGTGCCCAGGGGTTTCTGGGCTGGGCGCCCCCACGCAGAGGTGACGGGACTGTGGCGTGGCCAGGGCCACGTGGAGCCTGGTGTGTCTCAGAGCCAAGGAGGCTCTCCTGGGTGTGAGGAAGGGGCTTTGGGCTGGACTCGGGTGGGAGGGGGGCTGCCCCCCAGCCCCTTGGCCTGGCCCTGGCCCTGGCCCTGGGGGGCTTGGCTGTGGGAGCTCCAGCAGGACCGTGCCTGCCCCCAGATCCTGGAGAGCTCCCAGACTCTGCTCAGTGTGCTGAAGAGGGAGGCAGGGAACCTGACCAAGGCCACCGCCACGGAGCAGAAGACCAGTGCCGGCAAGGACAGCTGACGGTGCGGGCAGCAGGCGCCTCCCCTGCTCCCTCCACAGCCCATCCTCAGTGAGTCTGTCTGCCGAGCACCTTGTTCATGGCGGCAGCTGCCTTCCAGTGGAGCCCCCACCTCCACTGCCCAGGGGCCCAGCCTCCCAGGTGGGGTCCTGTCCATGCGCTCACCCAGGCAGCGGGGGTGCAGGCTCTGGGTCAGCTCTGCCCAGGGCCTGTGTGAAGCCCCATACCCCCTGGACTGCGGGACAGTCCTGCTTCGAGTCTCCGCCTCACGGAGTCCCTCAGGCTTCTCCAGGCTAGGACATCGGGCAGGGCCTCCTTCACCTCAGCCTGCCCGAGAGGCCGGTGACTGTCAATAAAGGTTCTTTCTAAAGCTCCATGCCTCCCTCCTCCCTGCGTCCCATCAGGAGAGGCTCCTCGGTGTGGTGGGGGTGGGAGGCCTCTGCCCAGGGAGACAGAGCTGAGGGTCTCTCTGAGCCTCTCCTGCGACCCTCACGCCCCCACCCTCTCCTCATTCCTGGCCTTCACCTGACCAGCACACGCAGCCTGTCCTGAGGGCTCTGCCTGCTAGTGCTGGTCCCGGCCATGCCTGGTGTCCACACGAGGCCTGACCCAGGGAGAGGGCCTGCATTCCAGTCACCCAGCGAGGCCTGTGCCTCGACTCCATGACCCATCTCTGCCTCCTCCTCTGCCACCCACCAGGCATGCCCCTGTCCTCTGGGTCCACCTGCCAGCCCGTCAGGTCCCGCAGCTGCTTCGGGCAAGTGGGAGGTTGGCAAGTAGGTAGGTTGAGAGTCAGACACCAGGCCCATCCTCTCAGGGAAACACTCCTCCCTCCTGAGCCTGGGCTCCATCCCCTGCCCTGCCCTTGGTCCCTTCACACCCAACACCCACAGCACCCACCCTGCCACATGCCGTCCAGGCCCCAGGGCAGTTCCGGCCGCTGTGCCAGTGCTGGTGGAGGGGCTGCCCCAGAATGAGGCACACACAGAAGTGCTGGGAGGGCAGCGGGCTGTGGGGGGTGAGCAGCAGCACTGTGAGGTATGGGGTCCGAGCTGGGCCCCACCACAGCCCAGTGGGCTCCTCCGCTGCCAGCACCTCACGCGCGCCCTACACCCGCTCAGGCCAAGGACCGTGCGAGAGGGGCTGGTCCAGTGCTGTTTATTGAGTCCATCAGAGGGAGGAACAGGCTTCCGTTCATCACAGGCTGAGCTCAGACGCGGGGTGCAGGGGGCTGAGGGGGCCTGGAGTCCTGCAGGGGACGGGCAGCTGAGTCAGTCCTTGGCCCTGGGCACACCCAGCGTCACTGGGCATGGCTGCCAGCAGGACCCTGCCCCCAAATCGCGGCTGCAGAGCGAGACCCCCAGGAAAGGTGTGGCCCCTGTGGCCCAGGCTCAGGCCTGGAGCAGCAGCATGGTTCGGAGGCCCCAGGAAAGGGTGGGCTTCGGGGGAGCAGAGCTGGCAGGGCAGAAGGGGGTCTGCAGAAAGAGGGGAGCCCGGCCATCCTGCTGGGACGCGTCAGAAGTACAGGGCTGGCTCGCTGCGGAAGTCCGAGAGGTCATTGTGGCTGGCGGGGGTGAGCTGAGGGGTAAGGAGGCGGTCAGTGGAGGCAGCCAGGCCTAGGAACCTGCCTCCACCCAGTGCTGGGCACCCTCCCTGCCCCACTCACCATGACCTCCTTAGGCGAGGACTCCACCTCCCGCGGGGCCTGTGCCAGGGGCTGCTCCTGCCACTTGCTGAAGGCCGCGGAGTGCTTGGGAGTGTAGCTGGACAGGCCTGCAGGCCAAGGGCACACGTGGACATAGGAGCATGTGGGCATGCGGCCCAGGCTACCGACTGTGCTGTCCACCTGGTCAGGCGGGCACTCACCTGAGCTGCCGTCTGGCAGGCGAGGGCTGTCGGGCGCCACGCTGTTCACGAAGGTGGCGCGGGGCAGGAAGAGCGCAAAGGGCTTCTCCACCGCCCCGTTCAAGCCATCCCCCTCCTCCTCCTCCTCCTCCGCCTCCTCGCCCTCGGCTTCCACCGCGGCCTCCTGCACCAGGGAGCTCTCCGATGGGTATTCAAATGTGGTGTGCAGGCTCTTGTCATTGAAGGAGATCTTCATCTGGGGGCAGGAGGCACATCAGTCAGGGCTTGCGCCGGCCACCACGGTGCCGGCCGCCAGGTCCTCTGCTGGACTCCGTGACTCCAGGGGCACAGGGGCTGTCGGACCTGGGCTGGGCAGGACACGCCATCAGCCCTGGAGAGGCTGGGGAGGGGCTGCCTCTCAAGAGACCTCCACCCGAGCTCTGCAGGCCCCAGGCCCTGGGTCACATCACCCCAATGGCCCCCCCTCCAGGGACAGGCCCAGCCAGCACCCTCGGGGTTTCCAGAAGCCTCAGAGGCAGCTCAAAGGGGCAGAGGGAACCTCAGAGCAGAGCGCTGGCCACACCTCCTCCCCCTGCTGGCTCGCACAGGAGCAGAGTCCAGGTCAGGCGGCGCTGGGCCCCACCTCCTCAGCTCCCGCTGCTGGCTGGGCCTCTCCAGAGCCGGTTCAGCACGTCCGGCTTGCTGGGCCCCTGGACGGCGCTGCCCACCCAGCTCGGCAGGGACCACCAGGGCCGCCGGAGATGCAAAGCCAGGAGCCTGCCACAGGCCAGCCCGGGAAAGCAGCCCCAAGGGCCGTCACCCATTCACGGACTGAGGAGGCGCCCGACAAGGCTGCACCTGTCCTCCCGGCCCGCCGGTCCCATCTCCTGCCCCTTCACAGGCTCCAGGGTCCACACTGGAGCCGAAAGCCCCCGGCCTGCTGGGCTCGGCAGGGTGGGCCCCGCGGTAATGAATACTCGGCCACGCGCCCGCAGCAGATGGAAGCAGCCCTGCTGGAACTCGAAATATTAAACTCCCGGGCACAGGACACCAGCAGCCAGCTCAGGTTCCTCCTCCTCCCCAGGAAGGAGCCGGAGCCCGAGCCGGCCCCAGCACGGAGCCATGGGCCCAGGGACAGGCCAGGCGGGGCCTCAGCGGCAGGCAGGACCACCAGCGTTCATGACCAGATACACTCTGCCGCCCCCCCCCCAGCCCTGCTCAGCTGGCACCCGCCCGCCCACCCAGCTCTGGGCTCCCCCCTCAGCCCGCCCCACACAGACACCTGCTGGGCAAGTCCCAGCCTGGCCCCTGCCCCTCATCCCAGCCACCCAGAGGCAGGGGTAGGGCAGGAGCAGCTGCCCGTCAGGCAGAGCCGGGAGCGAGATGGCTGCTGCTGTCCCTGGGAGCCAAGGGCAAGGCCTGGCACAGGGGTGGTCAGCAGAGCCCACAGATGTCCACCCGGCCAGTTGGCTTGGGGATGGAGCCACTGGCCCTCGGAGGCAGATGCCCCTGGAGCCCCAGGCAGGATGGCTTCCCCTCCCCCACACCCCAGGGGGAACAGGGCTCCCAGTCACCCCAGGGACATGGCATTGTCTCTGAGACCTGGAGTCCTCCAGCCCATCCCCCTGCGAAGACACAGGGAGGGCCGGCCGGATCAGCGTGCCCTCATCAGTGCACATGGTTGGCTCCTAGGGAGGGGGGCTGGGCGCATGCCGGCTGGAGCCTGGCACAGCCGGCCAGTGGGTGGGGGCGGGGCAGTCCCAGGATCCGCACCAGCCCCCCCCTGGGTGCCCGTCTTCAGGTCACAGGATGTCCCGTGACTCACACTGGGGGCCACCCAGACACCGGGCAGGCAGAGGGCGGGAGGGCTGGCACTTGCACACACCCAGTCACCTGTCTCTGGGGACTCTGCCAAAGCGCAGCCAGCAGGTGGGTCCCGGCTCCCCGGCTCCCCGGCTCCCCCCCCCACTCTCACTGGGCCTTTGTGCCCCTGGCCCCGCCCACCCCCGCAAGGCAACCGGGACTCTGGGCTGACTGGGCTCAACCGGCTCCAGCTGGGATGAGGCCCCACCCTCACTCTCCACACCCCCACCCAGTCCAAGCTCTGACCCCCCAGGCAGACCCCCTGCGGGCGGGGCCGGGGGGGGGGGGGAGGAGCTGAGCAGGGTCCAGACCTGTCCCAGGTCTGGGTTCTAGGGCGACCTTGGGGGCACCTGCAGGAAGCTGAGGGGTGGGGGGCCCCACAGGACAGGAGGGTGCGGCCCCACCCTGGCAGGGAGGTGGTGGCGGAGGTGCCTTGGGCCGAGCCAGTGGCTGGGAGTTGGGGTTGGGTCACCAGCCTGAGGGGAGGGCCGAGGACCAGCAGGGGAGGCGCTGAGAGGGCGCAGAGGAGGGAAGGAGCCGCAGACAGGCCGGGCCGGCCCCTCACAAAGGGAGGCCCAGCGGGATCCCCTGGGAGGCGGTGTGGAGGCTCAGGCAGCCCCGCCCAGTGGCCGGGGAGGCAGGGTGAGAGATCAGGGCAGCAGCAGCCACCCCAGGTCCCCGGGGAGAGCGATAGAGCATCTGTGATTCTGAGCGATAACTAAGTGGGGACGTGTGCCGCCAGGCAGGCCTCCCGGAGCACTGGCGGGCTGGTGCCCCCACCACCGGGGCAGAGCGGAGCCCTGGGAAGCACACAGGGCACAGCACCCTCGGGGGAGGTGCCAGCCGGGGGCAGGCTCCCCGAGCCCGCGGCCCCGACAGCCCCCGGAGACCCCCACCCTGCCTGGAAAAGACGCCAGCCAGCACCTCCCTGCACTGCCCGGGCGGCAGCCCCTCAGGGTCAGTGAGCTGGTCACCCCCAGGTCCTCCGGGCCGGCAGCCCACCGAGTCCCACAGAGGGTGAGGGAGCAGGTGCTGGGTGGTCGGTGAGGACAAGGCCAGGGCCCAGGGCCTGGGGGACCTCAGAGACCAGACAGAAGAGAGAGGGGCAGCAAGAGGCTGATGGAGTGCTCTAAAGGGCTGGGCAGCCCCACCCCACACCCCAGCCCACCCCACCCTCCATTTGTCGGCCCTTCCTGGGCAGGGCAGCTGGTGCATCCCAGGCAGGAAGTTGCTGCCAGCAGGTTGCGCTGCTCTGGCCAGGCCCCAGCCAGGCCGCTTGGTCACGCCAGGCATCGTCCATCTGGACCCAGGACCCTCAGGATGGCCCGGAGCCCAGAACGACTTCCTCCCATCACTTCTCCCTGCCCTGCTGGCCCCGCCCTGAGTGACCCCAGCTCAGTGCCCAGCTGGGGGGGGGGCAGAACAGGCTCGAGCCTGCAGCCTCCCAGTTCCAGGAAGGAGCCAGGCTCCCGCTGGGACAGGGCCCACCCTCTGAGCCCCGTGACTTCACTGTCCTAACGGGCGGAGCATTATCACTTCCAGTTCCCGGCCTCACGGGGAGTGGAGGTCAAGGGTCAGAAAGCAAACGAGGGAGGGGCAGACGAGGGCCTGCAAGTTGGGGTGGGGCTGGCGGCCATGGCTACTGGGTGGATGGGGCAGCTGGAAGGGGAAGAGCAGGGAGGGGAAGGGAGAGAGGGAGGGGGGCGGATTATGGCAGGTGGCCCCAAAGACAAGGCCAGGCCGGGCGGGCAGCACTTGGGGAGCCGGCGTGGCTGCCTGACCAAGCAGTGGGAGCTGGCAGGAGCGCAGATGCCCTCACCAGGGGAGGGGAGGATGGCACCAGGAGGAGAGGCGGTGCCAAGGCCACTCCAGGGCAGGAAGTCAGAAGGAAGGAAACAGGAGGAGGTGGCGTGTCCGGGAAACTGAGGCTGGAGCAGAGGTGGCCTCAGGGCCCAGGACCCCAGCAGCTAAGGGAGGGGCCCTCGGTTCCCCAGGAAGGGCACCTGCCTGTCACCCGCCAGGGGGTCACGGGAGCTGGCCTGGAATTCGCCTCCGGCCGATGCAGGCGATAGAGCGGCCAGAAGAATCTGAGGAACGTAGTCCTGTGCCCAGAGGGTTCCGGGCCACCAGGCAGGGCAAGGCTAGGCTTGGAGGCTCCCGCCAGCACCTGGGTCTCTGCCCTCTGCCCCTCCCCAGCAAGGTCTTTCCCCTGCATCACACCCCAGCGTCAAGCTAAGCCTGGCACCACGGAGCTCCAGACGCACTCTCACTGACCAGGTCCCACCGCTCGGTGGCTGGGGTCCCTCCAACCCCTGCCCCTTCCCCCTGCCGTCCTGGCACTCGCTGCCTGAGCCGGCGGGGAGTCCAGGCGGTTATGCAGGCCCCCCCTCGCCCCCCCGCAGTCACCCGGGGACCAGGTGAAGCCACAGGCTCACACTTTTTTCCAAACGGCCTCAGGGAGACACCCCTGCCAGCCAATTCCAGGCAAAGCCTCCAAAGCCGACCCAGGTGCTGCTGGCCCGCCCTCCACACCAGCCTGTCCAGGCCGAGCAGTGACCGGTGCCCACAGCCCCTGGTTCACAGGGCCCACGGGGGCCCAGGTTGGGGGTCCCCAGCCCCAGCTCCCCTGTCTCCCCCTAAGCAGCCCCTCCCAGGCCAGGGGTCCTCCTGGCTGGGCACCGGGACCCACCAGTACCTTCTTCCTGGAGGAGCCGGCCTTGGTGAGGCAGGACTTCTGCAGGGCCAGGTAGCCGCCGATGACCTGGATCTCGTGCGCCGTGGGGTAGCGCTTCTTGGGCGCGGTCCCCAGGCCGCGCTCCCCCTCCGCTTCCTCAGCCTCGGGGGGCCCCGGCTCCCCGCCGGCCTGCAGGGCCCCGGGCTTCGGCTTGGGCACCACCGTGAAGGTGCTGCCGCCGCCGTGGTGCGGGCGCTCCGACGGGCGGTGCTGGGGAGGCACGCCGGCCCCCGGGCAGGGCAGTTTGGCTTCTTGGGGGGCCTCATCGTCAGAGTCCACCTCGTCGATGAAAGTGACGGGGAGCCCCGGCCTGCCAGGCTCCCCGCCGTTCTTGGCCGCGCCGGGACCCCCGGAGCCCTGGGAAGGCTCGGCTTCGGCGGCCGCCGGGAAGGAGGGGGGCGGCGAGGACGGCCGCTGCCAGCGAGCCACCTGGTCCACGAGGGCAGTGGCCGGCCGGGGGCAGGCCCCTTCCTGGGCCCTCCAGGGGCCCCCCTCTTGGGCGGGTGCGCCAGCAGCCCCGGACGCCAGCTGGGCTCCGCGCTGGGCGGCCCCTGCAGCCGGTCCCGCTGGCTGCCTCGCAGGCTGCCTCCCCGGGGGCGGAGGGGCTGCGGCCGCCTTGCGCTTGGGGACGAACACGAAGGAGTTGCGGGAGTTCGCACGGAGGCTGGCCAGGGCCCGGGCCTGCAGGTCCCCCGCGGGAATCGTGTCCATGTCTGGCTTGGAGGCCGGCCGGATCTCGAAGGAGTCGTTGGCGCTGGTGGCCGAGGAGACCCAGTGGCGCTGGCTGGGAGTGGCACTGGCGGGGCTGGGCCTGGGCAAGGCCGGGGGCGAGGCGGGAGTGGCACTGGGGGTCCGGGGGCTGGGGGGCGGGTGGGCGGGAGGCTCCCCCGACTCCACCTTTGGCTTGTGCCCGCCGGGCCCTGGGCCGGAGCCCGCGAAGCCGTTGGCAGCGCCGGCCGGGGGCTCCGGGGCGGCGGGCCCGTTGGGGAGCGGGCGAGCGCCCGGCCCGCGGTGCAGGCCCCGAGGGTGGACGGTGAACGAGTTGCTGCCGGTCTTCTGCACGAAGTCGCTGCGCCGGGCGCCGGGCCCCGGGCCGCGGCGCTCGGGCTCCGGGCAGGCGGCGCGCTCGCCCGGGCGCGGGGCGGCCGGGCCAAGGCCGGGCAGCTGGGGCGGCGGCGGCGGCGGCGGCGGGCGGCCGCGCTCCGGGCTCCCGCGGCGGCGCGGCGCGGCCGGCGGGTCGAACTTCTGGAGCAGCCGGCTGACGCGGCCGGGCGACGGCGGCGCCTCGTACACCAGCACCTCGGCGGCGCGGATGCGGGCGGCCAGGCCGGCGGCGGGGTCGGGGGCGGCGGGCGGGAAGCCGGGCAGCGACTCGATGATGAGGATGTTGTCGGCGCGGATGGTGCGCACGCCCGGCACCCGGCGGTACAGCTCCAGGAGCTGCTGCACCGGCCGCGCCCCCGCCGCGCCCGCGCCCGCGCCCGCGCCGCGCCGCGCGCCGCGCCGCCGCTCCGACTCGAGCCGCATGAACAGGTTCTCACTCAGCGGGCCCAGGCTGTCGGCCAGCACCAGCCGCTCGCCCGCCGGCTCCGCGGGTCCCGCCGCGTCCGCCGCGGGCCCCGGCGCCGAGCCCCCGCTCAGGGCCGCCAGCTTGGCCCGCTTCCGCTCCAGGATCTCCCGCTTCCAGGCGGGCATCCCGGCGCGGGGCCCCGGGCCCGGCCGCCCCAGGCCGGCCATGCTGCCGAGCGGCCGCCCGAGCCAGCGCGCGCTGGGAACTGCGGCCGCCGCCCGCCGGTAGCCCTCGCGCAGCGGCCACGCCCACTCCCGCGGCCGCCGCCCATTGGAGAAAGGCGTTCTGAGACCCGCCCCACGCCCGGCGGCTCCACCTATGACAGGAAAGGATGGCTAGCCGAGCGGATTGGAGAAGGCTCTCCCTGACCCCGCCTCCCCGAGGACCTCATTGGATAACCTCCTCCGCCGCCGCCGGCTGCCATTGGAGAAGGCCCCTTTGAACACGCCCCTGACACCTCGCGCTGCTCATTGGCGGCCCTCACTTCCGCCTCTGCGCTCCGCCCTGGACGCCTGGGGGTGGGGCCTGGCGGGGGCGGGGTCCCGGGGGGGGGCGGTAGTTGGACCCCAGCGCCCAGGGTCGCGGATGACCTTGGCCAGGCGGCCAGGTAACTTCCTCTGGTGCCAGCGCCCACCCCAGCCCGCCTACTCCCCCCTGGAGGAGGGAGGACCTGCCCAGGACCCGTAGGCTATCCCCGCTCCTGTGGGCGATGCTCGGGCTGCACACCAGTCCCTCCCAGGCCATGCCTGCCCACCTGCGGCACTTGGCAGAGACGCCGCCGATGCCGGGACCCCACAGTGCTGAGGAATGGCCCCGAGGGTGGACAGTGAAGGAGTTGCTGCCTGGCTTTGCCGGCCCCAGAACCTGACTGTGTTGCTCAGACAGGTGGGGGCTCTGTGCCACACTTGGCCATCCAGGAGTGTGGAAGCTGCGAGGAGGCACCAAAGCTGAAATTCCTCCCCGTACACAAGCAGGCCCACGCCCCAAGAGCCACAAAAGCCAGGCCCTGTGTCCCATCCTGCTACCTCCCCAAGCTACTACTGAACTTCCCTCACCCGAGGCTGCTGGGTCCCACCGACCCTGAAGACACAGCCCCCGCCCTCGTGCCATGAGAAAGCAGATTCCCCTGTGGGCTGCCCAGTGCCCACCACATTCTTTTAGGTCCCTGGGACTCGGGAGAAGGGGGACCTGGGGAGCACTGACACAGATGCCCCCCGCAGTCAGCAGCAGTCGCTCAGGCACGACACTGCCCCCCACAGACTGGTCTCTCAGGGAGGGAGTTCCGAGGGAGCGGGGCAGGCTCAGCCGAGGGCTCTTCTCCGCTTCTGATGCCGGGGCGGTAAGTCGCCTTCCGAAGGAAGTGAACCTTATTATTCTGGTCACTTCTACAGCAACCTGATTCTGAACTAACAAAACAAACAGGCAACCTAAAATAACATCCGAAACTCACTCCAGTCCTAGGTGGCTTGGCTCAGTGGAAAGAGCGTTGGTCTGGGGACAGAAGGGTCCCAGGTTCAATTCCGGTCAAGGGCATGTACTTAGGCTGCCAACTGGATCCCCTGCCTTGGTGAGGGCGTGTGCTAAGGCAACCAATCGATCTCTCTCTCTCTCTTTCTCTCCCTAAAAATCAATGGAAAAATACCCGCAGGTGAGGATTAACAAACAAGAAGACTCATTCCAAACGTTCAGCTTGTATTTAGCTTTGGCACAAGTGACGCCATGCCTGGGTGGGAAACGTCTGTAGCTGTGGTTCAGACCAGACCGAGCCAGTCTCCGGCTCAAGCATCTCCGTGGCCACGCAGCACACGTACGCCCTCAGCCGAAGGTCACAAAGCTGCTGGGCTAGAACGAGGTCCACAGACCTGTTCCGTAAAAGGCCAGACAGGAAATATTCTAACCCACTGGTCCTCACCGGGGGTGTTGTTTCTCCCAGGAGACCTGGCAATGCCTGACACACTTTTGGGTGTCACCAATGAGACGCCACTGGCACCTACAGAGTCAAGGCCGGGGATGCTGCTACACAGTCTCCACTGCTCAGGAGCGCCCCTCCTGGAACAAAGAACGATCTTACCCAGAAGACCTTGGTGCTGAAACAGAGGCTCGCTGGCTTCCTGTCATTCTTCTGTTTCCTCACCCCTTTCAAGATGAGGGCACACAGAAACAGGCCTCAGGCCATAACCTGTGACCCTGCTCTACGGTGTCAGCAGGATCCACAAAGACCGCATGCTGGCCGGATGCCAGGGCTCGGAGGCCACACAAACTACTCACTAGGATCTCAGCAACGCCTTACCCCATGTCTTCGTGCGGCTCCCAAGGCAGGCAGTAGGAATTCTCGGAGGGAAACCTTCCCCCTCCACCCATGAGGCTCCCGCAGGTGCCAGCCCTCCTACAGCCTCAGCTCCACCACCAACTGCCGCGCCCAATGGGTCAGGCAAACCACGGCGCTTCAGCAAAACATCCTATTTTATTTTTTTATCTCAGCGAATGTTCTCACCCGGCACCTGACTGGTACCAAACCAAAGCCCTCAAGCCAACAAATAGGAGCTGAGACCCTCTGCGAGCTTCCGGCTGCGGGTCTCGATGCCTCTGAGCATCCGAGCACCTTCCCCTTTCTGGTCCCTTAGTGAGGCCTACATATCTCAGGTGCGCTCACGGTGCTGGCCACCAGGTGGCGGACAAGTCCTCACCCCGCAACCTGCTGAGACCGGAAGCCCAAGCAGAGTCTGGAACACAAAGTTCTTTTCTCAGGTGCCAGGACTCCAGACAGGGAGGGTCCTGATCCTGCTTATTCAACACCGTCCTGGGTGCCTTGGCTGGAATGAAGAAAGGACCATCACTCCCCCCAGCGGCAGGGGGAGGAGATACCAGCTGCTTTACATCTTTTAGAGCTCAGACACCTAAGGCAGCTTGTCTGGGTGAATGGGACCATGAGCTCTGAGGTCAGAGATGCCGGCAGACGTCGCAGCCGGGGCACAGAGGGAACTTTCCCAGGACCCATGAGAATACTGAGCCTGCGAGGACATTTTGCTTCTATGCCGTTTCCAGCTGCCAGAGGAGTTGAGGCCTGTCATGCTTGGGTCCATCGCAAGATCTCAATGCAGATGCGCTATTCAAAGGAAACAACAGGAAATAGATTTTAAGCATCAGGGATGTTTCATCCCTGCTGAGGGAACAGTTTCAGACCTGGCCGGCCTAGAGAGAAGGGAGCACTCCGCAGGGTACAAGTTGCAGTTGCTTTCAGACCCAGACTTCTCGTCCGGGGCGGTGGGGTGGTCCTCCGCTCTGGGGCCAGCACTCTGGCTGTGGAGAGCGAGTTCCCTCTCCGGCCCCCTCTGCGAGGCTAGTTGACCCGGCAGGCGCGGATCATGAGCAGCTGCAGGAGAATGAAGACGGGAGACGTGATGAGGCCGAACCAGAGCTCCCGAGCCTGCTCCACCAGCTTCTGGCACAGCAACATCTCGAACACGAACTTGAGGCTGAGAACCGTGAGGATCCAGAAGAGGCGGAGCACGGCCAGCCGCTTCTCCCCGTCCTGGAAGAGACGCACCGACACGATGGTGGTGAAGTAGGTGCTGAGCCCGTCAGCGGCGAAGAAGGGCACGAACACGTTCCACCAGGACAGGCCGGGGGCCAGGCCGTCCACGCGCAGCGCCAGCAGCACGGAGAACACCAGCAGGGCCAACAGGTGCACGAAGATCTCGAAGGTGGCGAAGCCCAGCCACTGCACCAGCTCCCGGAGCGAGAAGAGCATCGCGCCGGCGGAGCGCGGGCCCGGGCCCCGCCGAGCGTCTCGCCCGCCGGGCCGCGCCTCCCCGCCCCGTGGGCCTCGCCAGGCGCCCGCCGCTGCGGACGACGGGCGCCGAGCGGCCCGCCTGCCCCGTTCCTCGGCCCCGGCGCGTCGCCGATCCCCCGACCCCGGCCCGGGACCCAGCACAGGCCGCCAGCGGACGCCCGCCGCGCTCGGACGCCATGCCCCGCTGGACGCAGCCCCAGCGCGTCACTTCCGGGCGACGCCGGAAGCCGGAAGTCAGAGTCGTTCCCGCCGCCTGGGCTCTCGGGGCAACTTGTGGGTCGTGTTGCCGGGCGCAGGGGGCCCCTCACGCCCTCACGCCGCCCCCCTCCACCACCGCCTCCCGATGCCGAGCCCACGGCTCCTGGTGCTGTTCGGCAGCCAGACGGGCACGGCCGAGGATGTGGCGGAGCGGCTGGGCCGCGAGGCCCGGCGTCGGCGTCTCGATTGCCGGGTGCAAGCCCTGGACTCCTACCCGGTGGTGAGGGCTCCCTGGGCCTCGGCGGGGAGACCGGGTGCCCTGGCGCCGGCCCCCTGAGCCCTCGGCCCCAGGGCGTCGGGTTTGGCCCGAGAGGACCCTCCTGTTAGGGAGGATTTGGGGGACCGGAAGGCGTGTGGAGGAGGGGCGGGGGCTCCCGGGGGAGAAGGGGAGCCGGGGCCCGCGGGTCTCCCCTTGTAACCGTGCCCCGCCACCAGGGCACGATCAGGGCTAGGAATTGAGCTGTGAAGCCAGTGACCACATGTCCACCCTCATGGGGCCAAGCACAACGCAGAAGCAGCAGGTTTCACGGGCAGGGTCAGTGCCAGGAAGCACAGGCCGCGGGGGAAAAGAGCCAGATGGGGTGGGGGCAGCAGGAAGTGCTGTCTGTCCCAACCCGGTCATCACAGCCCGAGGCCTTACACCTGTGTCTTTCTGTTGAGGTGAATCTGATTAACGAGCCTCTGGTGGTGTTTGTTTGTGCAACTACAGGCCAAGGAGACCCCCCTGACAACATGAAGGTAGGGCTGCCGCGGCGGCTGCATGTGCTCAGGCGGGAGATCCCTGCCCCGGACCTCACCCCCTCGTCATTGTGGGGGGGGAGGGGGCAGGGTCTGAGAAGCACAGTGAGCCCGTGCCCTTAGGCATTGCTGTGGGCGGCGGCAGCTGTGGGTGTGAGCGGAGCTGGGGTTCTGGTTTCCTCCCAATAAACTCCTCCAGGCACCACGGCTCCCCCTCCCGCTGTTCCGGGCGTGTGTGACTCTCGTCAGAGTCTTACGTGTATTTCAAAGCTGGTTTGACTTTCCGGGAACATCCTCAGTTCTTTAGCCATCATTGGGCACACGTCATCGTTCAGGCAGGACACAGGGCTAGGAATTGAGCTGTGAAGCCGTGGCCATGTTTCTGCCCTCGAGGAGCCCGCCACAGAGCGGCGGCGGCGGCGGCGGCGGCGGCGGCGGGTGCCACAGGCAGGGGCAGTGCCAGGAAGTACGTGCCACCGGGGAACGTACCAGGTGATGTGGGGTATGGGCGAATTCCCGAGGATAAGGGAGGGCCGCCCAGGCCCCAGGAGAGAGCGGGCAGCCGGTGCCCCGGGAAGAGCAGCTCAGGATGGCAGAGCCAAGGTGTGTTTTGGGGGAGGAGGGAGCAGAGTGAGGAAGGGAGGCCCGTCTGCGGAGCCTGCTGCCACGGTGAGGCAGGGGGATGTGAAGTGACAGTCACATTCCTGTTCCAGTAAAACCACCACGGGGGTGAGGGGGGGCAGGATGTAGGTGAGCAAGGACAGTGGGGGGTGGGGGGCTACCCAGCACGGGCAAGAGAGTAAAGGTGGATGGGTCCCTGAGACTTTAAGGAAGACTCGACAGGACACAGAAGCAAACAGATTTCAAAGATGAGAAAGAAGGCGGTGGGATCAAGACAGGGATTCCGGCTCAGGTACCGGAGCGATGGTCGTCGCACGCAGGGAAAGGGACCAGCGAGGCCCGTGCCTGGGACCGTGCAGGTGGAGGTGGGAGGTGGCCCCGGAGCTCCAACCAGGCCTGGGTGGGGCCGGTGTTGGAGAGGCCGCAGTGGGAAGCTGAGGAAGGAAGCCCCCTCTGGGCCCCTCAGGACAGGCTGCCAGGACCGTGGCCCCGCAGAAGAGGGAATGCAGGGTCTCCACGCACAAGAGGAGCCTTCAGAGGAAGGTGTCTGCTCCGACCGCAGGGAAATGACGAGAGAGAAAGCTGAGGCCTCCCGTGGGACTTATCAGCGAAGCACTGGTGACCTTGGGGTGGGGGGAGGCTGGATAAGGGTCACTGGCTACTGAGAGGGGAGGGAGTCTTTTCGGAACTTGTGGCTGTGCGTGGGGCTGAGGGGTTAGAAGGAAGGAATTATAAGCTGGGAGAGGCCCGGGCCAGTGGATATGCTGGTGGGTCAATCGCTGGAGACTAAAGAACAAGAGGGGGTGGGTCTGATGTGGGAGACTCGGGGTCTCCAGGACCCCAGCGCAGGGTCTCCTCAAACAGGAGAGGAAGCAGGTTGGCAGGATCAAAGGCAGGAGGCAGGTCCAGGCTCAGGCTTTTCCGTCAGCTTTTTTTTCTTTCTTTTTTTAATATATTTTATTGACTTTTTATAAAGAGGAAGGGAGAAGGATATAGAGTTACAAACATCGATGAGAGAAAAACATGGATCAACTGCCTCCTACACACCTCCCACTGGGGATGTGCCCACAACCAAGGTACATGCCCTTGACTGGAATCGAACCTGGGACCTTTCAGTCCACAGGCCGACGCTCTATCCACTGAGCCACACTGGTCAGGGCTCTGGCACCAGGGAAAGTTACTCCCTGTGCCGGGCTGGGAAAGGCCCCCGGGGCGGGAGGCCCCAACCAGCACACGTCCTGTGAGGGTCACAGGACAGCAGCTCCTCAGCAGTGACCCCCCCCCACCCGCTCAGAGCTCAGGTTTGGGGAGGAGGGGAGGGATTTCAACCCAAACTCCCCCATGGCCGGTCAGGGCGGAGAAGGCAGGTGTGCGAGGGCCCCCTCCCCTGGCATGACAGGGCCACACGAGGGCCCCCTCCCCTGGCATGACGGTCCGTGTGGCGGGCCCGGGTCAGCACGGCTGGAGGTGCCGGCAGGCTGAGCCTCAGGCGGCTCTGCAGACCCTGGGCCTCGCCCTCGCAGCTCCCGCACGGCTCAGCCACCAGGAGGGACCCAGAGGAAGGAAGGTGCTGCCGAGTGGGGCAGGGTGGGGGCGGACACAGCCCAGAGCTGCACTGTGGAGGCCCAGAGCCCTCCACCCCCCAGGGACCCCGGGGATGGGGGACTCTGGGTGTGGAGGAGCAGGCCGTTCCTCCAGCCTGGGGAGAGGGGGGGTCGGCCGCAGTGCCAGCCTCCCCCCCACACACACACACCCCGGCAGTGGCTCTGGGGCAGCCTCTCGCAGTCCCTGCCTCTCCCGTGTCCCTCGCCTCCGTGGTGGGACGAACTTGGAAGGCGGTCTGTTAGCAGCGGGGGGAGTGGGCCCTGGGAGGCCGGCCCCGCCCTCCGGCCCGCCTGGGCTCAGTGCCGAGCGGGTCCTGACTCACGTCTCGGGGTCTCAGAGCTTCTGGAGGTTCCTGTTCCGGAAGAACCTGCCGCCCGCCTCCCTCTGCCAGGTGGACTTCGCCGTCGTGGGCCTCGGGGACTCCTCCTACGCCAAGTGAGTGGGCGCCAGGCTGCGGCGGGGGCCGGCGAGGCGTCCTGGGGGAGGGACCCGCGCCCCAGCCTCCAGGGCTCCCGCCAGGCTGGGCCCTCGCCCACCGGGGCTCCCCAGCGGGTGCCTCTGGGTGGGCAGGGCGTCCAGGCCGGGCACCCCAGGGGACTTCCCGCTGATGCCCGCCAGCGCCAGGTATTCACAGGCCCAGGACAACCGCTCTCGCCCGCTTTACAGAAACGTGTGGTGCAGAGGCCCGCGGGGTGGGCACTGGGAGCAGTGCCCAGGCCAGGAGCCCGTGGCCACCACCTCCCCTCCATGTCCCTCCGCGTCCTCACGGCCACCTGGGTCCTCGCAGAGGGCCGTGGCTGCCCGCGGCACCAGGTCACGGGCGTCAGGACCCTGACCGCCCAGCGGGTCAGGGCTGAGGGGCCCGTGAGAGGAGGGCACGCTCACTGGAGGGAAGGAGAAAACTGGTGACTGGCCCTGGTGCTCACAGCGTCCGCGGGACGGCTCCTTCCGGGCTGCACTGGCCAGACCACCCGGGAGATGGGGAGACGTGGGGCTGCCCTCTGCCCTCTGCCCTGCGTGGCTGGCTGCGCCATCTCCTCACCTCCCGCCCAGCTCCCCTAGCAGCCTCCCTCTCTGCTCAGGTTCAACTTTGTGGCCAAGAAGCTGCACCGGCGGCTGCTGCAGCTAGGGGGCGCCGCGCTGCTGCCGGTCTGTCTGGGGGACGACCAGCACGAGCTGGGGTGAGCCTGGGGCCGGGGTGGGCGTGGGCTGGGGTGAGTCTGGGGCTGGGGTGGGCGTGGGGCTGGGTGGGGGTGGGCGTGGGCCGGGGTGAGTCTGGGGCCGTGGTGGGTGGGGCGGGAGCGAGCGCCTGGGGCCAGCCCTGAGCAGCCCGCACTGCACCGTGCCCTCTCCAGACCCGATGGCGCCATCGACCCCTGGCTGCACTCGCTGTGGGAGAAGGTGCTGGGGCTGTACCCCGTGCCCCCTGGCCTCGGCGTGATCCCCCCTGGAGTCCCGTGAGTGGCTTTGGTTCGGGGCCCCGCGGGCGCGCCGAGCAGCCTGGCCACCGCCCCGGGCCTCCGCCTGCCGGTCTGACGGGCGCCCCTCCACAGCTTGCCTTCCAAGTTCACCCTGCATTTCCTTCCGGAGGCCTCCGGGCCGTGCCCCTCGGAGCAGCGCGCGGCCCAGGCCGCCCCCCCGAGCCCCCCCTCAGAGCGGCGGCCCTTCCTGGCGCCCATGGTCACCAACCAGCGGGTCACCGGCCCCTCCCACTTCCAGGACGTGCGTCTCATCGAGTTCGACATCGCGGACTCGGGCATCAGGTGAGGATCCGTCCGGGCACCGGGCCAGGCCACGGTGAGGCCTGGTCCCCCAGAGCCTCGGCAGCCGGCGGCAGGCGGGCACCTCGGACCCAGGGCCCAGCCCCCCAGACACCAGCCCCGTCTTCTGCGCCCGCCTCCACCCGAGTCCCCAGCTCCCGCCCCCCCGCTGGCTTCCCACAGCTTCGTGGCCGGCGACGTGGTGCTGATCCAGCCCGAGAACACAGCCCCGAACGTCCAGCTCTTCTGCCAGGCGCTGGGCCTGGACCCCGACCGGCACTTCACGCTGCAGCCGCGGGAGCCCGGTGAGTGCCGCCGGCGGCCTCCCCCGCCCCACCCTCACCCCACCCCCACCCCAACCCCAACCCCTCCTCGCCCAGGTCCCCCACCCCACCTCTCCCCCACCCCTCCCCCACCCCCACCCCCTCCTCGCCCATGTCCCCCACCCCACCCCTCCCCCACCCTCACCCTCACCCCCACCCCCTCCTCACCTATGTCCCCCGCCCCCCCCACCCTCACCCCGCCTCGCCCGGCCCACCACCGCCTGCTGCTCCAGGTGCCGCCTGCCCCGCGCGGCTGCCCCAGCCCTGCTCGGTGCGGCACCTGGTGGCCCGGCGCCTGGACATCGCCGGCGTGCCGCGGCGCTCCTTCTTCGAGCTGCTGGCCTGCCTGTCGCCCCACGCGCTGGAGCGGGAGAAGCTGCTGGAGTTCAGCTCGGCGGCCGGCCAGGAGGCCCTGCACCAGTACTGCAGCCGGCCCCGCAGGACCGCCCTGGAGGTGCGGGCGGGGGCGGGCCGGGGGCGGGGGGGGGGCGGGGGGCCGGCCGGAGCCGCCCGCTGAGGCCCTGTCTGCGCAGGTGCTGTGTGACTTCCCGCACACGGCGGCGGCCATCCCCCCGGACTACCTGCTGGACCTCATCCCCCCGATCCGGCCGCGCACCTTCTCCATCGCCTCCTCGCTGCTGGTGAGCGTCCGCCGGGGCCACCTTCCTTCCCCCTGGCTCACCCTCCCCTCCCCTACCCTCCCCCAGGCTCACCTCCCCTTCCCTCCCCCAGGCTCCCCCTCCCTCGCCCGGGCTCACCCTCCCCCAGGCTCACCCTTCCCCAGGCTCACCCTCCCCTCACCCAGGCTCACCCTCCCTCCCAGGCTCACCCTCCTCTCCCCACCCCTCCCCCAGGCTCACCCTCCCTCGCCCAGGCTCACCCTCCCCTCCCCTGCCCTCCCCCAGGCTCACCCTCCCCCAGGCTCACCCTTCCCCAGGCTCACCCTCCCCTCACCCAAGCTCACCCTCCCTCCCCAGGCTCACCCTCCCTCCCCGGCTCACCCTCCTCTCCCCTCCCCTCCCCCAGGCTCACCCTCCTCTCCCCTCCCCTCCCCCAGGCTCACCCTCCCTCCCCAGGCTCACCATCCCTCCCCAGGCTCACCCTCCCTCCCAGGCTCACCCTCCCTCCCCAGGCTCACCCTCCCCCCCAGGCTCACCCTCCCCCCCCGGCTCACCCTCCCTCCCAGGCTCACCCTCCCTCCCCTAGGCTCACCCTCCCCCTGGATTCACACCCCCCCCCCCCCGGCTCACCCTCCCCTCCCCCGGGCTCACCCTTTCTCCCCCAGGCCCACCCTCCCTCCCCCAGGCTCCCCCTCCCTCCCCCGGGCTCACCCTCCGAGGCCAGGTTCCAATGGGGGGCAGGTGCCACCTTCCCGCCCCCACCCATCCGGCCTGCCGACCTGCTCCCAGGCTCACCCCAGGAGGCTGCAGGTGCTGGTGGCCGTGGTGCAGTACCAGACTCGCCTCAAGGAGCCCCGCCGGGGCCTCTGCTCCTCGTGGCTGGCGTCGCTGGACCCTGGGCGAGGTGACCTCCGCTGTCCGGCAGGTCGGGGCGAGGGCGAGGGCCCTGGCCCTCCAGGCCTCGTCATGCCGCTTCCTCCTGCCGCAGGCCCGGTCCGGGTGCCCCTGTGGGTGAGGCCCGGGGGCCTGAGCTTCCCCCAGGAGCCCGGCACCCCGGTGATCATGGTGGGGCCCGGCACCGGCGTGGCCCCCTTCCGAGCGGCCGTCCAGGAGCGAGTGGCCCGGGGCCAGACAGGTGAGCGGCGGGCGGCCGGGCGGTGGGCGGGCGGGCGGGCGGGCGGGCGGCGGGCGGCGGGCGGCGGCCGGGCCTGCGGCAAGGCAGGCTCGAGGCCCCTCCACCCCCAGGGAACTTCCTGTTCTTCGGCTGCCGCTGGCGGGACCAGGACTTCCACTGGGAGGCCGAGTGGCGGGAGCTGGAGGAGAGGGGCTGCCTGACCCTGGTCACGGCCTTCTCCCGGGAGCAGGTGGGTGTGCGGAGGGCGGGGGGCGGGGCGGGGCGGGGGGGGGGGGGCGCTCACCCTCCCTCCTGTGTCCGGGGTCCCGCAGGAGCGGAAGGTGTACGTGCAGCACCGGCTCCGGGAGCGAGGGCCGCTGGTGTGGGAGCTGCTGGACCGCCAAGGCGCCTGCTTCTTCCTGGCGGGGTGAGCCGGGGGCGGGAGCGGGGGAGCCCGGAGCAGGGGGGCCAGGGGCGGGGTGAGCCGGGGGCGGGAGCCGGAGAGGGGGGCCAGGGGCGGGGGAGCCCGGGGCGGGGGGCCGGGGGCGGGAGCCGGGGGTGGGAGCCGGGGAGGGGGGAGCCCGGGGCAGAGTGAGCCCGGGGCGGGAAGCCAGGGTCAGGGGGAGCCTGGGGCGGGGAGCCGGGAGGCCAGGGGCGGGGGGGAGCCAGGTGTGGGGGCAGAGCACCGGCCCTCGGGCACCAGGCAGCACTGAGCCCGGGCTGCCTCTTCCCAGCAACGCCAAGGACATGCCGGCAGCGGTGTCGGAAGCCCTGCTCTCCATCTTCCGGGAGGAGGGTGGACTCTCGGACTCAGAGGCAGCCGCCTACCTGGCCCGGCTGCAGCGGACCCTGCGCTTCCAGACCGAGACGTGGGCCTGAGGAGCTGCCTGCCGCCGGCCCCTCAGGCTGCCCTGCCTGACCCCACGTGGCGACGGCCAGCTCCCCGCGTGGCCACATGCACCCGGGGCCTGCCCTCAGCCGCCCGTCCCTGGCTCCAGCCGGCCTTCCCCACTGGCCCCGAGTTAGGTCCTGCTCAGGGGCACCCAGGAAGGCACCCTAGCCTGACGGGCATCAGGGGGCTCCCCCGGACACCAGATTCCAAACAGCACAGGAACCCCCGGGAGGGCCGAGGTCCCCCTCTGCCTGGTGGCACCCGGCCCCAGCTCCCGGGCCTGAGGGCTGTCTCCATCCTCACCTGGCTGCAGGAAGACTCAGCAATAAACGCCGGCTCAGGTGCCACTTCTGACCTGTTTGTTCTCATGCTGTTCCGATGCCTCAGGGGTGGGCCTACAGCTCCTGACGGAGACAGCGCCCCTGGTGGGGACACAGCCGTGGCTCAGCACCAGCTCAGCACCGCGGTGGGAACACTTGGGTGTCTGATTCTCGCCCGGTGGGTGTGGCTGCTGGCCCACCTTGTCCAAGCTCTGACGAGGCGGGGGCAGTCTGGAGAGACCCGAAGGAAGGTGTAGGGGGTGCCCCCTAGGCGGGAAAAGGCCATTCCTTCAGCCAGGGAGCAGCAGCCTGAGGCCCAGGAGGAAGGGGGTGTGGCCCGGAGGGGGCGGGCAGGCGCTGTCACCACCTGGGATGGGCCTTCCCGGCCAAGGAAATTCCTGTTGGGGCAGTTGGGCAGGCCGGCCTCCCCACACTGCGGCCTGGGGCCCATCTAAGTCAGGTGCTGACCGGAGTCCGCGGTAGCTGGTGGTAGCTGTGCGACCCGGGCGGACCCAGTGGGGCAGCCTGTGTGGGCCCAGGAGCGGCTGAAGCTGGCACGGTGCTGAGGCCACGGGAATTCACTTCCCATCGGGGCGAGGAGCCAGAGGAGGCAGTGGCTGCTGCAAGGTCAGTGCCAGACGCTGCCCCGGCCCGAGGGCCAGTGACCTTCCCAGCCCCACCACCCACTGCCGCCCTGGGGTCCCGTCCCCCCGATCCTGACTCCTGCCCGGAGGCCCCTCCTCATGGCCCCTCTGACCTTAGCTCGGGGCTCCCCAGTCCGCCCTCAGCCTGCCCGGGGCCTGAGCGCCTGGACCCACTGTGCCAAGTGCCAGCAGAGGAGAGGCTGGACGGCCAGGCCCTTGGGAGCCCTAGGGATGCCAGGTCTCTGGACAGCGAGCCCCTGCTGGGGACTACAGGGGCAGCCCCCCCCTGGGCTGGGCCCACAGGGGAGGAGGAAGAGGAAGAGGAGGAGGAGGAGTGTCCCATCTGCACAGAGCCCTACGGGCCCGCTGGGCACCGCCTGGCCCTGCTGAACTGTGGCCACGGCCTGTGCTCGGGCTGCTTGCAGCAGCTGCTGGGCTCCGCCCCCAGCGCCGACCTGGGCCGCGTGCGCTGCCCGCTGTGCCGCCAGAAGACGCCCATGCTGGAGTGGGCGATCTGCCGGCTGCAGGAGGAGCTGCTGCAGGCCGACGGGCCCCCGCGGCCCCCGAGCCCGGCGCCCCCCGCCCCACCCCGCCGGGGCCCGGGGCCCTGGGCCTCCCTGGAGCACCGCTACCAACTGCGCTTCCTGGCGGGGCCCGTGGGCGTCCAGGGCTGCCTGCCCTTCCTGCCCTGCCCGCCCTGCCTGGGCGCCCGGCTGTGGGCGCTGCGGGAACGGGGGCCCTGCGCCCGCCGCCTGGCGCTGCTGGGCCTGCTGGGCCTCGAGCTGCTGGGGCTGCTGCTGGTCTTCACGCCTCTCTTGCTGCTCGGGCTGCTGTTCATGCTGCTGGACCGCGCTGGCCGCTGAGCGCCCGAGCCGGCCTGTGCCTCTGCCCGCTCCGCCCGAGGTGCCGGTGGCCACGTCCTGCAGGCCTGGTGCGCGGGGCCACGCCTGGAGGAGCACCTTGTCCTGAGCCTGGTGACCAAGGCTGGCGGGGCCTGGCCTTCAATCACGACCCAGTCCTGGGCCCAGCTCACCCAGGAGCCTCTGTGCAGCCCCTGACTCTGAACCGCTGCTGTCAGACAGTGCCCGCGGCGCCCAAGGACAGGCTGGAAGGTTCGTGGCAGGGCCCCAGCTCCCCTCGGGGACAGGCACCACCCTGCCGGCCCCCCCACCGCACCTGGCGTGTCTGAGGCTCCGAGGACACCGTGACCGGCCGCCTCACCTTGGAGGGTGGGGCCCGGGCAGGGGCTGCCGGCCGCCCCACCCCCTCCTGCCCGTGTCCCAGATCAGGGCCCACGTGTGTTCCTGAAGGTCAGGGCAGCCGAGAGGAGAGGACCTCGCTCTGCAAACTCAACCCACAAAGGGCCTCCCCGCCAGCCAGCTCGGGACCCAGGGGCACCACGCGTGGCCAGGACGGGCACATGCCCCTGAGCTACAAGGGACAGAGGCCAGCCTGGCCTTGGTGCGGGAGCGCGGAGCTGAGCCCCTGCCTGCGGCAGCCCGTCACCAAGCCGGGCCTTCAGCCGAAGGACAGACCCAGCCGGGCCGGCACCGCCTCACCGGCCGGCCTCACCGGCTGGGCACACGCTGTGCCAGCCCAGGAGACGTGTCTCAATAAACAGCAGCAGCCGCTGGAACCACTGCTCCAGTGCCGTCCTCCCTGTGCCCTTGTCCCGTCCAGTGGCCCTGCTCTGCCTGCCCCGCGTCCTTCCCAGACCCAGGTCATGCCAGGGTCAGACCAGAGGCTCCTAGGCCTGTGTTCCCTCCACCATCTGGCCAGAAGTGCCGACCCCCGTCCCACTGACCCAGAGCCCTTCCCACACGACCTCGGAGGGTCGGATGGTCCCCCACCCAGCCACCCCATGTCCGGTGGCTCCTGCCCTCTTGGGTCCTCCCTGCCCAGCTGGGTCCATTTGCACACCTGCCTGCACATGCCTGCCTGGCTCACGCAGGCAACTGGCTCTGCACAGGTGTGAGTGATGGTCACACATATGTACGCATGTGCACACATGCACAGCCAGGCCCAGTCACCTGAGCAGCATGCCCGGCCCAGCTTGACCAGGGAGCGGAGCAGACCGACACCACGCGGTGCTGGGCCTCCCCTGGCTGCCCCCTCCAGGCTGCAGTCCCCGGTGTCCACCCCGGCCTGGCGTGGAGGCCAGGCAGCGGCTGCAGGCCAGGGACAAGATGCAAACTTTGGCAGAGTTTTAATGGCAAAGTTGTTGCAGCGACAATGCCACACAGATGGGGGCCAGAAGCGGTAATGGGTAAGGGGTGGGGAGATGGGGCAGGGCCGGGTCCCAGAAGCAGCAGCGCAAGGAACAGCCGCAGGCGGCGGCGGGGGTGGTGGGCGGCGGGCGGGCGGGCGGGCGGGCGCTACATGATGGAGCAGGCGGACAGCGGGTTCCGCACGTGGCAGGTGCAGGCAGCCCCGCAGTACTGCCGGAAGGTCTGGTAGCAGCTGCCCTCGGGCTCACCCCCCCACTGGCCGCCGGACGGGGCGGTCAGCGCCTCGGGCGGCAGGCGGCTCAGAATGGACGTGTTGACGGCCAGCGCGGCCAGGCCGTAGTCGGTGAAGAGCACAGTCTCGCGGCGGCAGGTGGGGCAGGAGATGAACTTGTACTTGGGGCAGGACTCGTAGAGGATCTGCAGGCACTGCTCGCACACGGAGTGCAGGCAGGACAGCACACGGGGCCGCCGCTGCGCTGCGTTATACGTGTGCCCGCAGGTGGGACACTCCAGGGGCTCCCCGGGGGCGGGCGGCACTGCGGGGGGCCCCGAGGCCGTGGGGCCCGGCGCCCGCATCACGTACTGGTTCACAAAGACCTCGTCCACGGGCGCCACGCGGGGGAAGCCCAGCTCCGCGCTGCCCTTGCGGGGCCGGCGTGGCAGGGGCGGGGTGCGGGACGCCCCCTCCAGGGCAGGCATGTCCCCCCCACATGCCTGGTTGACGATGATCTCGGTGTCGGAGGGCCAGGCCCGCTTGGGAGCCAGAGCTGGGGTGGGCCGGGGTGCAGGTGGGAAGCAGGGGGCGGCCGCCTGCAGCTCGGGGAACTTCTCGGGGTGGACGATCTTCATGGCCTCCATCTTGAGGATGACATGGGGGCCCTTCAGGCAGGACATGAGGAGGCCCGGCCAGCTGCTGCCCGCCTCGGGCCCGGGGTCAGCCGGCATCCGGCTGTCTCCGGTCAGACAGGGTGCTAGGGTGGGAGGGGGCGTTGGGTGGGGCCGGGGGGGAGGAGCAGGGGCAGCATCCTGGTCCCGCCAGGCCTGGTGGGGACCCCAGCCTCCCCGAGGACTCTTGGGGGCGACTGGCGAGAGCTGGGGGGGCAGGGCCCCTCCCGGTGGCCACAGCGGCTTCTCTGGTCCAGTCCGAGGAGGAGGAGGAGGAGGAAGGGGTAGGGGGGCGGGAGGCAGGCAGGGCGGGCAGAGGGGGGCGGGAGGCTGCCTGGGGCTGCAGGTCCGGCCCAGGGCCTCACCCAGGGTCTCCGGCTGCTGCAGGGGCCGGCGAGGGGCTTTGGGGCGGGCTCTCCGTGCGGCCGAGGTCAGCAGTGCCCGGGCCGGGCCCTCCGGGCAGGCGGGGGCTAGGTGGGCCCCATGGCTCCAGGGCAGGGCGCCCAGGGAAGGCAGGTAGCCGGAGGCCTGGCTGCGGGCGGGCCCGGGCCGCAGGCTCGGCGGTGGCGGGAGCGGGGAGGAGGCCCGGAGCAGGCCCCAGCTGCAGGTGAGACACGGCGTGAGCGCGGCCGCCCGCCCGCCCTCGCTCCGCACAAAAGGCCGGCGCCGACCTCTGACCCCGACCCTCTCCCCGCGCGGCCCGGCCCCCTCCCCGTCCCGCCCCCGAGGCCCGGCCGCCGCGCGGGGAGCCCCGCCGCTCACCTGCCCCAGCCTGGCGGCCGCCGCCGCGCAGAGGTTGTCTCAAAGGCGGCGGATGCGGGCCCGCGCCTGGCCCGGCGGCTCCGGCGGCTGCGGCGGCTCCGGGCGATGGCGCGGCGGCCCCCGGGCGCGGGCAGCGGGGAGCGGGGAGCGGGCGCGGCGGCGGCAGGTGCGTGCGAGGCGCGGCGCGCTCTGCGGCGGAGGCGCGGGGACCGCAGTGCGCGCGGCGCCCGCCCGCGCCCGCAGCGCCACCCCCGCCTGGGACCCGCGCGGGGTCCGCGGGGCGGGGCCAGCGGCTCCGGGCTGCCCCTCGGTGCGCAGAGGGCCCGGCGCCCGCCCCGGGGTCACCGGCGCCCGCGGGCCGCGTGCGGGTGCCCGTCCCGCCCCGCCCCTCCCCTCCCCGGCTCCCGCTGCGTCCCCGCCTGGCGGACCGGAGCCCGAGCCAAGCCTCTGCGCCCGGAGCTCAGGGCCGGAGGGAAAGGAGTGGCCCAGAGGTGACCCCGAGAGCTGGCTCCCGGCTCGGCCCTGGGACCGCCTGCGCCCCCCGCCCGCCCCGGAGCTCAGCGTCTCCGCTCAGGCCCGGGAGCGCCTCGGGGCTCCGGCCAGCGCCGCAGGCTGCGGGCAGGGTGGCCACCCAGGGGCGCAGGGTGGGCAGGCGCCAGAGTGGACGAGGGAGGGCCGGCTGGGAGAAGGCTCCGGGCCCAGGGCGGCCGGACAGGTGGGTGGGGAGGCGGACGTGGAAGGTCAAACAGCCGGGCAGGCAGCACACACCCACCCAGGGTGCGGTGGCCTCCGCACCCCAGCAGCCGGGCCGCGGTCACCCCGCTGAGTGCGCACCTGGCCCCACCCAGCAGGAAGCCCCATTCCTCTCTGCTTCCTCCGCAGCCAGGCCTCCCGGATCCGGGCCTAGGGCGGCCTCCCTGGGTGACGGCGCGCAGAGGACGGACGTGCTGGCGCCACAGGGAGGGAGCCAGGGCCTGCCTCTGACCGGGGCAGCCCGTCTCTTCCGCGAGGCCGGGCTGCACCTGTGTGCCGGCCCTCAGGGCCGCGGGCCCGGCGCTCGGTGCTCCCGGAGAGGCAGCCACGTGGGCGCACAGGCGGGAGGAGAGCCCTGGCCCCGGGCCGGCCTGTGCGACCTCCGGCCGGGGTCTAGGCCGCAGGAGCAGGTGGAGAGGTTCCCGCCCTGGCGGAGGGGAGGGCGGCCTCCAGGGCTCTGGCATGAAGTGGGACCAGGGAGGCTGGCGGACCGAAACGGGTGTGGCTCAGTGGATAGAGCGTCGGCCTGCGGACTGAAGGGTCCCGGTTCGATTCCGGTCAAGGGCATGTACCTTGGTTGAGGGCACGTCCCTAGTAGGAGGCGTGCAAGAGGCAGCTGATCGAGGACTCTCATCGATGTTTCTAACTCTCTCTCTCCCTTCCTCTCTAAAAAAATCAATAAAACATATATATATTTTTTTTTAATATATTTTATTGACTTTTCACAGAGTGGAAGAGAGAGAGAGTTAGAAACATCGATGAGAGAGAATCATCGATCAGCTGCCTCTTGCACACCCCCCATTGGGGACGTGCCCGCAAACAAGGTACATGCCCTTGCCCGGAACCGAACCCTGGACCCTTCAGTCCGCAGGCCGACGCTCTATCCACTGAGCCAAACCGGTCCTGGCATGTATATATATATATATTTTTTTTTTTTTATGGGAGGCTAGCGGGCCAGTGGACACGGGGGAGCCCAGCCTCAGCCCCGCACTCCACGCACCCCCCTACAGACCCGCTGGGCACGCACAGCCCAGGCCCCGCCCCCGCCCGAGGCCCCGCCCCCAGGAGCGAGGCCCCGCCCCGTGCAAGCCCCGGCCGGATCCGCGCCTCGAGAGCTCCCGGGGCGGCCCAAGGCGGGTTCGGAGCGGTCCGGGCCCGGCAGACCCCGAACCGGGTCTTCAAGGAAGCCTTCGAGCGCGGAGGCTTCTGGGGAATAAAGTTCCCACAGCCGCCTCGGGCCTGTGGTCGCGCATGCGCCTGGCCGCCTCGCCGCGAGGGGCGGGGCCTGCAGGCGCGGTGGGCGGGGCTCACGGCGCCTGCGCACGGGCCTCCGCTCCAGCCTGGGAAGTTCAAGGCCGCGGGCCGGTCCCGTGGGATCAGATGCTGCATCGGAAGAGCTCATGTCCGGACCGGTCAGACCGGCCCCCCGCAGAGGCCACCCGGGTCACCCTGGGCCCTGGGCCACGTCTGAGTTGATCCCGCCCTTTTGGGGGTTCCCCACGGCCACGAAGCACTGGGGTGACGGGGCCTGGCCGCACCCTACTGCCCCGGGGGGCGCTTGCCAATTCCAGGGTGCACAGTGTGTGCATCTGTTGTCACCCCTGCACACAGCCACCCTGTACGGCAAGTGCGGAGTGCCACCTTCCCATCCGAGGTGGGAGGGTTCAGGGCCCAGGCGGGGCGCTGAGGGGAGACTCCTGGCCCCAGGCGCCTCCCCGCAGAGGGAGCCAGACTGTCACTGTGCGTAGGAAGCGCGTGTCGCCAGTTGTCAGATAAGTTTTATCAGCAAAAGTGTGTAAATCGATTTTTTTATCAATGAAAAGGCCAGCCTCTGGGTCAGGGGCGGCACCTCTTTCCTGCAGGAGGCGTTTGGTGTTAATAACATCGTGCGCGGGCCACACAGATGACCAGCTTCAGAGCCAGCCTGCTCTGGCCCTCACACGTGTCATTAAGGGCCAGACCCCACGGCTTCCCGGCCTCCCACGGCCCCCGGGCCCGACCCCCCACCCCTGCACTCAGGAGTCCACGCCTCAAGCCGCTCCGGTCTCGACCGGGGGAGAGGCTGCGGCTGCCAAAAACAGGGGCTCTGAGGGGCACGAGGGAGGGCCAGGGCCCCCACACCACCTGCCCTGGGGTCTGAGGCCTGACCCCGGCTCCCCTCCCGGCCTCCCGCCTGGCCCAGGACGTGCCTGGCGTGTGTCGAGGCTGAGTCACCCTGGCTGGCCGTGCCCCTCGGAGCCCGGGCCGTGGCCACCGCCCACCCGGGAAGGAAGGGTGGGTGCCCACGATGCTGGAGGAGCTAGAGCCTCCTGGGAACGTGGGAACCCCATTTTGAGGCCCGCCCACGGCCCCACCCCTCCCCAGGAGGGAAAAGGCAGCTGCCAGTCGCCGGCTCACAGGCTCGGCGAGGACAGAGGACAGACTGCGTTTGCCACTCCAGGTGGGTCCTGGGCCCTCCCTGCCCTGGGGCTCCCCGTAGGGCCAGCTCTGCTGTGCCTCCAGACCCCCCCCCACCCCTCCCGGCTCCCCCAGGGGTCAGCCACTCGGGGCAGCCGGAGACCAGCCCTCACGCTGGCTTTCCCTGGGGTGGGCACTTCCCCTCCATGAAGCCAACTGTCTGCTCTGCCCCCCCACCTCCCGCCAGGCCGGGCTATGGACCCCCACGAGATGGTGGTGAAGAACCCCTACACCCACATCAGCATCCCCCGGGCCCACCTGCGCCCGGACCTGGAGCAGCAGCTGGAGGCCGCGCACCGCCCCTCGGAGCTGCAGCCGCTGTCTGGGGGTGCCTGCGCCCCGGAGCCCTCCCGCCTGCTGCAGCCCGTAGAGGAGGTCTGGGGGCCCCAGGGGGCAAAGGGCGCCAAGGGGGGCGCCAAAGGGGGCGCCAAGGGGGGCGCCCCCGTCCAGGGCCCGCAGTCCTGGCAGCAGCCTGGCAACCCCTACTGCGGCGGGCAGCGCGGACTGACCTACGCCGGCCGGCCGCCCATCGGGCGCGGGGATGACATCGCCCACCACTGCTGCTGCTGCCCCTGCTGCTCCTGCTGCCACTGTCCACGCTTCTGCCGCTGCCACAGCTGCTGCTGCGTCGTCTCCTAGCCCCCCCCCCCGGGCGGCCGGACCCCGCTCGGGAGCGTGTGGACATTGGAGGTGCCCGCCGCCTCCCACCCCAGGCAGGGCCGTGCCACCGAGCCCGCCGCTCAGCTCGGCCTCTGGAAAAGACCCCCTCCCTCCAGGCCCAGCCGCTAATAAAGCCGTGAGCGTCCTCAGGCCATTCCTTTCGGGGGGCCCGGGTTGGAAGGACGTCTGGGGACAGGGAAGCCGCGGCCAATTCTGTGACCTGCGCTGCGGGACCGGGTCTGCCCTGAGGCTGGCAGGAGGGCCGGAGTGTGCCCCCGGCCCTGGCCAGGCCTGGGTTCAGCTAGGAGACACCTCAGTCTGTAGGTCCGCCAGGGGGCCAGGCATGGGATCTGGGGAGCAGGGCCTCAAGAAAGGCCCCCCCAAGAGAGGACCCGGCAGAGGGGAAGAGGGGGTGGGACCGGTGCCCGCAGGCTGTCTGTCTGGGACTGGGCGCTCCGGCAGCCAGGACCGAGCCTGCTCCCTCTGAGTCACCGCCCGCCCGCCAGCCACCAGGCATTCAATCTCCTAACAAACCCCGTTCCTGCACCTGCCCCCGGGCGCCCCGTCCAGACTCCGGCCTGGGCTTCCTGGAGGAGGCGGGGAGCCCGGTGGAGCCCCTGTCCCCACACCCCCCCCACCCCCGGCTGCACGCAGCACGGCATGCCTGTGGGAGGGCGTGCGGGCAGCTCCGCGGCGAAGGAAGCCGGCATTGCCTCACTGCGGGTGAGGCCGGGATGCCGGGGCGAGGAGTCAGTGGATGCCGGCACAGAGCGCCCCGTGTTTCCGGGCTGGGCCCAGAGCGCAGGAAGGAAGTCGAGCTGGCCCCGCAGGACAGACAGGTCCCGTGCTGGCATCCCTGACCCGTGGTGACTGGCCGCCTGGGTGTGGACGGACATGTCACTGGCCTGACTGTGCAGGAACGCGGGGTGCCCGGCTCCCGGCCACTGCCCCCGGCCCGCCCCCTCCCAGGCCGGACCCAGAAACCTGTCCGATCGGTGCCCCCTGCTAAGAGGCTGCACCCTGCCCACGATGGGAGTAAGGGGGCTCTGGCCTCGGGCTTCCCGCCACCGAGGTGGAGGGGCCTTGGCGATCCGGACCCTGTCTCAGCCCTTCTCTACGCACCCCATGCTGCCGTGTCTGGGGCCCTGGGGCCCTGGCGGTGATGGGGGCTCTGAAGGGTGTCCAGGGCTGCCTCTGGGTGGTCCGTGTCTGTGCCAGGACCTCCTTGGGGCCTTTCGGGGTGGGCCACGCGCCCCCCCCAGGTCGAGGGCCGGGATGAAAACACTGGCCTGAGCAACACGCACCCTCACACTGTGATTGAACTGGGCGGGGCGGTTCAGGCTCTGGGCCAGTGCGGCCCCGGCGGGCTTCCTGGAAGAGGCGACGCCGGAACGGAGATGAACAGGCCCATCTGGTTAAGACCAGGAGCCGCTCCGGCTGGGAGGGGAGCGTGAGGACAGGGCGGGAGGGAGTCAGGGTGAGCAGCGGGAGGATGAACCCGGAGGAGTGGAGGAGTGGCAGAGCCAGGCCTGGGTTGGGGGTTCCTGCTGCTGGGTCTGGCCCTGGGGATGGGGGCGGGGCAGCGTGGGGGGGCCGGTGGATCCAGTTGCAAGTGCTTTGTGGCTGAAAGGGGAGCCCGCCCGCCCGCCTGCAGCCACCACCTGCCTCCCTGCTGACTCGGGCTCGGCCAGTAACGTGAGCCCCTGGGAGGGAGCCGCAGGGCGCCCTGGGTCCCCTCACCCCGGCCACCCTCTGGCCGGCCCAGCCGCCCTGCAGAGCGGATGCAGGTAGGAGGCCCATGCCCGGGGCAGGCGGGTGGGTGGAAGGGGACAGGCCGGGCCCGGCAGGAGGGCCACGGGAAAGGCCAGGCAGCTGGACCGGACGCTGGCCCCCGGGCCCCCGGTGTCTGCGGCGGCCTGGGCTCCTGTCCCCTGGGCGGGCTCCCCGTGCCTGGGCCCTGAGCGGGCAGGACGGGGGCAGAGGCAGGAGGGGCACCCTGGCGGTTAGCTCCCGCATGCCTCCCCCAGGATGCTGCAGCCGGAGGGTCCCCCCGCCTCGGAGGAGGGGCCAGCCGCTGGCGCCCGGCGGGCCGACTGCATCGTCTGCTACTCGGCCTACGACCTGGCCGGCCGCCTGCCGCGCCGCCTGTACTGCGGCCACACCTTCTGCCAGGCGTGCGTGCGGAGGCTGGACGCGCCCGCCCACGAGCAGCGCTGGATCCCCTGCCCGCAGTGCCGCCAGAGCACCCCCACGCCCCGCGGAGGGGTGGCCATGCTGGACCTCGACCTGGCCGCCTTCCTGGCCATCAGGGCCGAGCGGGAGCCCCCCCGGGCTGGGCCCCGGCCCCCCGCGCCCCTCAAAGGCGGCCCCGCGGTCACTCAGCAGCCCGCCGTGCTCTGCCCGGCCCTGGGCCCCCAGCCCCGCTTCCCCCAGCCCTGCTGCTGCTGCTGCTGCTGTGGCTGCGGCCAGCTCTGCTGGGCGCCCCCGGGCAGCCCTGGCGTCTGAGCCCCGGCCGCGGCGGCCCCGGGGGCAGGGTCAGGGCGCTGGCGCACAGCCCGTCCGGAACAGCCCGGGGACTCAGAGTCCGGGTGCCGCCCCCCACGGACGCCTGGGCCCCCGCCTAAGGGGGGGTTGCGGCCACCACGGCACTGGAGGCTCTGCAGGGACGGTGACTGCCCCCCAAGCCGCAGGGGTCTCGGCCCCGAGCTGGCTTGGGTGCAGGGGTGGGGGCTGCTGCCGGAGTCTGTAAGCCCGTCCCTGACCCCTCCCAGGGGTCCCAGTGGGCGTGGGGGGACTGGGTGGGCGCTTCCCTGGGTGGGTGCCCGCTATGCTGGCAGCCTGTGGCGTTTCCACTCAACAAAGCTCGCTGAAACCACCGTGTCTGTGCCGTGAGGGGCCCTGCAGGCGTGAGGTCACCGGGAACAGGTGTCTGAGGAGAGGGTCAGCTCCAGGCCCAGAGGGCGGGACCTGCCCCGGGTCACACAGACAGCGCAGCAGGCCTACGCCCACCCAGGCCTCGCTGCGCCCTCAGTTGCCTTCTGCCCCCCAGTGGCCACACACAGACCCCGCGGAGGGGCCACGGCAGCTGCTAGAGGCTTTGGGCCAGACACCCCCAAGCTGGGCTACCATAGTCCCTCCACACACACTCACACACACTCACACACACTCACACACTCACACACACTCACACACACCCGGAAGAGCTGGGCCTGGAGCTCCTGGGAGGGACGCCAGGTTCCCGGGGTGCTGGTGGCCGGCAGGCAGGCGCGGGAATCTGCTGAGAACACTCAGAAAGCTGCTCCGGTCCCGGGCAAAGTCCTGGGCTTGGGGATGGGTGGGCAGGGCAGGGTACGGGTCAGCAGGCCCCTGGGGAGACGCCGCCTGAGGGGGGCTGGTCCCAGCACCCCGGGAGCAGGAAGGGGAGTGACCCCAAGTGACCCACCAGCCATAAGGCCTGTCAGGGCTCGGCTGCGGAGAGGGGCTGGGCCAGGCCTCCGGGTCCATGGGGGGGCTGGGTGGAAGCTGGGCCGGAGCATGGCCTTGGGGATGCCCTCCCCCCTCCCTGCTCCTCCCTCCACTTGCAGTTGGGGACCTGACACCCTAACCGCTGCTGGCTCCCCCGGCCCCAGCCTGCAGAGCTCTGCCCAGCCCGGCCCCAAGCCAGGTCTGAACTGGGTGACCTGGGGCCGCCCCCCCGCACCCCCCCCCCCGCCTGACTGGTACAAAGGGCTTCCCTCCCACCACCTGCCAGGCAGGGACAAGCCGACCCAGATCTGTTCTGAGACTCAGGCAGGCCTCCCCGGGCCCCCAGCCGGCGTCCGGCGGGCAGTGTCCCCTGATGCAATGTCAGATGGGCACCGGCTTGTGGAGGGCCGGCACCGAGGGCCACGGCACGGCCACACGAGGTCCCGGCCTGGCGCGGGGCCAGGAGCACCTGCCGGGGTGACAGTGGGACCCGGGCACGGCAGGTGCCTGGGGCTCCGCGGGGTTCCCCGGGGGCCTCGCTCTGGGTAAACATTAATGGGGCTCAGCCCACGGCAGGTCATGTGTGCGCCCGGCGGATCTTTGACCTGTGGCTGCGCCCGCCCCGCGCCTCCTCCCCGCAGGTGCCCCCTCACCACCCACACAGGTAGGCGCTTCGAGGACCAGGAGGGCCCGGGAGCCCCGGGGCCAGGGCCGGGGGGCCTCCAGGACACAGACCGGCCTGCGGGCCAGCAGGAGGGAGGGGACGGGGCCCCCCGGGACCGGGCCTGGGGACGGGAGAGCTGGGGCGGAGAGCTGAGTGGGGGCCCAGACCCCGAGGGCCGAGGGGACCCCGCACACCTCGGCTCCCTGCCCTGCCCCTCCGCGGGGGCGGGGCCCTGATGGAGAGGAGACGGCACCGTTTGGTATCAGATGCCAAAGCCTAAGTCATCTGCGACGGCCCCGGTGACCCCTGACAGAGGAGGTCCCGGGTTCCGGCTCCAGCCACTTCGGCCCAGGCCACCCACCAGGCCTGCCTGCAGCCGGACAGTGAGGGAGCTGGCCGCGGGCTCTCCTCTGCCCCCCACACCAGACTGGGCTTACTGACAGCGGCCTGAGGTCTCTATAGCCATAGGGGAGACGGGGGAGGGGGTCACCCAGGCCAGCGGGACCCAGGGGCCTGGGGGGGGCTAGAGGGAAGAGGGTGTCTGACCGGCCTTCCCCCTGCAGATTCGGGCTCGGGCCTGGGTCTGTCCTCGCCGGATCCATGCAGAGCTCTCTCCCCGGGGGCCAGGTCAGCCCCCCTGCCCTGGACACGCTTAGCCTGGTGGACCGGAGCCCAGGAGATGCAGGTATCAGGCCCAGCCCTGCACCCCGGCCCGGGGAGGCAAAGGGGCTCCGGACGACCCCGGTCAGGCCCCGTCCCTCCCACTTCCTGTCGGTCCCTTCACCCCAGCCCCTGTCATGGTCTTCCCCACCCCACCCGCCCCACCTGGGGGTGACAGAGCAGCTCGGTCCCTGGCTCGACCTGCCCCTGCCCCTGCCCCGCAGGGACCTCCAGCCCCGCCCCCGCCGTGGACCCCTGGGCCCTCCCCCAGCTGAAGGACACGGGCCAGCCCTGGAGAGGTAGGTCAGGGAACGGCCATGCGGGGCTGTGCTCCAGGGTCTGAGCACGGAGAGGGCCCTGGGGGGGAGCAGGGAGGGCGTTTGCCCAGCAGGGAGCCCCCCGCAGACCACCCCGGGGACCCTCTCCCAGCCAGGAAGGCCTCGGGGCTGTAAAGGGGGTTGCCCAGCCCTGCCCGGGGAGGGGGGAGGAGGTGGACTGGCGGGGGCGGACGGGCTGGCTGTGGCCCCACCCTGTGTCCACAGAGCTCGGTGCGGCCGGCAGGGCCCGGCGCGTGCTGCTCGGCTTCCTCAAGGCCTGCGGGCTCCTGGGCAGCCTCTACCTCTTCGTCTGCTCCCTGGACATCCTCAGCTCCGCCTTCCAGCTGCTGGGCAGTGAGTGGCCGGAGGGGCGGCCGGGGTGGGGCGGCCGCCGGGCCCGGGCCTCAGAGCGCCTCTCCCCCGGCCGCAGGCAAGGTGGCGGGGGACATCTTCAAGGACAACGCGGTGCTGTCCAACCCCGTGGCCGGGCTGGTCATCGGCGTGCTGGTCACCGTGCTGGTCCAGAGCTCCAGCACGTCCTCCTCCATCGTGGTCAGCATGGTGGCCTCCAACTGTGAGTGCCCTCCTGTCCCGGGAGGGTCGGGGGGGACGGGGAGGGGGGAGGCTGACGCAGCCCCCCCACAGTGCTGCGCGTCCGGGAGTCCGTGCCCATCGTCATGGGGGTCAACGTGGGCACCTCCATCACCAGCACGCTGGTCTCCATGGCGCAGTCGGGGGACCGGGACGAGTTCCGGAGGTGAGCGGCGGGCGGGCGGGCGGGGCCGCGCTGGAGCCGGTCTTAGCTGACCCCCCTCCGTCCCCCACGGCGGCAGGGCCTTCGGCGGCTCCGCCGTGCACGGCATCTTCAACTGGCTCACCGTGCTGGTCCTGCTGCCGCTGGAGAGCGCCCTGGCCCCGCTGGAGCGGCTCAGCGAGCTGGCCCTGCGGGCAACCAGCCTGGAGCCCGGGGCGCAGGCACCCGACATCCTCAAGGTGCTGACGCAGCCGCTCACCCACCTCATCGTGCAGGTGCGGGCGGACGGGCGGGCGGGCGGGCGGGCTGCCCTCCGAGGGAGGCCCTGAGGGCCTGGCCTGGGCGGAGGGGACAGAGGAGGGGGTGTGGGGCCTGCAAAGGTGTGAGCTCCAGGCAAACTCCCCTGAGTCCAGCTCAGGGTCGCGACCCCTCCGCCTGCAGCTGGACGCTGACGCGATCGCCAACAGCGCCACGCACAACGCCACCAACGGCAGCCTCATCAAGCACTGGTGTGGCGCCAGGGAGCCCGCGGTGAGCGCCGCCGCCCTGCCCTCCGCCCCGAGCAGCCCAGCCCCCCACCCGGCCCCAAGCCGGCCCCCAGCCGCCCTGCCTGTCCCCCCAGATCCCAGGGAACAGCAGCGACTGTGGGGCGGCGACCCCGGGCCCCTGCCCCGAGACCAACGGCTGGACCACCGCGGAGCAGCTGCCTTGTGAGGCCCGCCCCCCAGCCCCCCGCCCGCCCGCCCGCCCGCGCCACGGGGGCGCCCGCTCACCCCTGCCCCGCCGCCAGGCCACCACCTGTTCTCGGGCACGGCGCTCTCGGACCTGGCCGTGGGCCTCATCCTGCTGGCCGGCTCCCTGCTGGTCCTCTGCTCCTGCCTTGTGCTCGTCGTCAAGCTGCTCAACTCGCTGCTGCGCGGCCGCATCGCCCAGGCCGTGCGCGCCGTCATCAACGCCGGTGGGTGTGCGGGACGGTGGGGGCGGCGGACAGGGCCCGAGGCGGGGCCGGGGAGAGGCCGGCCGGGGTGACCTCGCTGCCCCCCCAGACTTCCCCTTCCCGTTCGGCTGGCTCAGCGGCTACCTGGCCATCCTGGTGGGCGCCGGCATGACCTTCGTGCTGCAGAGCAGCAGCGTCTTCACGGCCGCCATTGTGCCGCTCATGGGTGAGCAGGCCGGCACCCTGGGGCGGGGGGCGGGGACCGGGGGGTGAGGGCGGGGGGGCCGGGGCGCAGGGTGCCGCCCTGACCCCGGCTCCTCCAGGCGTGGGGGTGATCAGCCTGGAGCGGGCCTACCCCCTCTTGCTGGGCTCCAACATCGGCACCACCACCACGGCTCTGCTGGCCGCCCTGGCCAGCCCCCCGAGAATGCTGCCCAGCGCGCTCCAGGTACTGCCCTCCTGGTCCTCCCCACCCCCGGCACCCCAGACCCCACAGCCAGCCCCGCACACAGGAGGCTGAGGCCTGCCCCCCGCTGGCCACGGCTCAGCTCTCCGGGGACCCACCTCCAACTGCCGGCCAGGCCAGCTGCCCATCTCCTTGGGCGCCGGAGACTCGGGCGCCTCGGGGACCCCCAGTCCTGCTGCTCCTCCCTCTGCACCCCCCCCCCAGCACCCTGTGCCCTGGCTCTGCTCCTCCCTGCGTGACCTGGCCCCCGCTATTCCACCACCTCCAGGTGGGCCCGCCCCCACCACCCAGCACCCAAACCCAACAGGTCCCCTCGGGTGACACGCTTGCTCCTGCAGAGGCATGCCCGCCCTGTGCCGGGCACCGCATGCCTCCGGCTCTGCCCTGTACCCCGTCCCGCCCAGCCCGGCTTACCCTCAGGGTCCACTGCTCCTCCGGCCGAGCGTCCTCCTCCCCTGCCTCCACCTGGGTCCAGGCAGCTCCCGAAGGTCCTGTCTCGCTGGGCTGCTGCCTGCAGAGAGAGAGAGGCCCAGGCCCGCCACCTCCCACCTGTCCACTCGGACCCCCCCCCATGTGGGGCCTGCCCCACCTCCTCCAGGGAGCCCTCCAGACGGTGCCCGCCGGCTCGGCTCCTCTGGCCAGCAGCCCCCGGACGGGGGGAGAAGGGGGTCCCCCCGCAGCAGCCAGGCCAGAGCCCAGGGCTGGGTGGCCAAGCCCTCTGAGGGATGAGAAGCAGGGGCGGGGGGTGGGGGGAGGGAATGGGAGCCATTCAGGTGCAGCCCAATGCGGGGGCAGTGCAGGAGGCCATGCCCACACCTGCCTGGAACCTGCCCTCCCAGGTGGCCAGCTCAGCCCAGAAGCACCATGATTCGGACTCAGCACCATGGGGGGGGGGCAGCCGGGGGGCCAGGGGCCCCCATCACGGCCCTGCCCGCTCCGCCCGCAGGTGGCCCTGATCCACTTCCTCTTCAACGCGGCCGGGCTCCTGCTGTGGTACGCGGCGCCCCCGCTGCGGCTGCCCATCCCGCTGGCCCGGCGCTTCGGGGACCTGACGGCCCGCTTCCGCTGGGTGGCGGCGGCCTACCTGCTGCTCAGCTTCCTGCTGCTGCCGCTCGCCGCCTTCGGGCTCTCGCTGGCGGGGCCGGCGGCGCTGGCGGGGGTGGCGGGGCCGCCGCTGGCGCTGCTGCTGCTCGCCGCCCTGGTCACCGCGCTGCAGCGGCGCCGGCCGGCCTGGCTGCCCCGCGCGCTGCGCTCCTGGGCCTGGCTGCCCCGCCCGCTGCGCTCGCTGCAGCCCTGGGACCGCCTGCTGCGGCGCTGCTGCCCCCGCGGGCCCGCGCCCGCCGCCGCCAAGGGGGGCCGCTGCTACGACAACCCCCAGAGCCCCGGGAGCCCCGGGGGCCCCGCGGTGCTGGCCTCCCAGCGGCTGTGACGCCCGCCCCGCACGGAGCTGGGGCGCCCGGGGTGCCCGGAGCGGCGGACTTCGGCGCCGGCGGGCGCGCCTTCCAGCAATAAACGCGCCGGGACCCCAGTGTGGGTGTCTTGTCTCCCCGACGGCACAGCCGGGGTCCCCGGTCCCCCACCCGGGCGGGAGCGGCCCTTTGCTGCCCCCCAGCGGCCAGCCGCGGAGGAGCGGGCAGGGCGCGCAGGGACCCCGCCCGGCCGGACCCCTCCTCTCCGGGCCGCGGGGCGGGCGGGCACCGGGGGCGGTGGGAGCGGGAGGGCTTCCCGGTCCCGGGGGCTGAGTCCGGGGGGCTGAGGTCGGGGGGGCTGAGGTCCGGGGGCTGAGGGGCTGAGGTCCGCGGCGCTGGCCCTGCCGGCGGGTGCGGGAGGGCGGTTCCCACGGGAGGTTGCGCGCGGGGAGGACGCGCGGCGCCCCCGCCGTCCAGCCCGCAGGGCGCGGGGCAGCGAGGGGGGCCGGGGACCCCGAGGCGCCCTGCCCCCGCCCCCCGGGCCCGCTTTCCCCTTTCTGACGGGGCGGGCGGGGCGCGGGGAGAGGGATGGGGCTGCGGCCGGCCGGCGCTCGGCTTCCGGCCCGGGACCGGACGGCCTTGCGGGCCGCGGGGGCTCAGCCCGAGGCCGGCAAGCAGCGGGTGCTGCGCCCACCAGGCCCCGCACCTGGGGGGGCGCCTGCGGGGCGGGGGGCGCCTGCGGGGCGGGGGGCCCCTGGGGTCGTGGCGGGGGGTCCCTGCGGGGCCGTGGGAAGGGGGCCTGCGGGGCGGGGGGGGCCTGGGGGCGGGGCGGGGGGGCCCTGCGGGGCGGGCGGTGCCCGGGCTCCCGCTCTTCCTCCCCGCGGGGCGCGGGCTGTCACAGCGGAAGGCCTGTCCGCGGGGCCGTAACGGGACACCCGGAGCGCCCGGCCTCCTCCCCTCGCCCTCCGTCCGCCGGGCCGCCCGCACTCAGCCGGAAAGGAAGCTTCCAGACGTCCGCCCGGCCTCGCTCATGCGCTGAGGGTGTTGGGGGGGGCGGGGTCTCCGCTCCCAGTCTGGGGGTGCTGCTAGGCCTGGGGGAGGGAGGTAGCCCAGGCCCGCGGTTACTTTTTGTTAACTTATTGATTTGAGGGGGGATGGGGACAAACAGATTTGTTGTTCCACTTACGGATGCACTCATTGGTTACTTTTTAAAAAACATATATTTTATTGACTTTTTACAGAGAGGAAGAGAGAGGGATAGTTAGAAACATCCATCAGCTGCCTCTTGCACACCCTCTACTGGTGATGTGCCCACAACCAAGGCACCTGCCCTTGACCAGAATCGAACCTGGGACTCTATAGTCCGCAGGCCGACGCTCTACCCACTGAGCCACACCAGTCAGGGCTCATTGGTTACTTCTTGTGTGTGCCCTGACCGGGGCTCAAACCCCTGACCTTGGTGTATGGGGACCACGCTGAGCTCCCGCCAGGACAGCCGTTGTTCCTCATGGTCCTTTTTCTACCCTCAGGTTCCCTCAGCACCGCCCCCCACATCCTCCCGGTCCTCTGTCCCTCACCCCTTCCATGGACCCCAGTCCCCTCCCCCAACAATCTCCTAGGCCCCTGAGCCTGGGTTCACCCCTCCAGGGAAGTAGCCTCTAATCTGGAAGCCATGGGGGCCTGGTGGGAGCAAGGCCCCTGGAGCAGGCTGTGCACCCCAGTTTGGCTCCCCCCACTTCTGTGGCCCCAGGACACTCCTCTGGGTCTGGCCGCAGCCTCTGACGGAAGTCCCCGGGGAGAGGCAGGCTGGCCGGCTCCCTGGGGCGATGGGAGGCAGGGAGGTGCCCGTGCACTTCTTCCGGGGGCAGGCGAGGCCACCCACAAAGGCTGACCGCCAGGTCCTTTGAGGCCACAAATGCCTGTCTGCCGGCTGCCCCACCGGGAGGTAACGCACCCTCCCACTGGGACCAGGGCCACCAGCAGACAAAGCCACCCCTGTGGCGGCTCTCACAGCTGCTGGCTGCCGGAGGCCGGGCGCCCCACTCCCACGGCCCCGCCTGGACCCCCTGCGCCCGCCGGCCAGCCCCCCACCTGGCCACAGGCCCCCACCGCTCAATGCTCCACACGGCGGCAGGAACTCTCTGCAGGGGTGGGGGCACCCAGCCCGGTGCCTCCGCAGCAGCCGGAGCCCTCAGCCTTGCCCCGATGGGAGGGGCAAGGCCAACACCTGGTGCAACGAGGAGCTTGGGGCTGGCTCCTGGATGGCGACACGCACCTCTGTGTTCCCCTAAAGTGGGGGTGCCGTACTGTGGGCACTGGTCAGAGGGCACCTTTCCTGGTGAGGCAGGCCTCCGGCCACAGCCGGCTCACTGCGGTGGATCTGAGCTGCTCCCTTTCTCAACGATTTGTGGCAAGTGCGGGCCATGGCCTCTCTGCTCAGAGCCTGGGCCTGGCTGCGGCTGCTGAGGGCTAAGCTGGCCACTTTGCCCGGCACTGGGAGGACCCAGGATGCCAGGCAGTGGCCCTGCGTGCCTCACGCGCCATGGCTTGTGGTCAACAGGAGCCCTGCCAACCTTCCTGGCCTGTTTGTGGGGGACAGGCCCAGTCCCAGAGCCCCCCGTGGGCCTGACTGCCCTTGGACAGGGGTGAATCCCATTAGGATCTCTGTCAGCTTCCCACACGGGTCCTCTGGGGCCGTGGTCTCTGTGGGTGGATGGGCCAGGGGGCCATAGTCAATGCGACTGGTTCGGACGCCGCTAGGGCCTCACCAGCTCGTCTGGTGCTGCTCTGGGCCTGGTGCCTGCGGTGCTGAGAGCCAGCTGCAGACCCTCCCCGGAGACCCACCGGGTGACGTCCCAGGGCTGCCTGTCCCAACGGCCCACCACAGAGGAAGTTGCTGCAGGGAACGCAGTGTGCCGAGACTTCCTGCCGGTGTGCAGCCCAGGCTGAGAGGAGGCGAGGCACTGCCCCAAGCAGCCTCCAGTGGGGGACAAAGGAGAGCAAGAAGGTTACTTAAAAACAAAACAGCCAGGCTGGTGTGGCTCAGTGGTTGAGACATCCACCTATGAACCAGGAGGTTAGGGTTAGATTCTTGGTCAAGGCACAGGCGTGGAGGGCAAGCAGGAGACAGCCGATCCATGATTCTCATCACTGATGTTCTCTCTCTCTCTCTTCCTTAATCTCTGACATCAATAAAAAAAAATATATATATATATATATTTTATTTTTATTTTATATATTTAAAATAAATATATTTAAATAAAACAGCTCTAGCTGGTTTAGCTCAGTGGATAGAGAATCAGTCTGTGGACTGAAGGGTCCCAGGTTCGATTCTGGTCAAGGGCCCATGCCTGGGTTGCGGGCTCCATCCTCAGTGGGAATGCAGGAGGCAGCTGGTCCATGATGATTTCTGTCATCACTGATGTTTCTCTCTCCTCCTTCCTCTCTGAAATCAATAAAGATGTTTAAAAGACAACACAAACCGGAATCCAGAGGCCCAGTGCCCACCCCAGGAGAGCCGGCAGGGCCCATGGAAGGGTGTGATCGTAAACATTCACTAGGACACCAGCGTGCTGCTGCTAAGGCGATGCTTAATGTCCACACACACACACACACACACACACACACACACACACACACAGCAGGTAAAAGCAAAGGCTCCCGCTGGCAGGGCTGCCAAACCGTGGTTGTGTGGTGTGGGAAATGGCACCGGAACGTGACTGGTGATCAGGTCACACCTTGACTCAGCAGCCTCCGCTTTTATTTGAGTTCTGGTTTAAAAATTCAGAAGCAAGACTCACACTGTAGGGGAAAGTGTTTACGAAGCCGGAGGGCAGCGGAAACGGGCTCTGGGCGGGAGGGAGGAGGTGCGCGTGGGGGGAGGGGAAAGGCGGCGGGCGAGAGGGAGACAGGGCAGCCCTGGGGGAAGGCACCTGCGGAAGGGCCCGGGTTCCAGGGGGCTGGTGGGTCCTGACGGGACATGCACCCGCTCCCAGGGTTGTCCTCCATGGACCGGGCGGCCAGCGGCCATTAGTCAGCGCAGCTGGTTCCGGTTCTGCTGCTTTGCTGGGCCGGGAGCTGAAGCCCGTGTGCGGCCTGGACGCCCTGGACCCCAGTCATCACCTCGTGGTCCTGGGGGACATTCTCGCTGTGCCCGGTAGCGGGGTTCCCCCGCAGGACCAGCAGGAGCCAGGGGAGGGCAGGGGAGGGCGGGGAAGGGCCGGCACGGGCCGGCGCTGGGCTGGAGGCGGCGAGGCCCCCGGGGCAGGCCCTTGTTTTCCCAGCCGCGCCCGTTGCCAGGCACCGCGCTCTCTGCCGGGTGCCCAGCGCCCCGGGCCGGAGCCCGCACCCCGCCAGCGCCCAGGGAGGCCTGGGCGCCGCCCTAGTCTCCACGGAGCGCGCAGCGCGGGGCCCGGGCACCAAGGCGACGGGAGCCGGGCCAGCGCCGTCTCCACAACAAGCGCGGGGCGCGGGCTGCGGCGGACCCGCCCGCGCGGGGCCCACGTGCTCCCTCACCTGACCGCCCCCCGCGGGGGCAAAGGGCCAGGGAGGGGCACTGCCCGAGCCCTGGCGCCGCCGCCCGGCCCCCGAGCCCTGTGCGTCCGGTCCGAGGACGGCTCCGGGCCCCGCAGGGCAAGCCTCGCACGTCCTCGTTGCGCGGCGGCCCCCGAGGCGCTCGCCCACCGGAGCTTCCGGGCCGCCGCCCCTTCGGTACTTCCCCGGACTCCCGCCCGCGGCCGCGCCCGCCTTCGCCCTCGGCCCCGCCGGCCCGGAGCCCGCGCGCGCGCGCCCGCGGCACTGCGGCGGTTACCAGGACGCTGGCCCCGCGCGGCCAATAGCGCCGGCCCGGCGGCGTGCTCTCCGGAGCCAGCCAATGAGGGGACAAATCAATCATTTGAAACACCCAATGGGCTGAGCGCCGCAGCGCGATGGGGGGTCCCTCTAGAGCGAGAGCAGGGGCCTCGCCTGGCCAATAGACAGCGGCGGAGTGGAGGAGGCGGGCGTTAGGCGGCTCGATTGACGGGGCTGCAGTCAATCAAACGGGGCCGCCGGCCAGCCTCGTTCTGGCGGCCCAATAGGAAGCTTGGGGAGGCGGGCGCTCCGGGTATATAAACGGCGGCGGAGCGTCGGTTGTAGCATTCTGCGCTTCCGCTGCTCGGCTCCTGGTTCTGTCTTTCCACCCGCGCCGCCGCCACCATGAGGGAGATCGTGCACCTGCAGGCCGGCCAGTGCGGTAACCAGATTGGCGCTAAGGTGAGGGCCGGGCGCCGGCGGCCTAGCGCGGGCGGACCTCCGGGGCGGGCCGGGCGGACAGGAAAGATGGCGGCGGGCGGGCGGCGCCCCCGCATTGCGGACCCTGCGGGGCCGGAGCTCGGGCGGGGGAGCCGGCGCGGCCCCCGGGGGACCCGCTGGGCTGCGGGGAGTGGGAGGCCTGAGGGGGAGGGGAGGCGAGGGCAGGAGAGGGAGGCAAAGGCCGCGCCCGTCCGGGGCGGGGCCGGGCCGGTCCCGGGCCGCGCCGGCGTGACTCAGCCCGGCGCGCCCGCGTTCGCAGTTCTGGGAAGTGATAAGCGATGAGCATGGCATCGACCCTACGGGCACGTACCACGGGGACAGCGACCTGCAGCTGGAGCGGATCAACGTCTACTACAACGAAGCCACCGGTGAGACCCGCGCCCCTGCCCGCCCCCTCCGCCGCCCCCGCGGTCCCCGCGGCCAGGCCCTCACCCTCGCCCTCCCGCCCCCCAGGTGGCAAGTACGTGCCCCGCGCGGTGCTCGTGGACCTGGAGCCCGGCACCATGGACTCGGTGCGCTCGGGGCCCTTCGGGCAGATCTTCCGGCCGGACAACTTCGTCTTTGGTGAGCTCCCCGTGTGGTCAGGAGGGCCGAAAGGTCAGGGGGCGCCCAAGGTCACTACCCTCGGAACCGCAGAGAGCGAGGTCCGATCCTCGCTGCACCCCGAGCAGGAGCTGGGGCCCCGGCTGGACACCCCCCGCCCCTGCGCGTCACCCAATCCCTCGCCCAAAGCCGCTTTGGGAGGAAGGCCCAGCTGTCCGGGCGGGGCGAGCGCGATGTAATCTCCCCGCCGAGAGCGCAGTGGCGGCTCATCTGTCCTTGGGAATTGGCAGGGCCGAGTGGGAGGGGCCGGTTATTGTTCAGTCATCTCAGCGCAGCTCCCAAGTTAATTTTTAACGAGGCAGGTTGCTGCCTGATGCGGGGTCCACCTGCCTTACCTGCATGGTGAGGCCTGTGTCACCTCAGGCCAGGTGGTTGGCCTTTCTGGCCCAGGATGACCGGTGACAGGTGCCCGGCCACCGAGTGACCTGCTGCTGCCCTCTCTTGCAGGTCAGAGTGGCGCCGGGAACAACTGGGCCAAGGGGCACTACACGGAGGGCGCCGAGCTGGTCGACTCGGTGCTGGACGTGGTGCGGAAGGAGGCGGAGAGCTGCGACTGCCTGCAGGGCTTCCAGCTGACGCACTCGCTGGGCGGGGGCACCGGGTCGGGGATGGGCACCCTCCTCATCAGCAAGATCCGGGAGGAGTACCCCGACCGCATCATGAACACCTTCAGCGTGGTGCCCTCGCCCAAGGTGTCGGACACGGTGGTGGAGCCCTACAACGCCACCCTCTCGGTCCACCAGCTGGTGGAGAACACCGACGAGACCTACTGCATCGACAACGAGGCCCTGTACGACATCTGCTTCCGCACCCTCAAGCTGACCACGCCCACCTACGGGGACCTCAACCACCTGGTGTCCGCCACCATGAGCGGGGTCACCACCTGCCTCCGCTTCCCCGGCCAGCTCAACGCCGACCTGCGCAAGCTGGCCGTCAACATGGTGCCCTTCCCGCGCCTGCACTTCTTCATGCCGGGCTTCGCCCCCCTCACCAGCAGGGGCAGCCAGCAGTACCGCGCCCTGACGGTGCCCGAGCTCACCCAGCAGATGTTCGACGCCAAGAACATGATGGCCGCCTGCGACCCCCGCCACGGCCGCTACCTGACCGTGGCCGCCGTGTTCCGGGGCCGCATGTCCATGAAGGAGGTGGACGAGCAGATGCTCAACGTGCAGAACAAGAACAGCAGCTACTTCGTGGAGTGGATCCCCAACAACGTGAAGACGGCCGTGTGCGACATCCCGCCCCGAGGCCTCAAGATGTCCGCCACCTTCATCGGCAACAGCACGGCCATCCAGGAGCTGTTCAAGCGCATCTCCGAGCAGTTCACCGCCATGTTCCGGCGCAAGGCCTTCCTGCACTGGTACACGGGCGAGGGCATGGACGAGATGGAGTTCACCGAGGCCGAGAGCAACATGAACGACCTGGTGTCCGAGTACCAGCAGTACCAGGACGCCACGGCCGAGGAGGAGGGCGAGTTTGAGGAGGAGGCGGAGGAGGAGGTGGCCTAAGCTGCTGCTGCCGGAAGCGTGAGAACTCTTTATTCACTCTGTCTGTCCTGACCCTGTCTCACTGTCGCACTGCTCTTCCTTCCTGACATCTGAGTTGTACAGACACCATTAAAGCATTTCATAGTGCCCGGTGCTTCCGCTCCCGTTCCTTCCGGTAGGCCATGCGCGTGCTGTTGCCGAAGGTCATCCCGTAGTGGTCCTGCATGTCTGCGTGGGGAGGGCCACACTGAGCCTCGGGCGGGGCGGGGCGAGGCGGGTCCCCTGGCTGGGGCAGCTGGTCTGTGACTACAAGAGGCCTCACTGGGAAGAAGTGGGCCATCCTGCCTGGGGAACCCCAGGGATATATGTCCCCGGCCCTGGGCCTGTGCAGCAGCAGGGGGAGGGCCCCAACCACCTGCCCTGCCCCTGTGGTCCCCACACTCACACGGGATGAACCCCATGTAGAAGGGAATCAGGCCCTGGCTGTTGGAGATGGTGTTGCTGGGCCAGTACGTCCGGGGCAGCCTCCTGCCCAGGGCACAGATGGGGTTTCTGGACAGGAACTGGGGAGAGGGAGGTGTGACTGGCGGGCTGCCCCCACCAGGTATTTAGCTGTAAGTGCCCAGCCACGTTTGAATGGCGTAGGTACTGTCATCCCCTCCACCGGGGGGCTGCTGTGACCACACTGGGCTCCCCACCCCAGCTATGCCCCCCAGTCCCAGGGGGTGGCCCAGGGCAGCTGTCCGCATACCTGGCTTTTGTCAAACTCGTCCATGGCCTGCATGACCCCTTTGCGGAAGTTCATGCCCATCACCCAGGCGTACCGGGGGATGAAGCCGGCGTAGCCTGGGAGGGAGAGGTCTGGTCCACCTCCGATCCCCTTCACCGCCCACTGCCCTAGTGCCAGGGACGCCCGCCCGGCTCCTTCCATAACCGGGCCCCTCCATGATGGGCCAGAAGGGCGTGGGCCTCGGCCTCGCAGGAACGGGGCAGCCCTTGCTCTCGCCCTCCAGGCCGGCGCCCACCTGAGATGGCCTTGCGCTGGATCAGGTTGGGGTGGTCCAGTTGGGGCAGCCTCTGGAACCTGCCCACGTCCAGGGTCTCCTCCTGGTGGCCCGGGCTGGGGCACTCGTCCCTCCTGCAGTGGTACAGCTGGGGCGGCAGGGGCAGGTCACCACCCCCACCCCCACCCGGGTCTCCGGGGTGAGGCGGGTCCCACTGTCTCCCAGTTACCTGGTACTGCCCAGGGGCCTCGCGCAGGGGGATGGTCCTCCAGGCCTCCTCCCCGTACGCCAGCCGCAGGCCCGGGTGCCCGAGGCCCCTGGGGACTGTCTTCCTGCCCGGCGGGCACGGGGCGTAGGGTGGATAGGGCATGAAGCCCGGAGGCAGCGGGACCTCCCAGCACGCGCTCTCTGCCCCCGGGGGCCCTTCCGCCGCCTCCGCCTCCGCCTCCGGCAGGGAGAACTTGCCCAGGATCTCGAAGTTCTTGAAGGGCTTCAGACCTGTGCGGACGGCAGCGTGAGCAGCGGGGCAGGGGCGCGGACGGGCTGGCGCCGTGGGGAGGGCGGGCGGGCGGGCGGCGGGGTTCCGCTCACCCGTGTAGTGGGGGACGTAGGGCTCGGCCAGGTCCCGGCAGGGGGTCGGGGGCGGCTTGGAGGTGCTGAAGTCCTCGATGAACTTGGGCTTGGAGATGGGGGACAGCACGGAGCACGGGCTCTTCTGCACGCTGGGGTCCGTGAGCAGCTGGGCCGTGGTCCGCCCGTAGGTGTTGCCCACCTGGTAGCGCAGCTGCGGGTAGAAGCCGGCATAGCTGGGGGTGGGGAGAGGAGGAAGGAGGAGGCGGGCCAGTGGGCGAGGGCAGGGGCCAGCCCGCTAGGCCAGGCCAGGACCCCGGCCTGGGCCTCAGGATGAGGGCACGGCGGCACGTGCCAAGCACCAACCCTGCGTGTCCCCACCACGTCGGCCAGCAGCAAGGGGCTTACAGGTGGCAGAGGCGGTGGGACAGGGAATGCCTGGAAGCTTTTACAGGGATACAGGGTCCTGCCCAGGCTCCAGGAGCCTGCACTACTCAGCAAGGTGGCGCCGTGGGGAGGCCTGGCGGGGGTCTGGCTCAGACCTTTGCCACCCAGAGGCCAGGAGCCAGGGAACAGGACCAGGATGTGGGATGCGGGCAGGAGGGCCGCTTGAGGAAGTGAGGGCTGAGCTGAGTGACAACCACGTGGGAGGTGCTGTGGGCATATCTGGTGGGGGCACCTGTGGGAGTAGTGGGTGGGGGGACCTGTGGGGTAGCGGGGGGCTCTCCCTCCTCAGGCTCTCCTGCCCCACCTTTGCCCCCAGAACTCCTGGGACGTCAGGACTGGTTCCTGGCCCACCCATTTCCTCGCTCACAGGCACAGATGGTGTGGGTGCCCCGCTCCATAGAGGGCGTGGTCGGAGCTTGTGGGGGGGGGGGGCTGCCCAGTGAGGCAGCCTGGCGTCTGCGGGTCAGTTTACTCTTTAGAGTGCGGAACACTGTGGTGTGAGCCTTTTCCCGCCAGCTGCTGGCTGTCCGGCTTCCTGCTCTGGCACTCCCACCACCAGCAGGGAGGGAGGCCGGGCCTGCCCTGCCCTGCAGACCAGCTCTGGGGCTCCCTCTCCACTGGCCTGAGCCGCTCCCCACCCCCCATGCAGCCCCCGTGCTTACCCCGGGACGTAGTGGGGTTCCGGCGTGAAGAGGTAGTGTTTCTGGGTAGCTGTCATCTTGCCTCAACTCCACCTTTGCTCTGTGGTCCCTCCTCTGGTCTGGCTCCTTCCCTGGGAGCCATCTCTGTTGCTTGACAACCATTGTGAGGAAGCCAAATGGGTGGGCACCCCCTGGCCAGGCCTGTCCTCACCCTGCGAGTGCCCATTTCACAGGTGGGCACCCAGGCCCACAGCAGCCGGTGGGCGGTGTGGCGCCTGGACCTCAGGGCCCAGGAGGTAGTGCCTGTCGCCGCAGCCAGGTCCCAAGCTGGCCCTGCCGGAGCCTGGGGCCAGGGTTACCCTGAGGAGGCCAGTGGCCCCCGCGTGAGGCTAAGAGAACCCTCGTGCACCCCAAGACCCCTTCTCAGACCAGAGGCCGGGAGCTCCGGGGGCGCGGGGACAAGCCCCCTGCAGCAAGGGGGCGTCTTCCCTGGAGCTGGCGCTATTTTCCATTTTAAACAAATCCGGACTTTTTCCTTTTTTGCAAGGAAGGACTTTCTAACCATACAAACACAATGTCATAACAGGAAAGATTAACAGGTTCAAGTACATGTCAAAAAGCCGCCTAAGCAGTGCTAAGTGGCGGCTACACACGGGGAATGTGTAACAAGTGTTACGAACAGATAGGATATCGGTACGAAAAGCCCGTACAGGACGGGGCTAGAAGCACCGCCCAGCAGAGGAATGCACCCAGAAGGTGAGCATTTGGGGGGTGCGGGGGGGGGGGGGGAGACAGTCCATAACCCTCTGGACAGGAGGTGACCCAGATCAGCGCTGGCAACGGCAGTTTCCCTGCTGTGGATGATGACGGGAACAGCACTCCTGGGGGGAGGGGGCACTGCCGTCTGGAAAGCAGTTTGGGAACAGGGATCGCCCCACAGGCTGTTACACTCCAAGGCCCAGGGCCTGCCTCCGAGGAGCCGCTCCTATGGAATGAGAGGCGTTTAGCCAGAGGCACACGCACAGCCGGTGTCCACCAGCCGGGCTCTGCTCAGCACCTGTGGCCTCTGCCAGCTCTGCCCTCAGAGAACTGTGTACCCCGCAGGCCCAGCCCTGGCCCAGCCCTGGCCCAGCCCTCGCCCCGCCTGGATAAATGTCCTTCCCTCAGCCTCTCCACCTGGATGCCTCCCACGGCCAGGCCGGCCAGGGGAGGGGACGTGCTTGGCCAGGGCCTGCCGGGGGTGAGGCCAAGGCCGGGGCTGGGGCTGGCACGTGGGTCAAGGTGGAGGGCTGTGGTGCCAGATGGGCTCACACTCAGTGGAGGTGGGTGTCATTCATTTGCATTTGGCCTGGGCGGCCCAGCATCTGTAACACTTTCTGGCTGCCCCCAGGCAGGATGCAGGCTCCCACCTTCTCCCCTGCAGGGACCCCTGGTGACCTCCAGGGCCTGCACAGTCCCCTCAGGCCATGGGCCTGGCCTGGCCTTCCTGACGGCTGGCTCTCTAGTGGAGCCGGGAGCTCCCTGGACCTCCCAGCCCGCCCTCGTGCCTCCATCCAGCCGGCCCGGCACAGCTGGGCATTGCACAGCACCCACACCCTTTCTGCCCACGGCCCGTGCCAGTCCGCCCAGAACCCCTGCTGGAGTGGACCCCCGAAATCCAGAGAAGAGAAGGGTGGGGACAAGGAAGGGAGTATGACGGGGAGGGGACTAAGCCAGGCAGGTCAGGGTGGCCCAGGATGACCCACCTGGCAGGTCAGTAGAGGGATCCTATGGCCACAGCCCCTCCAGGGCTGGACCTGGAATTCCCGGCAGCAGGGTGGGGGTGGGGGGGCCGGCATGACGGGCCGTTGAGGTCACAGAGCCTGGTGGTGTCCACAGGGAGGCAGCCAGGGACACTGACAAATGAATTTCGACCAGAAGGCCGTGAAATTCCTGGCAAACTTTTACATCGACGGCGGCAAACACTGGACCCACGGCCCCCTGCGACAGGAGACCTTAATGCCGCTGCGGTAACTCCGAGGGCGGGGGAGGCTGGGGCGGCGGGGCGGCTGCGCTGCAGGGACAGGGCGGACGGAGCTGCCCCTTGTTGCAGGCCCGAGGCTGTGTGGTGGGGCCCCTGCCCCTGGGCCGGCGGGAAGGTGCGGCCCCCGGCGGTGCAGGAGTTCCCGGAGGGCCTCCGGGTGAACCTGGGCAGCCTCCCGGAGTCCTGGCGGGTCTGCACCGGGGACTGGGACCGGAAGCAGCTGTGTGAGTGCCGGGGGGCGGGGGGCGGGGGGCGGTCTGGTCTGGGGCGCGGGGCGGGGGCGGGAGGGGCCTGCTGGGCTGCCCGGGCCCAGAGCTTGCTTCCTGCCAGGGCTGGAGCAGCACCCACCCATCCCGGTCGCCCTGGACTATCCCGGCCCCGCCACGTACCGGGTGCCCGATGCTTCGGTGCGCGAATCCTCCCCGCACCCCCACTTCAGCATCGGCCGCAAGCGCCCCATCCCCGGTGCGTGCCCCTCCCTGCGCGCTCCCACCGCCGCGCGGGTCCTGGACGTGGCCCGCCCCCAGCCCGCCTCCCCAGTGACCGTGCCGCCCCCACCCCGCAGAGGCCGCTGGCCGCGGGGCCTGGCAGACGGTGTGGATCCAGAGCGAGAGGCCCTTCAGTGAGAAGGTGGGCGCGGGCCCAGGAGGCTGTGGGGGCGGGGCCTGTGGGGCGCAGTGGGAGGGGCCTTGGGGAAAGGGCGGGGCTATGAAAGGCGGCCTGTGGGCGGGGCCTGTGAGGCAGGAGTGGGAGGGGCCTTGGAGAAAGGGCGGGACTATGAGAGGCGGGACAGGGGGCCTAGGGGCGGGGCCTGTGAGGCCGGAGTGGGAGGGGCCTTGGGGAAGAGGCGTGGCTGTGAGGGACGGGGTGGGAGGGGTCGTGGGAGGGGAGGGGCCTGTGAGGCTGGAGTGGGAGGGGCCTTGGGGAAAGGGCGGGACAGGAGGGGCCTGTGGGGCGGGGCCTGTGAGACTGGAGCGGGCGGGGCTTGGGAAGGGGCGGGGCTTTAAGGGGCGGGGCAGGAGGGCCTGGGCGGTGGGCGGGGCTTCAGCCGCCTCTCGCCCCCAGTTGCCACCGCTGGCCGACCACGAGCAGCTGAGCGGCCACGCCTTCCCAGCCATCAGCTTCGTGGGCCGCCGCCCCATCCCGAAGGTCGCCCAGTCGCGCACGCCCCTGAGGCTGCTGCGGGCCCGGGGTGCGGGTCGCAGTGCCGGGCCCCCGAGGCAGGACCCTCTGCGGCCCCCGGGCGAGAGGCGCCCCAGCCCCACCGCCTACGACATCGCTCCCGGGCGCCGGCTGCAGAGCCTGCGCCCGCCCGCCTTCTCCATGAGCCGCTCGCCCGCCTCGGCCTCCTGGGTCCACGCCTGTAAGGAGGCCTGGAGCGGGGCGGGGCTGTGTGGGGGCGGGGCTGTGGGTATTGTGGCCGGGGCGCGGGGGGGCCGGGCTGTGTGGGGGCGGAGCGCTGGGGGCGGGGCGCTGGGGGAGGGGCGCGGGGGGCCGGGCTGCGGGGGGGCGGGGCGCGGGGGAGCCGGGGCCGGGGCCGGGCTGCGGGGAGGCTGGGGCGCAGGGGGTCCGGGGCGCGGGGGGCCGGGCTGCGGGGGGGGGGGCGCGGGGGAGCCGGGGCCGTGGTGGGCGCAGCCGCATGGGCTCCCGCCTTCTCCCTCCGCAGCCCGCAGCCCCGGGCCCGCCGCCTACCACGTGGAGGACTGCTACAACTCGCGCTTCCCCACGGCGCCCGGAGTGCTCATCCAGGGCGTGCGGAGGCCTAAGCGCCACGAAACGGGCCCCTTCTGCTCGCTGTAGCCCCCTGCACACGGCGGCCGGCAGCGCCCCAGGGACCGGCCACCCAGCCTGGGCGCCTAACCCTCTGGGCACCCTGACCCCCTTCCTGGCCGGCCAGCCCTCTGTGCGCTGTGGACAGGAGCCAAAGCCCCGCCTGCCCACCAGGCGACATAGAAACACTGTTGGTTCCTTAAGACATGGCGGTGCCTGGCTACCTGAGGGGGCTCCCTGGCCGCGTCTCCCGCTCCTCCTGCTCTCCTCCAGGGCGGTGGGTGGCAGTTTGAGGCTTACCGGCGGAGACAGTAGGGAGGGTCCCTCTGGGGAGTGCAGGACACCCCCATTCAGGGGGCCAGCAGGCTACCTGCTTACCCAAGAGCCAGGCTGTTTGCTGAACTGAGAAACTGCCAGAGCTGGGGCCTGACTCCCTGGACGGCCGTCTGGGCGGAGGCCAGCTGCACAGCCAGGAGGGCCCAGAGGACCCCCACGCAGGGCCTGGCCCCACTGCCCAGCCCACAGTCCCGGCACGCCCGCCCAGGGCCACGCAGGCCAAGCCACAACCCCCAGACTCCCCGGTTCGGGCCTATCCTGATGCAGTAGCTTGGCCATTGGGTTACCGGCCTGCCCTCCCGAGGGTGGCCCCATGGCGGGCGGCAGCACCCCTATGGGTGCATAAACACTTCTGCAGGGAGGCCAGGGCCCCAGGAGCCCTAGCACACTCCCCGGTGACTGCTAGGGGTGAGCCAGCTGGGGATCACGTCCCAGCCCCCCAGCAAATCAGTGGGCCTGCAGTTAGTTGGTGGTTGGTTTTTAAGTACATTTTATTGATTTTTTTTTACAGAGAGGAAGGGAGAGGGATAGAGAGTTAGAAACATTGATGAGAGAGAAGCATCTATCAGCTGCCTCCTACACACACACACACACACACACACACACACAACTGGGGATGTCCCCGGAACCAAGGTACATGCCCTTGACCAGAATCGAACCTGGGACCTTTCAGTCCACAGGCCGACTCTATCCACTGAGCCACAGCAGTTAGGGTTGCAGTTGGTTGTTGTTGGGTGTGGCCAAGGGCCACAGAGAGCTGTGGGAGCGCTGGCCTGGGGAGCTTGGCCCAGGGTGGGGGGACCGGGAGCCCCACCCATAGCTGCCCCACCAGCAAACCCAACCGGGGGGGCTCAAAGCCGGAAGTGGGGCGCAGGAAGGATGGGTCCCAGGCCGCGGGCTGGGCTGCGGGGAGGAGGTGGGAAGCGGGTGCCCCAGGACGGGGGAGGGTGTGCTGGGCGGCAGGGAGGGGTGTCCGCAGAGCGAAGCTTGGGGGCTCCTGAAGGGCATGGGGTGGTGGCGTTGGGTGGGGACTGGGCTGGGCTGGGCTGGCGGTTCACCAGGAGGGTGGAGCGGCCGCAGGTGCTGGGTCAGGGCCCGGCCCACTTAGCCGCCGGGAACCCAGCGCGAGGGCGGAGCAGGCAGCACCCACCGGCCCTGGAGCTTCTGGCATCGCAGGACTCACAGCCGCGGCCTTGGCCGGCCAGAGAGCCTGCCACCGTGAGGACCATGCCCGTGGTGGTGGGGGACAGCCCTCCGTGCCCACTCCCACTGCCAACCCAGGCCTGTGTCACCCCCACTGGGAGCGCGGGCAGGCGAGGGCAGCGGGCCCGGGGCTAGACCAGGAGCTTCTGTTTCCTCAAGCGACAGGGTTCTGTCAGCCACAGCGGGATCGGCAGGCTGTCCCGTTACCAAGGGGGTTTGTCCAGGAACGGGAAAGGGCAGGCTGGGGTGAGCATGGGGAGCAGGGGGAGGTGATGACCCCATCCAGGGGAGTGCAGTCAGGGTGTGTCCTGTGGGTGCCAGGCAGGGTGATTTCTCTGAGCAGATCACCAGGAATCGGGGAGAAGGAGGCTGACTGGGAAGCTGAGGGTGCCTGACGCACTCATGTTTGTGAGACCCTTTTCCAGTGTCTGGGCTCTTTGCAATCATAGTGGACACCAGGTGTGTTCTGTTTTTGTGTTTGTAATATATTTTTATTGAGGAAGAGAGAGGGGGAGTTAGAAACATCAGTGATGAGAGAGAATCATTGATTGGCTGCCTCCTGCACGCCCCCCCCGTTAAGATTGAGCCAGCCACCCTGGACATGTGCCCTTGATCAGAATCGAACCCCGGCCCCTTCAGTCCACAGGCCAACACTCTATCCACTGAGCCACACCGGTTAGGGCAGTAACTTCATTTAAAAAAAATCTTTATTGTTGAACATATGACGTAGGTCCCCTCTTTTCTGCATTGACCTCGCTCCCCCCACCCCCTTGCCTCAAGCCTTCACCACCCTGTCTGTTCCTATGCCCCGGCCCAAAAAAAGTTCAACAGCCCCTGTTCATGCAGAAACTTTATTTTGTAAAGAGGCACCTTAAAATTCTAAGTAACGTTTGTAAGCCTCAAAATAGCACTGGAAACAGGCATTCCATTCACCTTTGCCAGTTCCAGCTGTTCCTGTCCCACTCGGTTTTAAGAAAGCAAGTCTGGCTCCGGCCCATGTGGCGCGTTGTCCTGCTGCCAAAAGGTGGCGGGTTCGATTCCCAGCAGGGCACACACCCAGGCTGTGGGTTCAATCCCCAGGTGGGGAAGCAGCCAATTGATGTCGCTCTCTCTCCTCACCCCCCTTCCTCTCTGTAGAATCAATTAAGAGGGAAAAAAAGTTTGGAAACCTCCAAGGTTCCCCACAGCAGCCACTGACCTTCAGAATTACTTCTGGTCAGATCTGTCCAGTTAGTGAAACATGCCCAGGAAACGGTGACCTCAGCTTTCAAACCTGAGTTCCTGGAGGAGGGGCGGCCTTAAAGTATTTAAATTACTGCCGAAGCCGGTTTGGCTCAGTGGTAGAGCGTCGGTCTGCGGACTGAAAGGTCCCAGGTTTGATTCCGGTCAAGGGAATGTACCTTGGTTGCGGGCACATCCCCAGTAGGGGGTGTGCAGGAGGCAGCTGGTCGATGTTTCTCTCTCATCGACCTTTCTAGCTCTCTATCTCTCTCCCTTCCTCTTTGTAAGAAATCAATAAAATATATTTTTTAAAAAAGTATTTAAATTACTGAGCCCTGACCGGTTTGGCTCAGTGGATGGAGCGTTGGCCCACACGGAATTTCACGAACCGGAAGCGGAAGTTGGGGGAGGGCTGGTGCGACGCTCGGAGCTGACGTCACCCTGGGCTCCTCCCACAGGCCCTCCTGATTCGTCCCAGGTCGCTGCCCCTAATCGGGTCGTTTCTCCGCGCCCCCCGCTGGCTGTGAGGTCGGCCTCGGGGTTTTGTAATAAAGAGCCTGTTCGGCCAAAGTGTCAGTCCTGCCTGGAAACGGCCCCCTCCGTGCCCCGCTCCCAGCCCCCGGGCCCAGAGGGAGGGCGGACCCTGCGGCGGGCGGGAAGGGCGCCCAGGGCGGGCGGAGGCGCGGCCTGGCTGCGGTCGCGCGCAGCCGCTCGGCCGGGCCGGCTCCTCGGCAGGAACCTCCGCGCGGCGCCAGCGTTTCCGGCCGGACGGCTTAGCCCGGGGCCCGCGGGGCGGGGCGGGAGCGGGCGGTTTTGGCCCCGCGGCGCCGCGCTCCGGACGGACCTGGCGAGCTGGAGGGCGCCGGGGAGAGGGGCTCAGGCGGCCCCCGCGGCCCGAGCGAGCGGGCGGCCGGGGGGCCTGCGGCGGCCGCGGCGGCGCCGGCGGAGCGCGGCGGGGATGGGGCGCCGAGCCGGCCTGGCACCGGGGCCTCGGCCCTGTTCGCGGGGCTGCAGGACCTGGGCGTGGCCAATGGCGAGGACCTGAAGGAGACGCTCACCAACTGCACGGAGCCGCTCAAGGCGATCGAGCAGTTCCAGGTGCGTGGGCGCGGCGGGGAGGCCGGGCCGTGGGCGCGGGGCGGGGCGGGGAGGCCGGGCCGTGGGCGCGGGGCGGGGCGGGGAGGCCGGGTCGTGGGCGCGGGGGCCGGGCCGTGGGCGCGGGGAGGCCGGGCCGTGGGCGGGGAGACCGGGCCCTGGGCGCGGGGCGGGGCGGGGCGGGGAGGCCGGGCCGTGGGCGCGGGGCCGCGTGGGAAGCGGGCAGGTTTGCTCTCTTTGATCTGTTCCCGGGATGGAGGACCGGGTGTCCGGAGCTCGTGCCGCGGCCGGCTCCGTAGTTAAGACCGGCGCCGCCAAACACCCCTGCATCCGCCGCCTCTGCTCTGCGCCCCTGCGGAGCCGGGCCAGACACGGCTGCCCCCGAGCAAGCAGCATGGACCCCTGACCCTCCGCTTCCCCAGACAGAGAATGGCGTGCTGCTGCCCTCCCTGCAGTCGGCCCTGCCCTTCTTGGACCTGCACGGGACGCCGCGGCTGGAGTTCCACCAGTCCGTGTTCGACGAGCTGCGCGAAAAGCTGCTGGAGCGCGTGTCGGCCATCGCCTCGGAGGGGAAGGCCGAGGAGAGGTAGGCGGCCGGTGGCAGGGCAGCCGGCTGGCCCCGCAGACCTCCTGCCCCCTTGGGGACGCCGGCCCCTCAGCCGCTCCTCAGCCTCCGGCGTCTTCCAGGTACAAGAAGCTGGAGGACCTGCTGGAGAAGAGCTTTTCCTTGGTGAAGATGCCGTCGCTGCAGCCGGTGGTGATGTGCGTCATGAAACACCTGCCCAAGGTGAGCCGCAGCCAGCACACAGCTGGGCCCAGGAGGGTCCCCGGCCGCCTGCCCCCGAGGGTGTGTGACCGGGAGTGTGTCCTCTGGGCCCCCGAGACCGGAGCTGGGGTGTGGGCCCCCTTCTGTGCGCTCAGCATGGCTGCTGCGCCTGCGGGGCTGAGCCCGTGCAGCCGCGGGTGCTGTCAGTGGGGGCCGGGTTCGAGGTGTCTGCCGGGGAGTGGTGCTGAGGCCTCCTGAGGGAGGTGACACGGCAGATCTGGCGGGACAACCACGCACTCTTTATTTTTTTTACTGTCTTGTCTAATAAACACAGAGTATACACGTTGACTGTCACTTTGCAACAAAAATGGCGGCACCCACAGCCAGTAGGGAGGGGATATGCAGATTCACGTGACAAAGATGGCCGTAGCTGGGATGCTCTGTGCCTCTGGGCATCCTGCAGTGGTGAAGGCCTGGGTCCCGGTGCCGGCAGCAGGGGAAGGAAGGCCTATTCTTGCAGGAATCTTCGTGCAATGGCTCTGGTATTTTTATTGATGTCAGAGTAGAAGGAAAAGGGAGAGAAAGATAGGAACATCACTGATGAGAGAGAATCATTGATCACTGCCTCCTGCACATCCCCTCTTGGGGATGGAGCCTGCAACCCAGGCATGTGCTCGGACTGGGAATCCAACCGTGACCTCCTGGTTCATGGGTCGATGCTCAGCCCCTGATCCACGCCGGCCGGGCCCCGTTCCCTGTGGGAGGCAGACCCGGGCCCAGGCGCTGCTCACTGGCCCGTGTGGTCCTGTAGGTCCCTGAGAAGAAGCTGAAGCTGGTCATGGCTGACAAGGAGCTGTACCGGGCCTGTGCCGTGGAGGTGAAGCGGCAGATCTGGCAGGACAACCAGGCGCTCTTCGGGGACGAGGTGTCCCCTCTGCTGAAGCAGTACATCCTGGAGAAGGAGCGCGCCCTCTTCAGCTCCGAGCTCTCCGTCCTGCACAACTTCTTCAGCCCCTCCCCCCGGGCGCGGCGCCGAGGCGAGGTGAGGCGGGCGGGGTGACTGAGGGCCTGGCCAGCCCCTCCCCAGCCCCGGACGGGTGGGTGTTCGCTTGTACAGTGACCGGTCGCGGGCTGGCCTCACTGTGCCCAGGCTGGGCGTTTGGCGTCAGGGACGTGACTGCACCTCGGCCAGTCTTGTTGCTGAAGCTCAGTGTGTGCTTCACTCTGGGACGATTTCTGCTTTTACGTCGGGTTTGTTAGATGCTTTGATGGACGTTTCTCGAGCGCCGCCTGCCTGCCATAGGGGCCTGGACGCTTCGGCAGCCCTGGGTTTGGGGGCGCTTGCGTGGGGCTCTGGAAGCCTCATGGGGGAGCAGACACTGCTGGAAATGTCACGTGGTGGTCGCCGAGGCTGGGCGGCTGGGCGAGGGCCGGGAGGCGGGAGGCGGCAGAGGAGCGGGTGAGGTGTGAGCAGGGCCTGGCGGAGGGCAGGCTGGGCTTCTGAGGGCGACGAGGTCGTGTGGCCAGAGCCCTGGGCTCGCAGGGGAGTGGGGAGGAGAGTGTTCTCGGCCCCTGAGGAGACTGGCTTTCCTGTGAGGAGAAGGTGCCGCCTGGGTCCCTAGAGGGAGGCCAAGCCAGGGGCCTGTGTGGTGATCAGCGGCCGGGGGCCTGTGTGTGTGTGCCGCCATGGTCCCGTGTGTGTGACTCTGCAATCCTGTGTGTATGACTCCCCGGTCCTGTGTGTGTGCTGCCACGGTCCTGTGTGTGTGTGTGTGCGCCGCCGCTGTCCTGTGTGTGTGACTCCGTGGTCCTGGGTGTGCCGCTGTGGTCCTGTGTGTGTGTGTGTGTGTGTGTGTGTGTGCCGTCACGGTCCTGGGTGTGTGTGTGTGTGTGTGTGTGTGTGCCGCCGCGGTCCTGTGTGTGTGTGTGTGTGTGTGTGTGTGTGTGTGTGCCGCCGCGGTCCTGTGTGTGTGTGTGTGTGTGTGTGTGTGTGTGTGTGCCGCCGCGGTCCTGTGTGTGACCGTCCCGGTCCTGTGTGTGACCGTCCCGGTCCTGCCCAGGTGGTGCAGAAGCTGACGCAGATGGTGGGGAAGAACGTGAAGCTGTACGACATGGTGCTGCAGTTCCTGCGGACGCTCTTCCTGCGCACGCGGAACGTGCACTACTGCACGCTGCGCGCCGAGCTGCTCATGTCCCTGCACGACCTGGACGTGGGCGACATCTGCTCCGTGGACCCGTGCCACAAGGTGCGCCGCCCCTCTCTCCGGCGTCTCCCCCGCTGGCTGCCAGTCCTGGCCCCTGGGCTCCGACTGCCCCACCTGCCGCCGCCGCTGGATCGGCTGGCGGAGGTGGGGGGTGGGGTGGCCCTGGCCATGTCTCCCACCTGCCATTCCATCACTCCCTCTGCTGCGGGCGCCCCTTCTGGATGCCTCTGCTGCCTCCGGGCTTCCCGAGCTGGCCCTCCCCTCTGGCCTCAGGCTGCCCTGGACCTGGCTCTGCAGCGCCCTGGTCCCCTCGGGTGCTGTGAACCGAGATGGTGTCACTCTGAGGCCCGAGAAGGCCCCTTTAGCACAAACGCAGACATGGTCTCCCATGCATGGCCGGTGGGTGGGGACCCAGGCCTGTTTGCCATGTGCGTCCTGCTCCTCGGACAGCTCCTGGCCCCGAGCAAGGCCTGGGCAGCGAGAGCTGAGGGCCAGCAGGGCCCCCTCACGCCCTGACTCGCTCCCACAGTTCACCTGGTGCCTGGACGCCTGCATCCGGGAGCGCTTTGTGGACAGCAAGCGGGCGCGCGAGCTGCAGGGGTTCCTTGACGGCGTGAAGAAGGGGCAGGAGCAAGTCCTGGGGTGAGCGTTGGTCGTTGGGAGCCCAGACCCCGGTCCTGCCCACTGTGGAGGCGATTCCGGCGTCTAAGGGGGGCTGGGCACCCCGTCCCACGGTGGGGACACAGCCACGGCCTTGTGCTGGGGGGGGGGGCACCCTTCGCCGTGCCCACTGGCCTGGAATGTGTCTGGGACGCGGCTGAAGGCGGAGTCAGGGTCAGGCCCAGAACCAAACGTGGCTTACTTTCCGTGAGAACTTTTAACTCCTCAGGGTTGTGAGTACGTTGGGTGCAAGTGTCACCCTGTGAGCCCCTGGGGAGGGCGTGTGTGTGTGGGGGTGTGGGGGTGTGCGGGGGGGTGCTCGCTTTGGGTGGAGCGCCGTCTGCAGATGAGGGCGGCTGCTTTGCAGGGACCTGTCCATGATCCTGTGTGACCCCTTCGCCATCAACACGCTGTCCCTGAGCACCGTCCGACACCTGCAGGAGCTGGTCAGCTTGGAGACGCTGCCCAGGGTGAGGGCACCTGGCTGGCCACTGCGGCCTTCGGGGCGAGGGCAGGAGTGGACGGGGCGGCCAGGACCCCACTGAGCGAGGGAGTGCCGGGGAGCTGGCGCTGAGGCCTGTTCTCCGCAGGACAGCCCTGACCTGCTGCTGCTGCTCCGGCTGCTGGCGCTGGGCCAGGGCGCCTGGGACATGATTGACAGCCAGGTCTTCAAGGAGCCCAGGATGGTAATGGGGCCTGCCGTGGCTGCAAGGGGTGGGGCGGGCAATGGGTGGGCGGAGAGCAGCTGCAGGGGGCGGGGCGAGGGCGGTGGGCGGGGCTGTGCCAGCTGAGCCGCCCCCCCTGCCCCCCAGGAGGTGGAGCTCATCACCAAGTTCCTGCCGACGCTCATGTCCTTCGTGGTGGACGACCACGCCTTCAACGTGGACCAGAAGCTGCCGGCGGAGGAGAGGGCCCCGGCCACCTACCCGAGCACCCTGCCCGAGAGCTTCACCAAGTCTGCGGGGCGGGGGGCGGGGCGGGGGCGTCAGGGGGCGGGGGCGGGGGCCGGGGGCGGGCGCCGGGCCGGAGGCGGGTGAAGGGTGTCCTCAGGGCGGTGCTTGCCCGCAGGTTCCTGCAGGAGCAGCGCATGGCCTGCGAGGTGGGGCTGTACTACGTGCTGCACATCACCAAGCAGAGGAACAAGAACGCGCTCCTGCGCCTGCTGCCCGGGCTCGGTGAGTGAGGGGCCGCCCTGTGGCCGCCTTCCCTCCCTCCCCTCCCTCCCCTCCCCCCTTCATTCCCTGCTGTGACCGCCCCTCCCCGCCTCCTGAAGGGGGGGTAAAGGGAGGAGCTCAGCTCTGCTCTCAGACCCTCTGCTGTCAGAGGTGGGAAGTGAAGCCACATGGCCACCCCACCTCCATGGGGGTCTGCGTGCGGCCCGTCCCTCTGGTGGTCAGTCCCACAGTCCAGGGCCCCAGCTGCGGACGGCATAGGGTTGTGTCAGGAAGGAAAGGCATGAAAAACCAGAGGCCGGGACGTCCCCGGCCCATGTCCTGGCCGCACTCACGTCTCTGGTGACACCCATTTTCGTTCAGGTGGTTTCTTTTTTCTTTTCTTTTTAATGTCTGTTTATGGGTTTCAGAGGAAGGGAGAGGGGCAGAGAGTTAGAATCATCAGTGATGAGGGAGAATCATGGGTCAGCTGCCTCCTGCACGCCCCCTGCTGGGGATCGGCCCACACCCGGGCCTGTGCCCTAACCAGGAAGCTAGCCACGACCTGGTTCAGGGGTCACCGCCCGACCTCGGAGCCACCGGCGGGCTGGACCCTCGGGCTTTGATGTCCGTGGCTTCCTCCTGCTGCTAGCTCCACGGGGATGAGCGCCACGTTCTGTTTCTTCTCCGATTCCCGAGCCCGGGGGCCCCACCCCTCCCGGCTCTCCCCACAGCCCACCCCTGCCTGTCCAGGCCCCACGTCTGGCTCTCAGGCCCAGGGCCCCCCCCAGAAGCGCTGTACTGCTGTCCGCCAGGGATCGCTGCTGGGCGTGGGAGGGGGGCGGCTGACCTTGCTGTGCCCGCAGTGGAGACCTTCAGCGACCTGGCCTTCGGCGACATCTTTCTGCACCTGCTCACGGGGAACCTGGCGCTGCTGGCCGAGGAGTTCGCCCTGGAGGAATTCTGCAGCAGCCTGTTCGACGGCTTCCTGCTCACCGCCTCCCCGAGGTGCGGCGGGGCCTAGGGGCAGAGTGAGCGCTGGGGGACAGGACCGGGCGGGGCTGGCGGCCTGCAGCACACACACTGGCCTCTCCCTCTCCCCCTCCCCCTCCCCGCAGGAAGGAGAACGTGCAGCGGCACATGCTGCGGCTCCTCCTGCACCTGCACCACCGCGTGGCGCCCGCAAGGCTGCAGGCCCTGCAGAAGGCGCTGGAGCCCAGCAGCCAGGTGAGTGCTGCCCTGCTCGGCCAGGGGGTGAGGGCTCCCTGACTGCCCGCCTGCCCACACCCCGTCTCCCACAGAGCGGGGAGGCCGTGAGGGAGCTCCACTCACAGCTCAGCGAGAAGCTGGAGCAGCTGGACCAGCACAAGCCCAGCCCGACCCCGGCCGCCGAGCCCCCCGCCCTGGAGCTGCCCCTCCCTGCCGTGCCCGCCCCGGCCGGCCTCTGACACGTCCCCCACCCGCTGGGGAGTGGACAGGCCCTGGGAGGACATGCCCCGTCGTCGGCCAGGAGCCCCTGGCCTGGGACTCTGAGGACCCGTGTCTCTTGGAGGCAGAGGGTGCTCATGGGTGGGTGGTGGCTGAGCTGAGACCCAGGGTGGCCCCCTGGGCAGGTGCTGCCTCCATGCTCCGCCCCACCCGGACCTGCAGTCGTGTGCGTGGGCCCGGGACCGTTCCGGCCGTGGCTCTGCCTCCCCTGAGCACTGGGGAGCCCTGCTCGCCAGGGGAGTGGGCGGCCGGCGTGGGCACAGGTTGGCAGCATTGCTGGTCAGCCTGGCCCCAAGGACTTATGTGGAGGACAGTGGACAGTGCACTGGGACCCCAGACAGAAGCAAGCCCAGGCCCCACCTGCTGCCTCAGTTTACCCTGAGGAGGTGTGCACCCTGCTCAGCTGCACTCTGCAGGTGAGGGTCAGCTCGTCTGCGGTGACACCCGTGTCAATAAAAGCGTTTTTGTAAAAGCAGCGGTGTGCGTTTCTGTGCCGAGGGCGGGGGTCGCTGCCGTATGGGGTCAGGCTTTCCCAGGCGTGTCCGCCTCTGGGGCACGGTCACGGGGAAGGTCTGGGCATGGCTGTCTTGTCCAGGCTGCTAGAGGCCACAGAAGGGACTGCCCCCCGCCTTCCCGGTGGCCCACTGAGGTCCTGCTCCACGGAAGTCCATGGCCTGACAGGTGCAGCTCTGCGGCGGGGCACCTGGGAGGGCAGCAAAGGCTTCTGGGGCGGGTCAGGAGGAGTTTGCTGTCTGTTAAGATGGAAGAAACACGTTTAGCCTGGCCAGAGGCTCAGTGGTTGAGCAATCTGAACCAGGAGGTCACAGTTCGATTCCCGGTCAGGGCACATGCCTGGGTTTTGGGCTCAATCCTCAGTAGGGGGCGTGCAGAAGTGACTCATCACTGATGTTTCTCCCTCTCCCTCTGCAATGAAGAAAATATTAAACACATGTTTGTACGCTGATGGAAGGACCCAGAGGGAGAAGCGGCCAGCTGTGTCGGAGTGGTCAGAGGGGTGGAGCAGGGCGCAGGCCGGCCTGTGGGAGCGGGAAGCTGGGGGTGGGGGGCAGGCTCTCGGGATCCCTCCGGCTGCTTCCATCTGGAGGCTGCTTCCATCTGGAAATTGGAGCCAGGATCTGGCCTGGGAGGGGGCCCAGGAGAGGGAAGGAGGGAACCAGCTATGGGAGGAGTCCCAGCGGGTTGGACCCCTGGGGGCCCTGAGGCTCAAGGCCCGGATGGACAGCCGGTCAGTGAAGCTGGGCTCCTCCAGCCCACGTGAAGGAATGGGAGGCCCCATCCATGGGTGGGTGGATGGCACTGGGGACCCCGAGGTGGGTGGTGGAATTGGGAGACTGGGGTGCTAGTGCAGGGAGCAGCCAGCTGAGCAGGTCGGCACCTTAGGAGGCGGAGAGGACAGGGAGAGAGGGAGGGAGAAGAGGAAGTGAGCCCGACTCTGGGGACCCAGATCAGGGTCAGGGAAGGGGAAGGAAGGTTGGGGGGAGAACAGGGAGGGATGTGTGGCTGCCCCTCCCCCCACGGGGCCAGGTGAGGGTCAGATGCCAGAGGAGACGTCCCTGGGGGTGCGGGGTGTCTGTGGAGGCAGATGGAGGTGCAGGGCCCCTGGGGTCCCGGGGGAGGCGATGCAGGGCCCTCAGTGCTGAGGGGAGTTGTGACCCGCTGGTCAGGGGACCCGCAGGAGCCAGCCAGGCCTCCCCGCCAGGCGCCTCCGTCCAGCCCAAGTCCCGCCCTGGACACACCCCTGACTCACTTCCTCTGCGTAGAAGCGGAAACTTTCCCCTTTCTCCCCGGGCTTCCTGCGCTGGTCACTCCCTGGGGACCGCAGGTGCCGCTGTCCTCCGGCCTGAGCCGGCCCAGGCCGAGACCCCTGACCCGCCGGCCTTCCCGCTTCCTGAGCCGCAGCCTGTGCCCGAAGGGGCTGCCGGGGGCTGGGGTCCAGCAGGAGCTGGCCTGACGCAGCTGCAGGTATGGGGTGGTCTGGGGGGCAGGGGTGCACCCCGCGTCTCTCCAGCTCTGTCCTCAGGGGCTCTTCCCTGTCCTCCTGCTCCCCTGTCCCTCTCCCGCCGGCCCTGGGGCCCCGCTGCCCCTCCACCGGTGTCCAGCGGAGGGTGCTGGGAGGATCTTGGGGGTGGGGGGCTGGGAGGCCGAGCTCGGCCTGGGACTGGGGCTGGGGCCCATTCTCAAAAAGCAGAAGTTCCGGCCGGAACCCCCTCCCCCGGGGTGCTGGGCTCCCAGCTCCAGGGGCTGCCCGGCCGGTGCCCCCGCGGATCGGCTCGGCGCCTGGCGGGCGGAGCGGCGGGCGGGGCGGAGCCGGGCCGTGACCCATCCTCACCCCTGACCGGGCGCCGGGCGGCCGGCTCCTCCTCCAGGAAGCCCGGGCCGGGGGATAAGCGGCCGCAGCGCGTCCCCTCCCCCGCCCGCACTTCCTCCCGGCCGTTCGCCCGCGGCGCGGGGATTTGCATGGGGCCCCGCGGGAGCCGCTTCCGGGTCCAAAGGGGCGAGCTCCGGCCGCGGCCGGGCTGTGGGTCCGCCCAGGGGGCCGCGCCCCGGGGGCGGGGCCCGGGTGTCCGGCCGGAGTCTGAGGCCCTTCTGTGCCCCCTTTGCAGGGAGGGCGACCTGCATGCGGAGCGCCGGCTGCGCGCCATGGACCGCGGCCAGCCCAGCGCGGAGCCCGGGGCCGCGGAGCCCGGGGCCGCGGAGCCCGTGGCCGCGGAGCCCGGGGCCGCCGCTCCCCGCGCCCCGGGCAGGAGCGTGATGGCGCCGCTGCGCGCCGTGGTCCGCCTGCGCCGCCGCGTGTGCCTCCAGCGCAAGCGGCGCCCCCTGACGCCGGACGCGGGGGCCCCGGCGTCTCGCGCGGGCGCGGAGCAGCCGAAGTTCTTCACCTTCGACGGCCCCGCCGAGCTGGCCTCCAGGGCGCCGCCGCCGCGCAAGAAGCGCCGGCGCAGCCGCGTGGTGCTCTACCCGGACTCCGCGCGCCGCGCCCGGCCGCGCGCCGAGCACCGCAGCCGCGCGCAGAGCTGCCTGCTGCTGCTCGTGGCCATCGTGGGCTTCCAGGTGCTCAACGCCATCGAGAACCTGGACGACAACGCGCTGCGCTACGACCTGGACGGGCTGGAGAAGGCGCTGCGGCGCGCCGTGTTCGGCCAGCCGGCCGCCGTGGCGCGCGTCGTGGCGCTGCTGCGGGACTACCTGTCCACGCACGTGCACAGCCGGCCGCTGCTGCTGGCGCTGCACGGGCCGAGCGGCGTGGGCAAGAGCCACGTGGGCCGCCTGCTGGCGCGCCACTTCCGCGCGGCGCTGGAGGACGGCGCGCTGGTGCTGCAGTACCACGCGCGGCACCACTGCCCCGCGGCGCGCGCCCCGCAGGCCTGCCGCGAGGAGCTGGCGCGCCGCGTGGCCGCCGTGGTGGCGCGGGCCGAGGCGGAGGAGAAGACGCCGCTGCTGGTGCTGGACGAGGTGGAGCAGATGCCGCCGGCGCTGCTGGACGAGCTGCACGGCCTCCTGCAGCCGCAGCGCCCGCCGCGCTTCCGCAACGCCGTCTACGTGCTGCTGAGCAGCGCGGGCGGCGCCGAGGTGACGCGCTTCGTGCTGCAGAACGCGTCCCGCGCGCCCGCCGCGCCCGCCGCCCGCGCCCGCGCGCCCGCGGAGCAGCGGCGGGAGGAGGAGGAGCTGCGCGCCGCGCTGCAGGCGCTGCTGGCGCGCGCGCACCCGCTGTGGCAGGCGGCGGCCGTGGTGCCGCTGCTGCTGCTGGACAAGCGCGACGTGGTCAGCTGCTTCCGGGACGAGATGGCCGGCGAGGGCTTCTTCCCCGAGCAGGCCCGCGCCGAGCGCCTGGCCGAGCAGCTCAGCTACTACCGCGTGGCGGGCCGCGAGTTCGCCGTCACCGGCTGCAAGCAGGTGGTGGCCCGCGTGAACCTGCTGTAGCCCGGCCCCGGCGCCCGACAGACTCCGGGGGGACCCCGGGGCGCCCGGGGAAGGCGGCGAGCGGACCCCTGGTTTTGCCCCGCGCCCGAGGCCCCAATAAACCCAACTTCCCCGCCCTCCCCGCTGCCCCTCCGGGTTCTGGACTCGCCACAATCCGCCGCCCGCCGCGTGCCCACGGAACCGGGGGATGGGCGCTGTGCTCCCGGACCCGGGAGACGGGCTGGGGTGAGCGGCTCTCCCGGTCACACAGCCGGTTGGTTGCCGGGTAAGGTGACCAGATCGTCCCGCTTTCTAACCATTTTTCCCGCATCCCGCAGCGTTTTTAAAAAAGTCACGATTTTTGGAAAGATTGGAAAGGTTCTGGTCACCTTGCTGTGGAGCTGAGTGCGACCCCGGCCCCGGGAGCTGCGGCAGCCCCCTCCGCACAATCGCACACACGCGCTCACACACACATATACACACACATACACACGCTCACACACACACACACACTCACACAAACACATACACACGCTCACATACACACACTCACAGACACACACACAGACACACACCTGCCCGCTCTGGCCCTGGCCTGGGCCTCTGGCCTTGGTGTCCCGGGGAAGCCTGCGTGTCCAGCGGCGCCTCCGCCGGGGGGGTGGGGAGGCCGGGCCCGGGGGTGGTGTCCGCGGGTGAGCGGTCCCCAAGGCCTCCCAGGGGCAGGAGGGCGCTCAGGGGCAGGGGGCGGCCTGAGCGGGACCTGACCTCCGGCCTCCCTGCCGCCACCTGCTCCCCAGCTTTGACTGGGGAGGCCCGGTCCCCCAGGCCCGGGGCAGCACCCCCAGGCACGGGGAGCCCCCCGCAGCGGGCAGGACCCCCCCCCCCCCCCCAGCCACCCGGCTGCACCCCCGCCCGCCCCTGTGCTCTGCGGGCGGCGCTTCCCGCAGCCCCGGGGGCTCACTGCTGCCGCCTGGTGGCCCCCTGGGCCGCAGTCCTCCCGCCGCCCGGTGGTGAGCTCCGCCCCCGGGAGGGGACCCGGCCCCGGGGAGACGGGCACAGAGGACACGCGGACACAGCCAGGCCGGGGGAGAGGGGGAGCCGTGGAGGCGGGGGCGCCGCCGGGGGAGCGGGGGTGCTCGGTGCGCCCTCCCACCTCTGACCTCAGCCCGACCCCCACCCTGGGGTCTCTCCAGCCGCTCCGCCCCCTCCCGTCAGCGGACCGGGTGGCCGGTGCGGCCGCGTGGCGGGAGGGGCGGGGAGGCGGCCCCTCCCGGCTCAGGGCAGGGCTGGGGGGGCTGCTCCCTCCGCCAGGGCTGGGGCTGGGCTGGGAGCCCCAGGATTGCCAGCCTCGGCCCGTCCACCCCAAACCCGCTGGCCGGGCGCCTGGGGAGAGCGTCCTGAGGCCGAACCACCACCCGGAGCAGCTTCAGTTTTTGCTTTTTGCGGGTCGTGGTCCCCCCAAAGCGGTGTTCCCTTTTCCCCTTCGTGGGGGGCAGTTACGCGGGAGATCCTGCCGCTCCGCCCCCCAGGTCACCCCCTCCCCGCGGGGTCCCACCTGGGGCTCCCTGTCCGCAGACGACACCCCGACTCCGCGCCTCTGGGGGCCTTTGGCTCCGGGGCCTGGGTTTGTCACCCCCTTCGGGAACGCTGCCTGCGGATGGGCTGCGGACCCATCTCCGGAGGCCGCTGGCCTGGAAGGGGCCGGGGTTCCCTGCCCACCAGCCTGCCTCCCCTCACGGCCGTCCCCGCCGGGTCCGGGCGGGCGGCGACCGTGACGGGAGAAAAGTGTTGAACGGGAACGGTGCTCAGATTGTACCCAAGGCGAGCACAGTGCGCCCCCTCCCCCCCCTCCGCCTCCCCTCTGTCCTCTGCTCTGCCCTCCACCCCCAGCCAATAGCTCCCCAACTTTCAACATAATGACCTTGTTTTCTAAAACCAGCCTGATTGAGGTCATTTACAGGCCACTAAATTGACCCTTTGTAAGTGGACAATTTAACGGGTTTTGGTAAATTTGCAGATTTAACGGGTTTTGGTAAATTTGCAGATTTAGCGAGTTTTGGTAAATTTGCCACGTGCTGCAAACATCACGCTTCAGGCTCAGGCTGTCTCCCTCGCCCCAGAAGGCTCTGCTCGCTCATGTCAGTGTGTGGCCGCGGCCGAGGCCGAGGCGGCCAGCCGGGGAGGGAGGAGAGGAGATGGGTGTTGAGTGTGGAGCGCAGACAGAGTTCCAATTAGTGTCGTGCACCTGGAATGTATTAACCAACGTTACCGCAATTTAAAAACAAAACAAAAAAAACGGTTAACAAGTTCCTGGGATTCTGGCTCATTAAAAAAAAGAAGAAGGAGGAGGAAAAAGAACAGCCCTTCCCCCTCCGTAACTTTCACCGACATCCTAGAGCCAGCGCTCCTTCCGGAACCTGCGGTGGAGCTGAGCTCTGCCCTGGACAGGGCGGGAAGCCAGGTCCCCGCACACGTGAAGAACGGGCTGCTCTGGCGGCAGCTCACTTGGTTGGAGCGTCGTCCATACACCAAGAAGGTGGCGGGTTCGAACCCTAGTCAGGGTCGCAGGGAGGTTGTGGGTTCAATCCCTGGCCGGGGCACGCACCGGGCAGCCACCCACGGTCCTCGCGTCGATGTTTCCCACGAGAAGCAGCTAAAACTGTTCCTTTCCCGTGTAAACGGCTGGGCTGCACCCTCCCGCCTCCTGTCCCGATTCCAACGGGACCGGAGCCCCCTCCCGGCTCCGCACCTGCCGCCGAGGTCGCCGCCGAGGTCGCCGCCTCGGGCGCGGGCCGGCACCTGTCCCGGCGCGGCGGCTCCCGGTGGCCCGGCGGCACCTCTCGGACGCCCGTTCCTGCGCACCGCTGGCCCCGGCCCAGCTGGACAGGCGTCTGTCCCGGAACTGACTCACGCGCCTCCTGCAGGTCCGGCCCTCCCGTGGGAAGGAAATGAGTCACCGGGACACACCGCCGTGTCCCAAGGCCCCTCCGATGCTCACGCTCCCAGGCGCGACGGAGACATGGGCCTGGCTGCCTCTGCCCGCCTCCTCCTCCCCGACCTCCTCCCAGGCCTCCTCCCCGGCCTCCTCCTCCCCGGCCTCCTCCTCCCGGCCTCCCTCCTCCTCTCCGGCCTCCTCCTCCCGGCCTCCTCCCAGGCCTCCTCCCCGGCCTCCTCCTCCCCGGCCTCCTCCTCCCGGCCTCCTCTCAGCCTCCTCCCGGCCTCCTCCTCCCAGCCTCCTCTTCCCCGGCCTCCTCCTCCCCGGCCTCCTCCCCCCCGTCCTCCTCCTCCCGGCCTCCTCCTCCTGGCCTCCTCCTCCCAGGCCTCCTCCCCGGCCTCTTCCTCCCCGGCCTCCTCCTCCCGGCCTCCTCCTCCCGGCCTCCTCCTCCCCGGCCTCCTCCCAGGCCTCCTCCCCAGCCTCCTCCTCCCCGGCCTCCTCCTCCTCCCCGGCCTCCTCCTCCCGGCCTCCTCCCTGGCCTCCTCCCCAGCCTCCTCATATATATATTTTTTATTTTTTTACAGAGAGGAAGGGAGAGGGAGAGGGAGTTTGAAGCATCGATGAGAGTTTTCTTGCCCAGCCAGGCCTGTGAACCAGGAGGCTGCTGTTCGATTCCTGGTCGGGGCACAAGCAGTGTGGGGAGTGATTCTCTCTCATCACTGATGTTTCTCTCTCCCTCCCTCTCCCTTCCTCTCTGAATCGAACACAAATATACTTTTTTAAAAGGACTTTTCCTGAGGAAAATAATTCTGTTGATGGAGAAACTGCCGAGGAGGACAACCCTGTGTGTTCAGCCAGTTTCCAGCGAGAACAACAGAAAGAAGAAAAACACTGCCCCTGCCCACCCCCTAAACATGACCCCACACCGGTGGGTCTCACAGCGCTGTGGTGGCAGCACCGCCCACACATCCTTTCCGGACGGTTCCGGGGCAGGACCGGCGCTCCGATGGCGAGCAGGCCGAGCTGGGCCTGCGGGTGGCGGAGTCCTGCGTTCTGATGGAGCCGTTAGTCACTCGGGCGCGAACCTCTGTGGGGACGAACCACACCCCGAGAGGCTGTGCTTTATTATATGGGAATTGTCCCCGATGAATGGGTTTTGAGAAACACACGATAAGCCCAACGATCTTGCAGCCTTTGCAGCCTTGACAAGGAGCGTTTATGGCCCCGGAACCTTGAGAATTCAAAGCGCTGGTTACTTATTACTCCCCGGAGATAAGGGAGGGACTCCTCACACCCTCTGCCCTCAGGCCGGGGGACCCTGTGCGCGGTGGGGCCCAGGGCGGGCGGGGCGGGCCGCGCTGTGCCCATCGTGCGTCCCGGACAGCCCCAGGGCCACAGCCGAGCCGGGCACTCTGCCGCCCGGGAGGGCCTGCTTTCCTCCAGCTGCTCCCAGCTCGACACAGCAAATACTGAGCTCTGCTCCAGTGTTATTAGGGTCAGGGCTAGGGCTAAGGCTAGGGCTAGGGTTAGGGTTAGGGTTAGGGTTAGGGCTAGGGTTAGGGGTTAGGGTTAGGGTTAGGGTTAGGGTTAGGGTTAGGGCTAGGGTTAGGGCTAGGGCTAGGGTTAGGGCTAGGGTTAGGGTTAGGGTTAGGGCTAGGGCCAGGGTTATGGTTAGGGATAGGGCTAGGGTTAGGGTTAGGGTTAGGGTTAGGGCTAGGGCTAGGGTTAGGGCTAGGGCTAGGGCTAGGGTTAAAGTTATGGATAGGTTTAGTGTTAGGGTTAGGTTTAGATTTAGGGGTTGGTTTTTGGTTAAATATAGGGTTAGGGGTAGTTTAGGGTTAAGGATAGGGTTAGGGTCAGGTGTAGGGTGAGGGTTGAGGAAAGGGTTAGTGTTAGTGTTTGTCCTTGCAGATAAACAGCACCTTTTCCGTTCTTAGAAAGCGTTCATACAAACCTCCGTTGCTGGAGTGCCGTGGCATTCCCAGCGGGAAGAACAGGGCCCAGCCCCCAGCCTGGTGAGCTGGTGTTTTATTCCAACCTGGCAGGCACGGCCACCACTCTGCCCCGTCCGCCCTTATGTGCGCCCACGTTCAACCGGCAGAGTCCTGACCAAATAAGTGAAGTGTCATAAACAGAGGCCTCATTTTTTTTTAAAAGATATATTTTATTGACTTTTTACAGAGAGAAAGGGAGAGGGATAGAGTTAGAAACGTCAGTAACGAGAGAGACACATCCATCAGCTGTCCCCCCAACGCCCCTTTAATTTTTATTTAAAAATATATTTCCTTATTGATTTTAGAGAAAAAGGGATAAGGAGACAGAGACATCAACGATGAGAGAGAACCATGGATCAGCTGCCTCCTGCAGGCCCCACACTGGGGATCGAGCCCAGGACCCTCCAGTCCGCAGGCTGAGGCTCCCTCCACTGAGCCTGGGACTCGGGCCCCGGGCGCAGTTCCTGCCGCGGCCACAGGGCGGCAGCACAGCCCAAGGCGCGCGGTTCCCGGCCAATGGGGGGGGCTCCCGGGGGCGTCACCCAAAGCCCCGCCCACGGCGGACGCGCCGCCCCCACCCCCAGCGAAGCAGCGTGGGTCCCCGTTTCCCTACCCCCCCTGCTCCTCGGACGCCCGTGGGGGGCGGCAGAGGGGACCCCCAGTCTCCACCCCTGACCCGGATCGGGCAGGGCTGTCCGACCCCACCCATGAGGGCGCGCTCGCACCCACGCACTGCCGCGTCCGGTGGGTGCCGGGGTGGGGGTGGGTGCCGGGTGGGGTGGGTGGGTGGGGGTGCGGGGTGTGGGGGTGGGTTCGGGGGATAGGGGGTGGGGGGTGGGGAGTGGGGGTGGGTGCCGGGGTGGGGGTCGGTGCGGGGGGTGGGGGTGGGTGCGGGGGGTGGAGGGGAGGAAAGGCGGTTGAGGGGGGTCCAGGCCGTGACCCCAGGACGCCTGGCCGCTGGTCCCTGCCGCTCACATGCACCCCCCTCTGTGGCCCCCCACCCCGTGCGCTTTGGGGTGCACAGGCCCCCCTGGTTCGCATACGGAGATGGGCTGGTGAGCGGACCCCCCACCCCGCACCCACCCCGGCGGCCAGGCCCCTCCCGCCGCCTCATCAGGGAGAGGGCAGAGGCCGTGCAGTGAACGGGGAAGACAGACCGACGGACGGACGGACGGACGGACGGACGGACAGAGCAGACAGTCCCACCTGGAGCCGGAGGATTCGCCCCCGGGGGGGGGGGGCGGGCGGCCTGGGACCGAGGCCCCCCTCTGGGGCAGTTCCCCTCTGGGCAGTTCCCCCTCTGGGGCAGTTCCCCCCCTTGCCCCCCGCGGCCCGCACCCCGGGCTCAGGCTGTGCCCCGCGCCCAGCACCCCCTCCTCCGTCCTCAGCTCCCAGGCCTCCGGCCCTGGGTCCGCGGTGAGCGCCCGGCCTGTGTGCGCCCATCTGTGCTGGGCAGCACGGCCTCTGGGGACAGACCCAGAGGGCACCCCTGCCCCCCTGTGCCCCTCAGGTCTCCTGGCTCCTGGCCCGAGCCAGGCTCCCCCTCCGGTCACCCCTCCATCAGCTCCCTCCTGCAGCCTCGGACCCTCCGCCTCCCTGGCCCCGGGGCCGCCCGGATGGACACTTCCTGCCGGTCAGGCCGGAGGCAGCCTGACGGCCCGCGCTCTGGCCGCGCCATGGGCCTGTCCACGCCCATCTGGCCTGCCTCCTCCAGGGCAGCCCCTCCAGGGGCCAGCCGCCCAGCCCTGCCCGCCAGACCCGCCTCCTGGGGCTCCTGGGGGCCCGGCTGGACCCTCAGCCCCCGCCCCTGCAGACCCCAGGCCTGTGCTCTCACCCTGAGCAGCCTCCCCCCGCCCGCAGGCCTGGGAGGGGCGGGAGGTGGGGGAGGGGGGAAGCAGAGAGGGGAGGGGCGCCGCGGTGCAGGAAGCGGTCCTGTGCTGCCCAGGAAGGCGGGGCGGGGCCTGCACTGCGCCCTGACCACGTGGGGGTGAACCTGGTTTGGGGGGCCGCCCCCTGGGCTCTGCCGGCCTGCCCTCAGCGCCCCTGGCGTCCCTCGCAGCTGGGGGTCAGGCTGGCGGGGGGTCTGTGCAGAGGGGCCCTAGGCAGAGGCAGCAGGAGCCTTGCTCAGTCCGTGCTGCAGGCAGAGGCCTGGGAGCCCAGTCTCCAGCGGCAGCCATGGGCCTGGAGAGCCCCCCAGCTCCCAGCCCCCCCCTTCTCCCCACCAGAGACGCGGAAGGAGGGCAGTCAGGGCCGTGCCCCCCTCTTTGGTCTCAGACAGCGCCCGGACCCGTGGCCACCGCTGTGGGTGGGCAGTGGAGGCCCGGCCCCGTGCCCATGGGCTGCCCACTGTGCCCAGGCCTGAGTTCAGTCTCCAGGGACGGAATTTCCAGTTCTTGTGGCCACTCTCCCTGCCCCGTGGCCAGCACCCCCCCCCCCGGCTTATTTGCATCAAATGGTCACTCACCTCTCAGGTGACGGGATGGAGCTGGCGGCAGGAAGTGCCTGGGAAGCAGGGAGGTGTCAGAGGAGGGGCCTGGGGCCACAGCGGGCTGAGTGTGCCCTCCCTCCGCCTGCTCCCCTGGCGCCATCCGGCCCTCCCCCAGGGCCTGGGCGGTCCCAGAGGGCCCAGCTCCGGTCAGCAGGTCCTGAGACGCCTCCACGCCGCCCAGCTCGGGGAAGGTGGCTCCAGGGCCTGGCTCCCCAGCTCCTGGCCGCAGCCCCAGAGCCAGAGAGAAGCAACCATGATGTTCCCCCAACTTAAAAGATGCCCCTTGGTGAGCAGCATGAACGCACAGCAGCCAGAGGGGGTGCCCCTCGGACCTCACCTCTCAGACTGGGGGTCAGGGGTCAGGGAAGAGCTGGAGCAGAAGCTCCGAGGCCTCAGCTGCTTGGCAGGGAGCAGAGGCGGCGGCTGCGCTGGGGTGCCCGCCCGAGGCCCTGGCCCCTCCTGCGTGCCCGCCTGGGGGCCGAGCCCAAGGAAAACCAACAAGCTTTTGTCTTTTCATATAAAAAGATCAATGAAAAATTTATTGATGAATTTCCCACGCTGGGCTACAGGGGCATCGTACACTCAGGGACGGGCTGCAGACTTCATCCAGTTAGAGGTGATCAGACCGGGCCCACACACAGCTTCCATAAGCCTAGAAGGTCTTAGCATTAATTAACATAATTAAAACGTTATTTGCATCTAGAAAAAAATATACAGAACAACTCCTTGTGGAGTAACCTGTGCCCCCGGCCGCCGCCTGCGGGTCCCACCGCGTCTTCTGCTCACGGGGGGTCCACCGCGGCCACGGAGGACTGGGGGCCGCGGGCGCGGGGCCCCCACCCACCTGTGTCCTCAGGCGCTCCCCATTTCTGCAGGCAGGGTCAGCAGCCTTCCCCGGGAAGCCTCATTTCAATTTGAATCATCCCGGCCCCTTTCATTCCCGGCGTCCAAACAGCCAGGGTGTGGGGTTGCATAGAAAATGGGACGGAGGGGGCCTCCCGGCGGAGAGCCCCGCCCCGCCCCGGCCCCTCCCCCCGGCGGGTTCGGGGCCTGAAACCCCGGCCCAGGAAGGCAGTCAGCACAGAATTCACAGTCTTACAGCATTTTATAAAAATATAAATATGGGTACACTGTTGCCTACACAACGCCCTTTAAATGGGGTCATAACCGACTCAGAAAGTACACCTAGCGCTTGGCTTACAACACGCTAACATTGTCATAAATGTTATGACATAATCGTGGCAAATCCTTTTACTTTTTTAAAAAAGTGTGCAACCGACTGCGACCTCTCACGGCCCCCCCCCTTCCGGCACTGCCCCCCCCCCGGCGCCCAGGGTCCCCCCGCGGGGACCCCAGGAAGCCAGCAGGTCTGGGGGTCGGTCACAAGGGGGAGGCGGCCCGGGACTCCCCAAACTCACACGGAACCCAGTGTGAGAAACAGGAGGGGGGGAGGAGAGGGTTGGAGGAGGGAGATGGGGCAGGGGGGACAGAGGGGGAGTATGGGGGGAGGGGACAGACGGGATAGAGGGGGTGTGGGGGGAGGGGACAGACGGGGGGCAGGTGGGGGGAAAGGGGTGGAGGAGGGAGATGGGGCAGGAGGAGGGGACAGAGGGGGGATATTGGGGGGAGGGGGCAGAGGGAGGTTGGCGGGGGGAGGGGACAGACGGGGGCATGTGGGGGAGGGGGGCAGAGGGGGTTGGGGGGCGGGGCCGGCGGGCGGGCAGAGCCGGGCGCAGAGGCCGCAGCAGGAAGCCCTGGGGCTGGCGGCGTCCAGTGCAACCAAGAAACGACAGGTCAGGTTTTCGCGTAAGAAGAGGCAAAACGCAGCTCCCACGACCGCGCAGAGTCCCAGACAAAGGCCGGCGCACGGTCCCGGTGCGCACGCCCGGTGCGGAGTGGTCCGGCCTCCCCGGGCGGCGCGGCGGTCCTGCGGGCGGGGGCCCGGCCGGCGCCCCGCCTCCGGCTCCGGGAAGCGCGTCCAGCGGCGGATCCGGTGTCGCGGGATTCCGGCCTCGCCGGCAGCCGCACTCGGGTTTCAAAGGCGCAGCCGCGCCCCGCCCCCGCCGCGGCCGCGGGCGGGGCGTGGGAAGCGCCGCCGGCCGGCGGCCACCGGCGGGGCGCGGGGCCGACCGTGGGCGCGGCGCGGGGCGGCGCCGGGAGGTAGTTGGCGGGAAGGGCCGCGGCGGGGCGCGGGGGCCGCGCGGCGCGGGTCACCGGCCGCCGGCCGCGCACTTGGCCGTGGTGATGAGATAGAGCGCGATGTCCTGGTGGCCGCCGAACGCCGCGATGTGCAGCGCGCTCCAGCCGTCGCGGTTGGCCAGGCGGATGTCGGCGCCGAACTTAACCAGCAGCTTCACCAGCTCCAGGTTGCCGTCGATGACCGACTGGTGCAGCGCCGTCTGGCCCTCGGGCCCGAACGAGTTGACGTTGAACTCGCAGCTCGTCATGTTCTGCAGCAGCGACTGCAGCTCCTGCGTGTTGCCGCGGCGCACGGCCTCCTGGAAGACGCGCTGCGGGGGCGCCGCGCAGGTGGAGCGCTCGGCCTGGCTCATGCTGCCGCGGGCGCGCGGCCGGGCGCGCCGGGCTGGGCGCGGGCCCCCGGCTGCCGCGGGGCCGGCCGGGGCGCATGGGGGGCGCGGCGCCCCCGGGCCCCGCACGCCGCCCCGGGGCGCTCTGGGGCCGCCGCCGCAGGGCCCCGCCGCATCCAGCCGCGCCCGGGCTTCGGGCGGCGGGGGCCGGCGCTGGCTCTCGGGGCCGGCGGGCCGGGCGGCGGCGCGCGCTCCGGGTCGCTGGTCGGAGGCTCGGGCTGCAGTCCCGCGCGGGCCTCCCCACGCGCCGCCGCTCTCGCGGGCCGCCCGCCGCGCCGGGCGCTTTTACTCGGCGCCATTTGCATAACAATGGCCCGTGACGCGCCCCGGCCCCGCCGATTGGGCGGCGCGGGGCGGGGCGGGGCCGGGGCGCGTCCGGGAGGCGCGCTCCGCCGCAGGGGGCGCTGGTCGCCGGCCGCGCGGCCCCGGAGCCGGAGGCCGCGGGCGGCCCGTCTCGCCGCCGCCCCGCCCCGGGCTCCCGCCTCCGCGCCGCCGCCGCCGCCCCCCTCTCCCCGGCCGCGCGGGGAATTCCGAGCTCCGGGAGCGCGCGGAACCGGCCCGAGCGGGGCGGACCCCGGTGGACCCGCGGGCGCCCTGTCCTGGGTGGGGGCTCGCGAGCGTCCCAGGCCCGGGGTCCGGGCGGAGACCCCTCCGCTCCCGCTGCGGGGACGCGGCCACCACCCGCCGGTCCCCAGCGCGCGCCGCTCAGCCCCGCCCGCCCGGCCGCGGGGTCAGCTCGGGTGACCACCCGGCGAACCTCTCGGGCGTGTGGTCCCGGCCACGCGGTCCTTCCCACGGAGACCGGCTCCCGGGCCACCCCGTTTGTTCCCCAGCCGGCTGGCTGCCCCCTGCCCTGACGGAGACCTGGGTTCCAGAGGAGGAAGCCCAGGGCTGGTGGCCTGCCGCCCCCCTCGGGGCTCCCCTTCAGCATCCTGGGGACAGGGGGGCCTGGCCAGGCCAGCGGCCCCAGCTCTGCTCCGAGAGGGAGCCCCGAAGTGGCTCATTCCAGACATGAACCGTCCCTCACGCACAGGACACGCCGCCCCATTTCCTCAGGGGTTTCCAGCTTGGGGCCGGCTGTGGCCGCGGCCAGGGAGGGAGGGAGGTGGGTTCCGGCAGCCGGAGGCCGGACCTGCATTCCTGCAGGAGCCGGGGGACTCCCCGGGAGACCACCCTGAGAGGCCTGTCTGAGGGGGGCTCTCCCCGGCCTCACACCCGCCCGGGGTGCCCCCTCCTCGCTGGATGCTCTGGGAGAGGTCACAGCCGAACCACAGGGAGAGCTAGGCTGGGCTGCGGCCGGCCGGCTGCCCTGGGCCTCCCCGCAGCAGGGCCCCCGAGCCCCTCGCTCTGGATCTCCTGAGGCCGGGGGTCCAGCCCGCCTGCTCAGACCTGCTCCCTCAGCGGGTGGGCAAGCCCAGCCCCGCGCTGGCCTGGCCGCTGAGTGACCTGGGGGTGCCGCTGCCATCGGGAGCCCATTCCTGTCCCTCATCCGGGAGGGTGTGTCCCTGGCTCGGCAGAGGCCTGGGATCGGCTGCTGCTGAGCTGTGAACACCTCGGAGGGCTCCTGGCCTCCCGGCCCCGGGCCCAGGGCACGGGGCCCGGGCTGTGGTGGAGGCAGGGACCCCGGTAAGCACGGCGGGCGCCTGCTGCCAGGAACAGGTGGGTGGGGAGGCAGCTGAGCTCTGAGAACGTGTAGGGATGGGCCAAGGCCTCTGGCTGTCATGGCTGTTTTCCGTGCACCAGCCAGGCCCAGCCCTCCTGGCCCCTCCAGAGGTGCGGGTGGCCAGACGGGCCCGAGCCTCCGCGTCTGGAGACGGCCGGCCGGGAGCGGGGAGGGAGGTCCCGCTGACCCCTCGGGAGGCAGACAAAGGGGCCCTGTGCGCTCAGTGTGAGAACTCGCGGCCGCTGCCACAGCCATGAAATCGGCAGCCAGGCCGCCCCGGCGGGGACTGTGCGGCTGGAGCTGCCTGGGGCCTGGCCCGAGGTGGCTGGCCAGCCCGCCCAGCATTCCTCCGGGTGCAGGTCAGGGGGGGTGTCTGGCCTGCCGTGGCCGTGTGCCCACTGCCTGAGTCCCCGTCCCCACCCCCCACCCCCGGCCAGCTGCTCCTCGGGGCTCCGGGTGCCTCACCATGGCCTGCGTCTCGCTGTCCACACCCCACGGCCCGGAGCAGACCTTGTGCGGCAGGCCCCCCACACGTCCCCACTGTTTGCTGAAGGACGCGTCCAAAAGGGGGACATTTGTTCCAAGCGCCTTGGTGGGAGGGGGCGGGGCTCCGGGCTGTGGGAAGCGTGTGTGTGCGCGTGTGCATGTGCGTACACAGAGAGTGTGTGTGTGTGTGTGTGTGTGTGTGAGTGGCGGTTTGCTGGCTCTGAAAAGCCCACACCTGGGATGGCCCAGGGGACCCATCTCTCTGGAGGCTCAGGGTGGGGGTGGGGCAGGCGGAGGACATGTTGGGCCCAGGCTGGGAAGGGCAGCGCTGGCGGGCGGCGGCCAGAGCCGGCTGAGGCCTGTGGCCACCTCACAGCCCAGCCGTGGGCAGGCGGGCAGTGGGGGCGGGGCTTCCAGCTAATTCATTAAAATGTGTCGGGAGCGTGGGAAAGAGGAGCGGCTTTCTTCCCAGCAGCCCGGGCACCTGGTAGAGGGGCCGAGCGAGGATACGGATCAAATAACAAACACTCGGCGGCCAGCGCGGCCGGCCAGGAAGGACGCCCGCCCGCCCGGGGCAGGAACTGCCGCAGACAATCGCGCCCCTGCCCGCCCGGCGGCCAAGCAGGCCGCCCGCCCTGGGCCAGTGTCTGACCCCAGCTGGGCCGGGGAAGGGCCGGAGGGAGTCCCGGGCTGAGGCTGGCTCAGACCCGTGTGGGGCGGCTGGAGCCAGGGTGGGCTGGTGTGAGGGTGAGCCAGGGTCCCGGAGGGGTGCAGCCAGGCTGGGGAGCAGAGGGCAGGGGGGAGGGGAGGAAGGCAGGCTGGACCGGGCAGGCATCCCTCTCGGCTGCCCCCTCCCTAGAGCCGTGCGGTGTGCAGGGCGGAGGGAGGCGGGTCAGACCTGGGGGGCAGAAAGGACACAGCCTTCGCCCTCGGGGTCCAGCTCCAGTTCCTGTCCGTCCAGGGCCGGCTACCCCAGGGCCTCGGTCAGAGGGAGCCCCCAGGAAGCAGGGGTGCTGGGCACCCCTCCCGCTTCCTCTCGACCTCCCAGGAGAGGGCAGCCGCTGCAGAGGGTCCCCCTGCCTGGCCCTTGGGGTGACCCCGCAGTGACCATGGGGAGTGAAAGGCCAGCGTTGCCGGCTCGGCCTGGCCCCTCCAGCTGACCCCAGAGTTGCCGGGGGCTAAGTGGGCCGGTCCTGGCACAAAGCAGGCGCTCAGGCAGGAAAGGCCTCAGGGGTGGCAGGCGCGGGGACCCCATGCAGCCCCCACCTGCCCGGTGCCCACTGGAGCTGCCCCCTGGGGCTCAGGGCCCATGGCCAGCCCTGGGGCAAGGGCTGGCCTGGCACTGTCAGTGCCGCCCTGCGCTGAGGCGTGGCACCTGGGCCTGCAGGTGGGCTGCCCGGGGGGAGGCGGGGCTGGCACAGCCCAGGCCGCCGATCCGGAGGCTTCCGCCCGGGCTCCCGGGCCACCTCCACGCTGTTTCCGCTCTGGACAGGAAGACAGGAAAGGGATGTGACGGGGGGGGGGGGGGGGGGGGCGCGAATTCCTGGGGAGAGAGGAGGGGGTGGGCAGGGTGGGCGGGAGCACTCCACGGCGGCTGCGTCCGCTGGACTCCTCCTGGGCGCCACGCCTGGCACTGGTGCCCTCAGGCCTCTGTGGCCTCAGCCGGGGCCTCAGTTTCCCCGAGCGGGCCTAGCAGGTGTGAGGCGCGGCCTGAGCACCCTGGGGTGCAGGGCCCCGTCTTGTCACATGGTAGTTGGTCTCTCTTCCCAGAGGTGACGGAGGGAGCCCCTCCTCCAGGCGCGCTGGGCCCGCTCCATGGGAAGTGGCCGGCCTGGCCTGAGGGTTCCTGACCCCAGGACCCCGCCATCCATGCTCCGTGGAGCGGGCCCCGCCCCGCCTGGCCAGGGGGCTGGCTCTGGCAGAGGGTGAGGTGGAGAGGGTGGCCTGGTGGGTGGGCTGCAGCGTCTGGGGCCCGTCTGCCCCTGCCCAGCTCCAGCCTCATGGGCTCCAGCGGACGTGGGAACTGCCACGTCCAGCCCTTGGCCGCTGCCCAGGCCATTTCCTCCCCAGGCCAGCCCTGCCGCCTCTCCCTGAGCACAGGCACCCCGCTCAGCCGGCGCCCTGACCCCGTGGAGCCACTTCGCCCACCGCCGGCGTCCGGTGTGAGCAATGATGCAGGCCGGCCCTCAGGTGCGGCTCTTCCCGTTTATTGTCGGTCGGGCCGGGCGCCCTCAGGGGGGCCGGGCGCCGGAGGGCCAGGCTGCGGGGGGCCGGGGGGCCGGGCCAGGACGTCCTGGAACTGCGAGGCCATGCGGCCCAGGTGGGAGCCCTCCCAGAAGACCTTGCCGCAGCCGGAGCAGCAGAAGAAGTGGCGCAGGCCGGGCCGCCGCAGCACGCCCGCCGGCACCCCCGCCAGCTGCAGCCGCGTGCCGTTGCCCAGCGTGGCCGGGGCGCTGGCCTGCAGCTCGGCCGCCTCCAGCCAGCGGCAGGGAGGGTCGTAGGTGAGGCCCGGCGTCTCCCCGGGGGCGGAGCCTGGTGGGTGGAGGCGACCACCTGAGGCCCAGCTTCGGCCTGCGCCCACCTCTCTCCCTCCCCAGGGACCCGCCCCCCCCCCCCCCCCGGGCTCCCTACGGGCCCTGCCACGGACCCCGCCCTGCCCTGCCCCCCAGGGCACAGGGATGCCCCCTACAGAGGCCCCTCAGAGCAGGCAGGTGCAGGGCCGGGGTCCTCCATGGGCAGGCCTGGTGCTCACCTGGCTCCTGTGTGTCCTGGCTCTGGGCCTGGTCACCTGTCAATCACGGAATTCAGGAACCCCTGAGAACAGGGCGGCAGCCCAGCCTCCCCCTCCCCCCTCCCCGGTCACCCTCACCCCGGGGCGAGGGCAAAGGGCAGGGGGGGAAAAGCCGCAGTGCCAGCCCCGGCCCCGCCCCCGGGAGCTCACACCTTGGACCATTCTTGGGGCTCAAAGGTCTCCGGCTCCAGGGCCGAGAACGGGCGGGCGGGCGGGGGCGGCCGCTGTGATGAGCGGATAAGCCCGTTGCCAGGAGCCATTGCACAATCAGCACCGAGCACGCGGGCGGGACTCAGGGCCCTGAGGGAGCTCAGGGTGCCCGACACCCGAGGCCGCCCCCACGGAGAGCCCTGGAGGGCAGACTGCCCGCTCAGGGCCTGCTCAGCGGCAGGAGGCGTGGCCTGCAGCCCTGGGACCCTTGTCATTGGCTCGGCAAACATTTCTCTACGGCTGACCCCCGGGGACTGGACCCGGGGTCCGAGAGGGGGACGTCCCTCAGCACACGGCCCCGTGGAGCCCAGCAAGGCCACGACCTCCCTCTGGCCTCTGGCCCAGCCCGGCCTGTGTGACCCAGCCCTTCCCTGCTGGTTCCTGGGGCGCTAGACAGGGCGTGGGTGCACGCCCTTCCCGCACCAGCACGAGCCTGGGGGTGCACTGGGGACCCCCGAGGAGGGCACTGCCACGTCCTTGCCTCCCAGGCCCTGACTGAGGTTTGGGTGTGGGTGGCCTCTACGCTGACTCCACACTTCCAAGGGAGGCTGGGTGGGACGTCAGGTTCCCGGAGAAGCTCCCTGGCCCCAGGATGACCCCACAAGGGGATCCTAAGAGGCCCCTCGTCCACCCGCCCTGTCCCCACGGAGCCCCAGTGGTCCCTGCATTGCCCTCGCCGGCCCCTCTCCCTGGAGGCAGGGGACAGTGCTGAGGGCAGGGCCGCCATGCCATGCCCTCCTCTTTCCAAGTTTCAAGAGAGGGAGACTGAGGCTGGCTGCTGGTCGGGCCTGCCCCGCCCCACCCCGCCCTGCCCTGGTGGGGGGACAGCTGGGCTGGTCCTGCTCCATCTGCCCAGGCTCAGCCTGCTCACCTCCTGGTGAGGTGGGAAGTGTCCCGGATGGCAGGGCTCCGGTGCACAGGTGTGCACGAGGATGCGTGTACACACGTGTGCATGACGGGGTCCGGGGAGCTCGGGCAGGCTGAGCAGGGACCCTGGGGAGGAGTGTCCCCCACCCAGAGGGCCCCGTGGCCTCGCCTTTGCACCCCAAGTCCTGGGTGCTGTCTCCCCACCTGCCAGCCCGGCTGCAGCCCTGCAGTGAGCCCTCGGGGGCACTCACCCGCGCTGCTGGGGTCCTCCTGGCCGCTGAGCCCCACGAGCTGTGTCATCAGGCCCTTGGAGACCTTCAGGTACTGGTCGCAGTTACAGGCCTGGGGGCAGAGCGGGGCTGAGGTGGGGAGCCTCCTGCGCCCCTCCCGCCTGGGCCTGCAGGGTGCTTCCTTCCTCTCCCGGCAGCACCAGGTGCACCACCTCCTGGGAGCCCTCCCTGACTGCACCTTCTCCCAGGTCCCGAGACCCTGCAGGGCCTCCCCGCCGGCCCAGCCCCAAGGGGTGCGGGGCCCACACCCACGGCTGCCCGCCCCCCGCAGCCCGTCTTGGGGAGCTGGGGCCAGTTCAGTGTCCAGGCCTCTCTGCCACCTCGGGGCCTGGCACCAGGTCCCCGCGGGGTCAGGGGTGAAGTCACGCGCTGCTGTGTAGGGGCCTTGTCAGGGGCGCACAGGAGGCTCCGGGGAGCGTCAGCCCGAGGGGTGGGCAAGGCTTGGCTGCCCCAGGGGAGGGCCTGGGTCCAGGGCACCGGGTCACAGCCCTTCCCGCCGTGGGCAGGGACCCGTTCTCGGGAAGAGGGGGCAGCGGGGGCGTTCCCAGGCCGAGGGAGGGACCCTCCGTGAGCTGGGAGGAAGTGTCCTGGATGACGGGCCGGCGGTGGGTGGGCGGTGGCCTCAGGCCCGGGAGCTGCCCACGTGAGGCAGCGCGCCCCGCCCCCCACGCCCTTTCCCACGGCCTTTCCACACGGAGCTACACCTGCAGCCTCACCGCTGGGCTCCGCTCTGGGCAGGCGGGGGCGGGGGGGGGCGGGGGGGCAGGGGCTCCTGGGTGGGAGGCCGCCTCTGCTGGGGGACTTGGATGGGGAGGATGATCCCAGTGCAGAGCCTCCTGCCCCCCGAGACCCTCCTGACCCCCGAGAGCCTCCTGCCCCCCGAGAGCATCCTGACCCCCCCAGAGCCTCTGGCCCAGGGCGGCTGGGGCCTGCCTCCCGGGCTGCAGGTCTAGGGCTCCGGGGCCAGGGGTGCAGGCCAAGCGCTGGCTGCAGTCTGGTCGCTGCAGGCCCAGCTGAGCTGCCTGCCACGGCCCTGCTCTCCCTGTCCAGGCCCCCGAGGGACAGCCACCCAAGGGACAGCTACCCGAGGGGACAGGCCCCCGAGGGGCAGGGCCGGCAGGTGCAGGGCCAACTGGAGCAGGGCAGCGCAGGCCAGGAGGGCCTCCGTGAGGGTCGGCAGCTTCCCAGGACCGGGCCAGTGAGCATGCCTGGGCGGGGCGGCCAGCTCACGCTGAGTCACGGCAGCAGGCACACATGGTGCCATCCACAGGGCCCTGGCCACACCCTCGGGAACCACCAGTGCCAGAGTTCCCACGGCTGGTGCCCACTGTCACCCCGATAGGCCCTGGGAGCCCTGCCCCCCCCACCCCACCCCGCGGCTGGAAAAGCCGGTTCCCCCGCCCCCTGCTTCCCACAGCGGAGGCCTGCACCCGGCTCCCCTGCGGCTCTGGCTCCCATGCCCTCCCGGTGCCGCGCTCCCTGCCCGCCGCTGGCTGGGGCCTGGCCCCGCGAGGCTGTGCCCCTGCCCTGGGGGCTCAGGCGGGCTCAGTGCCCTTCCCCCCAAGGGCCCTCGCGGACACCCAGGGGGCACGTGCCTCTGGCCTCCATTGGAAAGGAAAGGACGTCCGAGGGACCCCGCATAGCCCTGCTGGCCGAGGGGGGTGCCCAGGCCTCCGAGCACCTGCCTCCTGGGGCCACGCAGACCCCAGCCTTGGGTGCCAGTGGTCTGGGCGGAGACCCCCGGGAGGCCTGGGGGGCCTGGACAGTCTCTGTGCGCCCCCCCCCAGCCAGGGGGCCTGAGGGCAGAGCTGGGCCGGCTGCCGCCCCCAGAGCCGGCGAGGGCGGGGCCAGGTGAGTGGGAAGGAGGGGCTGGGAAGGCGGCTGGCTCCTGGTCCCAGGGGTCCGCCTGCTCTCCCGGTTCCCACGGTTCCCACGGCTGGGAGGCTGCTCAGCCAACGCCCGCCCAGCGCGCCAGGGCCGGGCAGCCCGGGGCAGGGCAGGGCCCACGTGCGGCCACCACGAGGGACGGGCCTGCTGCTCAGCCCATGGCCCCTGCAGCCCCTGGTGGGGAGGGTGGGCGAGGGCCGCTCTGGCCACTCCCCGGAGGTGCGTCTCGGGGGCTGGCGAGGGTCTGAGGGGCCACAGCAGGCCCTGCAACACCTGACCGTCCTCTGAGGCTGAAGTGGGGAGGGGGGCCCACAGCTGGAGGGCTCCCCCTGCACCCCCTCAGGGCAGCCCCAGGTGCTGAGGGAAGGCGCTGCTCGGAGCCAGGAAGCCCGGCCACACCTGCCGGGGTGGACACGGCCCAGGAGCCGGAAGCAAGGTCACTGGGCTGGCCCAGGAGTGCGCTCCCACTGCCTGGTGCCCACCGCCCAGGAGCCGGTACCCGGGTGGGTGGGGAGGGCAGCAAACTGTGCCAGGCCCCGGCCGCCACTGGCCACACTGCGCCCACCAGCCCTGAGCCCCAGGCTCAGGGTGAGAACAAGGTGGGAGTGTTATGTGCTGCCCTGGGCCCCGCCAAGCCGTGCACAAGAGACCCCTGCTCCCCCGTGCTGGGAGCCTTGGAGGAGCGCCCTCCTCAGGAGGCCCTGGTCCGGCTCCCACCCCCCCAGCCTCTGCCTGTCCCCCAGCCCAGCCTGCCCCCCAGCCCAGCCTGTCCCCAGCCCCCGCCTGCCCCCAGCCCAGCCTGTCCCCCAGCCCAGCCTGCCCCCAGCCCAGCCTGTCCCCAGCCCCCTCCTATCCCCAGCCCAGCCTGTCCCCAGCCCAGCCTGTCCCCAGCCCCCGCCTGCCCCCAGCCCAGCCTGTCCCCCAGCCCAGCCTGTCCCCAGCCCCCGCCTATCCCCAGCCCAGCCTGTCCCCCAGCCCCCGCCTGCCCCCAGCCCAGCCTGTCCCCCAGCCCCCGCCTGCCCCCAGCCCAGCCTGTCCCCCAGCCCCTGCCTGTCCCCCAACCCCTGTCTGCCCCCAGCCCCCGCCTGTCCCCCAGCCCCCGCCTGCCCCCAGTCCCCGCCTGTCCCCCAGCCCCCGCCTGACCCCCACCCCCCGCCTGCCCCTCAGCCCCCGCCTGCCCCCAGCCCAGCCTGTCCCCCAGCCCCCGGCACCTTCCCGCTGGGGCCCTGGTCAGAGGGGTCTCACTCTGTGCCCGGCCCAACACCGACTCCCCGGAGGGTTGGGACCCCTTGCTGCGGAGCAGGGGCAGGTGTGGCAACCTGGGGCGTCACCAGGGCCCCAGGGGGAGGGGAGGGTCAGTCGGGTGCCCTGGGGGCCCGCGGCTGCTCGCTCATCGGGAGAAGCTGGTGGACGGCCCAGTGCCAACGTGATGGAGGCAAACACCCACCCCGCCTGGCTCAGGTGCCGTCGGCTTCCAGAGCCCAGTCCCCATCCCCAGGGGCTGCCCATTTGGTCCCGCTGAGCCCCACCCCCGCAGCCAGCCTGCCATCCTGAGGCCGCGGGTCCCAGGCCTCTCTCAGCGGCCCCCAGACAGCCAACAAATGGTGCTGGGCTCCGGGCTGGGGAGGAGGCGGGAGGCAGAGCCGGCCTGGGGCCCGGGCCCAGGTGACAGCCTCGCACCTCGCCTGACGGGCGGACCGGAGGAAGCAGCCAGCGCCCAGGCCTGGGTCCGCTCCACACCTCGCTCTCCCACGCCATCCCCGTGGGGCCCAGGCCATCTGCTCCGGAGGTGACATGGCCCAGAGGTCTCCCAGTGATGAGCGTGTCACCCAGCTTTGCTGGAGGAGACCCCACTGGCCGGTCCCGGGCCCCTGGAGGTGGGCTGGAGGGCGGGAGGCCCCGGAATGTGCTCTGGCCGGCTCTGCGGTCCCAGGAGGCAGACCAGCCCCCGGCCCTGGGCCCCTGGGCCTCGCCCTCAGCGCCTGGACCTGGGCCGGTGGCCCTGCAGGTCCTTGCGGCGCCCTCCCCACCCCCCCCAGGCCCGGAAGCCTATTCCCACGGCCAGCCCCGCCCCCGCCCGGCCACTGCCCAGCCCCTTTGTGGGGCAGGACAATATGTGCACAGAGCGGGTGGGGGATGGGCCTCAGACTGTCAGCACAGGGCGGCCCCGGGCTGGGGCGCGGGTCCCGGGGCCGAGGGCCACGTCTGGGGACACGTGTGCGACAGCCAGCACAGGCAGGTGTCTCCTGAGCACCCGTGTCCGGGGGTGAGCACACCAGCACCCAGCATGCGTATGTCTGCCTGCCAGACATGACTGTGTCTCCCTGGCCCCATGTGCGTGCGAGCAGCCTGGACGGCGCCCCTGTGCCTCCCACCGGGCAATGAGGGGCTGTCCCGGCGCCTGTTTTGGGGGTTCGAGAGAGGCCTAGGGGAGCGCTCTCCAAGCAGATGGAGAGGGGACAGCCACCTCCGGAGCTTCCAGCTGCGCTGGTCCATGGTGTCTGCCGCCTCCCAGTGCTGGGACCCGAATCTGGCCCAGGGCCTCCCAGCGGGGTGTGGGCTGGCCTCCCCCGCCCCCTGCACAGCCCTCCCCAGCTCTCCGGGCCACCTCCAGCTGGTATGTGCCCTCTGGGGGACGGGAGGGCCACTGCTCCCCACTTCCTGGGAGTGGAGCCCTTGGCCCAAACCCAGAACAGGCTGCTGAGGGGCTGAGCAGTGGGGTCCCCCACGGCCATGGCGGGGTGAACCAGGCCGGCCCCTGAAGGAGAGGGCGAGGGGGTTGGCAGGGAGGGCTGCCCCGTCTCAGCTGCCCTGGCACCAGGACAACGGGGCCTGACAGAGGCACTGCCCACCATAGGGCGCCCCTGCCTGGGACACCCCAGGCCTGCAGGCCGAGCCTGGAGGTGGCTGCAGAGCCCCAGCTGTGGCCCCCCAGACCTCACTCCAGTTACTGCCACCCGGAGCCCAGGGCCCTTAGGCCTGGACGTGCAGCCGCAGGGGACATGCATCAGGTGCTGCGAGCTGTGAGCCCCGGGACCAGCCCGCCCCCGCCGGCCAAGGCCCCTCGGGGACAGGCCGGTGAGGCCCGTGTGGGCTCAGGTCGGGTGTTCTCTAGGAGCTGTGACCGCCCCCTGCGGCCCCCACGCCAGGCGCTCAGAGCGCAGG